CAGAAGAGCCAAAATCAACTTAAAGAAATTGATTATATCTTAAATTACAATAAATTATTCACAAATAAAAGATATAAATAGAAATATTATAAATTAAGTCTAACTCATTTTTTTTTAATTTTAGGACTACCATGATTTGAAACACAAATTTAACTTGGTGTAAGATGTCTTGATCTTAAACTTCTCATAGAGTTTTTTAAATCTTCAAAATTTTTAGAAGAACAAGCTAAATTAGTTCTACCTTTAACAAAGAAGTTTTATTGTTAATTTAAATGAAAAGCTTTTTTCTTTTGATTACTATTATTAATATTTCTTTTAGTTGAGAACATTTTTTTAGCAAGTTCTATGAGTAATTCATTTTATTATGGTGTATTTCTAGCTGTATTTAAGCAAGATTTAGTAAATTCAATATTTCCAAGAGATGCTTATCTTGATTTTAATTATGGTGGTTTTTTGAGAGTTTATATAGGGATATCAAGTTTAGATGATTATTATTTATGAGCTGAAGATTATCTTGATGTTGAAACAGGTTTTGGAATACGTTAAGTTAAAGGAGGAGAATTGATTTATTTTGTTTATTTTAATTACATTTCAATAGTTTTTTTAAGAGTTCCTTAACAATTTTAATAGATAATTCTTTAAGCATCTTAAGATGGTTTAAATTATTTTTAAATTTATTTATTTTGATTAAAAATTTAAAATGGTTTAGGCTTAGTCTATGTTTCTCCTATCATTTAAACTAAGTCTTTGAGAACAGTAGTATTACTAACTCTTGAGATATCAGTTGATTATAATTTAAGATCTTTTAATAAATACTTAAGTTAACTAACAGAGCAATCATCAGAAGAATCTTTAACTTTAGTTGGAGTTTATTATTTTATATCCTCGTATAATCCTAATTCTATTTTAACTTTACAATATTATATTTCCCTTACTTTTTCCATTCTTTTATTTATTTATTTAGAATGAAAGTTTCTTGGAATATTAATGTGGTATTTATAATATTCTAATAATGAAGGAATTCTATCATCACTTTCAAAAAATCTATAAAATCTTTTTTAATAATATTATTATTTTCATTACCTACGCATGTATTCTTTTTCTTCACCAAACTATGTATTGTCTTTGTTTCGAATAGTAGATTTAACTTATTTTTCATCTAAAATATCATTAATGTCCTTTTCATAAAAAAAGTTTTGTGATTAAGAGTATTTAGAATACAATGCTCTTTTGAGAATTAACTGAAAAGATCCATCAGCGGCTAATTTTTGGCAAAACATACATTATTTAACTTACATTTATATTTTAATTATTTTAATATATTATAATATAAAACATCAAACATCTTTACCTAAGATACCTAGAGTATTTTAAATAGTTCTAATAACTGATCTTAAATCATCAACTACTTTATCTTATTAATCAAATCTATTATTAATTTCATCTTCAATATTATCTATTTATAAATGAAATTCTTTAACAGTATTATTTCTAAATCCTTCAGAATAACGATTCTCAGATTATAATGAATGATTAATATTTTTAATTAATTCTTAATGTTTCTATTCTTTTTCATTAGCTTCATTTTTTATAGCTTAATCAATAGATTATGAAGTGTCTTTGATAGTATTTAATATTTTTTTTTCATTTGCCACTCTAGTTTACTTTTCTAATTCAAAATTACCAAACAATTCTAATAATATTTATAAATATATATTTACAATCAATAGATTTCTGAATATTTTCAATATTTTCTTTTTCAATTCTAATTCTATCTAATTTTTCTTATTCTATAGCTTAATCTAATTTGACTATATCAGAATCTAAAGTAGCTAATTATGCATTTGTATGAGTTTTATATGTATTATGTTATTAATTATGTTTATTTTCCAAGTCTATATATATATATGAAATCGTAACTTGAAATATTTGTATTATTTGTTTTTTAGAATGTTTATATCTTTCCATTCAATTCAACGGCTAATTTAACGAACATTTATTTGGTTTAAGTAATTTTGCTATTAGATGTTTAAATTCAATTATACTCATAAACTTCATCAAATTTTGCTTATAAATCTGCCTTGGCTTATTCTCTATTCTTTTTCATAATTTCATAATCTTATTAAAGTTAGACAATATCTTTATCAAGTGGTTTAAGATTGCCTGTTATTTTAAATGTATTTGTAGTAAGTGCTGCGGTTGTTTCCATTAAAAAATTATTATAATTTATAATATTAATAATGAAAATATTTCAGTCTTATATTATATATATTTAAAAACAATTAACAAAATATTAATATATATATAATAACTTAATAGCAATTAAGAATTGATAATTGATTTAATAATACTCATTTATTTAAATTAAATTTAATAGTATTTAAGATGAAGTTTATTAAAAATGAATATATTTAGAAATTAATAGAAGAATGATTATAAATAATTAAATGAAATTTAAAGAAAAATGTAATTATAAATATATGTTTTAGGTTTAGTTTCAAATATTATGTATTCTTTGCTTGAATTAGTGTTCTTGAGTCATTGATCTTAATTAATTTTTTAATCCTTAAGTATTTTATACTTTATTCATATCTAGATATTGATGTGGATTATTTAAGGCATCATTAATGAATTTATCCCACATTGAATTAGGAATCTTTCTTTAAAGCATTTCTTTATGTAAAATACATAAAGGTATTTTTTAAGATGGATGAGTATTAGGTAATTTAGTTTTCTAGGCTAAACATTTAGAATAGAATATTCTTTATTACTAATTATATTGATTTGAGTTATTAAGATCACTATCATTTTAATTTGCTTCACTTTCATCAAATTAGGATGTAGATATTTTAGTTAATATTTCACTTTTCATATCATACAATTAATTTCTATCTTAACTTCCTGAAAACTTTGTTATTATAGTAGGTCTTCCATATGGGGAATTTTAAAATTGTGATGGAGGTGGTAATTATGATAGTCTATTTTATTCTGAAGGTTATTAATAACGATAAGTTGATGATTATTATGATTATTATGATTAATATGCACTACTATTATAATTGTTATAATTATTGTTTAGTTAATTACTATAATTATTATAATTATTATTTAGTTAAATATTATTTATCTAATTATTATTTATCTAATTAGTATTATTATTATTAATTTGATTTCTGCTGTTGATTTGATTACTATTAACTTTTTGAGTATCAATTCTAGGAGTACGAATCTCCTTTTCTAATTAAGTTTACTTTTATAATCCTAAAGAATGTAATCTTTCTAAATATAATGCAATAGCTAATGAACCACGATATGATTCTGTCATAGTTCGTAACTCTTAATTTAAGTCTTATAGTTTTCTGAATTCAATTTAATTTGTATTTTATATTGTCTATATTTATTCACACATTTCATCTGCTCTTATTAAATATTTGCTGTTTTCTTATTTCTATTCTTTTGAATTTAATTGTTGAATAGACTCTCTCAATTTTGAAATCTTGAAATTTATCTCATCTAAAATCCTATTTGATTTTAGAACTGCTGTTACACTCTTTGAAACACTTAAACATTTAAATGTGTGTGAATCAATCTCATTTATTGGAATTAAATTCTCACAATTCATGCAAGGAACTGAATACATATTTTATGAAACACTTTTTTAAACCCTTATTTACTAATCAAGATTCTTTGCACTTTAACTATTGGGTTTACCTGATCTTAAAGAAAAATAATCAGTTTGCATTATATTAATTTTTATATATATATATAGACTATTTAATTTTTTTATTTTAACATATTCTCCTCAATAACTACTAGTTATTTCTTATTCAAATCAACAACAACCTTTATCATCTTTTCCTTATACCTTTTAACTTCTTTAATGTATTGTCTATCCATTTATACTTTTTTTATTGCCTTATTCTTCTTAACGATTTTACAACTCTTTATTCCCAGATCCTATTTTTATTCCATATTGCTAAAAGATATAATTAAATGACTAATTAAACATCTTAAGATGGATCTATATCTCCACAATCTATTCTTTTCAGAATTATTTTAGCCATTTATTCAAATACATTATTTACATTCTCTCCTGTTTTTGCCGAAGTCTCAAAATATGTAAATCCTTCTCTTTTAGCAAATGCTTATGCTTCATCTCTTGAAACTTAACGTCTTATGTATATTATTATTATTATTGCACTTTTCATTTAAATCTATTTTATTTCCTACTAATGTCATTTCTATTTTATCACAAGCATAACTTTAAATCTCTTTATTCCATTTTGTAATATTCTCAAATGATTATCTTGATGTCACATCAAATACTAAAATACCTCCTATTGATCTATTATTTTTAGTATACTAATACAAACCCTCTGTAATATGACCGAACTATTGATTTAAATGCTTCTTAACCAGAAGTATCCCATATCTATAACTTTATTCTTTTATCATTTATTGTTGTATATTTAGATCCAAATTCAACACCAATTGTTGCATCATGTTCATTTCGGAATTTAGAATCAGTGAATTAAAGTACAAGACAACTTTTACCAACGCCTATTATATCATATTTACTCCAATATACATATATCACCAACGATAATAAATTTCAGAAGATAATTATAATTATTCATTATTTATATCAATTAAGCATATCCTTCAAAAAATTACTTAAACCTTTTGGATATGATTATAATTATTCAATCAAAGGTAACTCCTTCCGATATTCTTTTGCATACTATTATATTTCATGTTTTTGCAATCTATATTTATTTGAATCATCTAGGCCATGTACATTTAAAGACTATTAATCTAATTGTTAAAACCATATTGCAATTTCTGAGAACTCATTAATAGCTAATATTTAAGATTGAAACTAATCAAGTATTGTTATAATTAAGGATGGTAAGTAAAAGATGCCTTCAACAATAATGTAATCCCAAATTCGTAGACAATATTACAATTAGAGGTTGTATAAAAAGAGTGTCAGTATGATTTTAGTTAACCAAAAGGATTCTGGAAATTTGAGTTATGAATTTAAATGTTTATAAAGTTGAGGTTGATACTTTAATAATAATTTTTGGGTGATAAATTCTAAGAATCCAAGTAATTGAAATTTTGAATCATAATTAAAATAGAGCATAAATTTAGGATGTGCAAATAAAGTGACAAGACATTAAAAACTATAGTATTCATCACCACCAGAAACAAGGAGTAGAAATCCAGCAATAAAATTCATTCCTTAACAATAGCCAAGTATTGGATATATATTAACAAGGGCTTATAAAATGTTATACAATTATAAATGAGCAATAGTGTAATTATCATTAGTTGTTTAAAAGAAGGGATGATTAATTAATGTTCTTTTGATATCTTTATTAATAAGTTCTGATGATCCATGATAATTGTATGGATATTAATTTTTTAAAAGTATAGATTTCCATGCAGCCCATCTTAATTTGGATGGAGGGCCTTATTTAATTAGATTGATATAATGTTATTTGCTTATAATGTAATATGTTTAAAGTGACTTTTCTAATGGGAATGTACAATGATGATATTTTTGAATGAGTTCTTTTTCAAGATCAAAATCTTAAAAGTTTGTAGTTTAGAGTATATTATTCCATTCTTTTAATTTGTAATGATCTGAATCTGTTCTATTGAGATATGGTCCAATCTTATGTTTTAATTGATATGAGTTTCTATCAGATTGTGTAAAAGAAGAAGAAGATGGAATGAGTGGAAGTTCTTATTTTTTATGACAACTCGAAAGTATATTGGACTAACCCATTTTTAAAATCTTGAATAAGATTTCGCTATTTAAGGTGTAAAGTTTGAAATAAAATATTTATGTAAAAAATAAGTGATTTACCAAAGAGACCAGGAAGATCATAAAGATTGGAACAAATAAGTAGAAGGATAAATTTAATATCAAATCACTTTCCTATGAAGTTCATAGAGTAAAATCAAGCAATTAATATATACTCAGTTGATTTAGATCCAGTAATAGCAGATGATGCTAGAAAATTAAGAGAAGAGATTATTAAATTAGCAAGAAAAGATTTTGAAGCATAAGGATTGAAAGAATTTACAGTAATATATTTTAAGATGATTTTAGTTAAGAGGCTAGAATATATGGTCATCTTATAATATTCAAGATAGATTAATAGGAAAAGCATAATTTTAATAGTAAGAGTATATAGTTATTGTCTAACATAAGAAAGAGTATACTTTATAAGATTTATCAGAAACGACTACTAATCCAGTCACATAATCAATTAATGTAGCAGTTAAAAGATCTTTAAAAGAAATGGGAATGATTGAAATAGGTAGATAATCTAAATTTTATGATCCAAAGAATATTGAATGCAATAGAGTAATATTTCTATTTAATTTCATTAGATTAATGAACATGGATTAAAAGTGTGGAGAGGAATTAAGACTTCTTTTTAAATTTATTAAGGCATGCCTTTCCTATAAATAGATTTTGCATCCAGAGTTCTTAGAGATCAAACTGCTTTAGAATTTATGTTGAATCTTAATACTAGGAGTATTTAAGATATTAAAAATGAAATGATAGGATTAAGTGTTTTAGCAGCATATGGGAATTGCAGAATTTATAGAATAGATGAAATTGAATTTAGTTTAAATCCTACTCATTCCTTCTAATTATAAGATGGAAAATCTATTACATATTAAGAATATTATAAATAAAGATATAATATTTAAATTAGAGATCTTTAATAACCTCTATTAATGTATAAGGATAAAAGAAATTTAGATAAAATTGCATATTTAGTACCTGAATTATTAACTATGACAGGATTAACTGATCGTTAAAGAGCTGATTATAAATGTATGTAAAGTGTTGCCAAATATACTAAATTGTCACCATAGTAAAGAGATGATGAAATCTATAGATTTTATTAAGATTTAAAAAAAAATCTTTAAAAAAAGAATATATAATTAAGTGATGATTAAAATGTATAAGGATTTTAATTGTAAGCACCAAGAATTTATATGGGTAATAAAGAATATTAAACAGATTAAAGTGGATTCTTTATGATTAAAGATCCTGTCTTTTAAGGATCTCATATTTAAGATTGGTTTATGGTTTATTAATCAAGAGGTAAAAATGATGATGATGATGTTGATTTTATTGTCTCAGAATTATAGAAATAAGGAGAAAAAATAGGAATTAGAATTGAAAAGCCTTATTTTGTAATGCTTAAAGATAATAATATATAAAATTGGTTATAAAGATTAAATGCTGAGATAGGAAATAAACCTCCATAAATGATAGTCACATTTGTTAATGAAAGAGACAAAGATAAAATCTATGGACACATTAAGAGATATTGTTTTTAAGATTTAGGTATTAGTCATCAAAACATTCTAAGCAAATTCTTAAGAACTAAGAATCCTTCTAGTGTTGCTTCTAAAATTGCATAATAGATGAGTATGAAATTAGGTAATGCTTTATGGGCTATTCCTAAACCAAATGGTGTATCAGATAAAACAATGATTGTTGGTATTGATATTTACCATAAATTATTAACTAATCGTAAATCTTGCATGGGATTTGTTGCTTATTTAGAATCAGAATGTTTGAATACATTTTCTAAACCTATAATAATGAGAGAAGGATAAGAACTATCTCATGAAGTAGGGAGAGTAATTGTTGAAGCTATTTCTGCTTATTTTGAAAGAAATGGTAAAAAATATCTACCAGATACTATAATAGTATTTAGAGATGGAGTTGGTAATGCATAAATAGATGCACTTAAATAGACTGAAATCTAATAAATGAAAAATGCAATAAAAAGTATTAATAAAAATTACAATCCTTAATTTGCTGTTATAATGATAAATAAAAAAATAAATGATCGTTTCTTTATGATCAATAATGGAGGATAATAATAAATGAAATCATAATTATCTAATCCTCCTTCAGGCACTGTTATTGGTGATAAAATTACGTCATCTAATTTCGATTATTTTATTACTGCCTAATATGTTACATAAGGTACATGTACTCCAACTCATTATCGAGTATTAGAAAACAATACAAATTGGAGTGAAGAGTTATTTTGGTAATTAACATATTATTAATGCTTTAATTATTAGAATTGGAGTGGAGCTGTAAGGTATTTGTTTAATTATTCCAATATATAGAGTGCCAGCATGTGTATAATATGCTCATAAATTAGCTTATTTAATTGGAGATACATATTAGGGAAATATTCATAAAAGATTGGCACATTTATAATGTTGTCTATGATGATTTTTAATGATTGTTATGTTAGATAAATTAAATTTTATAAAATTTACTTATTTAATATATAAATTATCTTGAAATGTAGTAATATCAAAAAACCTTTATAGGGAAACCTTTAGATCGAAATCTAATAGTTAGATCAACTCTAAAGTTACCATAAATAAGGTAAGATCTATCAAATCATTAGAGTATTGGAACTATGAATATCCCAAATAGGTCATCAGAACATATTCGTAATTCACGCCTACATACTAAAACAAAAACTAGAGATACTATAAAAGCTGTTGTTAAAGAACGTCCTCATTTTAAACAGTTACCATCAGATAGAACAATGCCTACATTACCGTCATTAAATTCACCAAGGTCTGAAGATGAGGGTGAATCAACACATAAAAGTTAGTTTTCTTTAAGAAGAACTGTTATTGATACTCTCTCATTACGTCAATCTCGAAGGACTAGTGTAGAGAAAGACAGATTCAAAGAAGAAAAGAAAGAAGAAAAGAAAGAAGAAGAAAGAGTCGATTACTAATTATTAGACAGAGAAATTGAAAAATCTTAAAATTAATAAATAATTAATCAACAACAGTTACAAACAAGTAATAGTAATAACAATGAATTCAATCTAAATTAATAGAACTTAGATGAAGTTATTGAAGAACCTATTGAAGAAATAAGACCAAAAAAAGAATCTTAATCAATTAGACCCAAAAATGAAAGTGTCTCCTCACAATTCACTTAGCCTACTGATGAAATACATTCAGTATGGGATAACGTTGATTTGTATTTAAGAGGAGTTCAATTCGATGAATTCGATTAATAAACATAATTACAATCATTTTTGTAACTCTACAAAATGAGAAGTGGAGGATTCCCTGTAAGTTACTTAACATTAAATAAGGGCTAAAGAGAGAATTTGTCTAATGAAGAAGTTATCAGAAGAGCTGCTGAATATGCCAAAGGTAATCGACAAGTATTTAAGAAATATTTCCCTACTAAACAAGTTGTATTTGAAAATGATGAAGATTATACATAATAATATGATGTAAATAACGATGCTAATTTTTAAAAATTCTAAAAGTATATTCAGAAATACAATCAATAATGAGAACACTAATGAATTATATCTCATAATCATAATTAACAATATCTATTTATAACTCATAATGAGTAAACCTTAAATTCTATTCCATCTCCCTTATAAAACTTATTCTAAAACTCTACCCTTTATTTATTATTTCTATTTAATACCAATGCAATCTTAAAGAATGTAAAAAACACTCCATTGTATCCATACACATTAATACTCCAAAACTCACTAATGCCCAAATTGGATATCTTAATAATGCCTATTATTTTATTTAAATATTCTACCCCTATAATACTTCCCTCTGTTATTGAATTTGACAAAATTAAAGAATAAAACACATCTGCTAATTAAGAATGAGCCAAACTCAATGCCCATAATCTTAAATAACTAGCTGTATTTGATATCACACCTAATACAAATTCTATTGTTTCTATTGTTTCATGAACTATTAATTCAGTAAATTCTTCATCTGCACTTAATTCATTATGATCATGTATTTATAATAACGATTTCTCTTATTGAGTTTCATCCAAAATACTTTAAATTTGTAACTCAATCACTTATGATCCTTCTATTGATTAACCACTATTCTTTACTATAGTATTTCTTTTCCTTTTATATATCGAATAACCTTTTATAATATGTGAAAACCACATCCAAGGAATACTAATAACAGCTATAATTATTAATATTGCTTGAATCAGTTCTTAAGAATTTACATTCCACATTGATGGCCCTTCCACTGATCCAAAAGATAAAACCATTGTAATCATTGTATTTATTATACTTGGAGCATCATTTGGATTAAATTACTTTACCCATTTAAAAATGATTAAAAAATCCATGTATCCTATTGTACTAGTGAGAAACAAAATCTAAGGTAAGAATTTACAACAAAATCCATAAGTATCCTTCTTATATATCAAGTTACATCCTGATAAACATATACCTAAAAACATATGAAAATAAGCTATTATAACACTTAATTTCATTTTAAATGAATCATCAAATTCTAAATTATCTCCCCAAGCAGGATCTAATCCAAAAGGATATGTACAATCATGTTATTTATTTGGAGTCATTTATCCATCAACCACATAACAAGATCCAAAAAGATTTAATGATAAACTCACAAAATCATTGTAAATCCAACCACAATAAAAACTAAAGAATCCCATCAACAAAATTAAGTATCTCAACTCATAGAATGGTTCAAATTTATAAAAAATGTTATAAATTCCAAACATAAGTAAACAAAAGCCATGACCAATATCACCAAACATAATACCAAATAAAAAAGGAAATGTTATTATGGTAAATATTGCAGGATTAATTTCTCGATATCTTGCAATTCCATATGTATTCACTATCTATTAGAATACTGAAGTGAATTCATTTAACACAAAATATGTAGGTGGAGTTGTGTTAGGTACTTTTTGGGAAATTTGACACCCTGGAATATCTCTATTTCTCTCCTTTACAAGCAAAAGGGTTTCATTTAATTAAGCACTATCTTTTTTTGGAATCCATAATTCTCCAAGAAAGAGGTTACCTTACATTTTTAATTTATTCAACTGCATATAAAGTGCTTTCTCCTTTGATATATACATATTATAATGATCTAGTAACCTTATTCCATCATTTTATTTGAGTAATTCTTGAATAGATGAATTTAATTGAACATTAGTTAATTCTATAAGCTTGATAAGAGATCAATAAATACTTATTTAATTTCTTTGTGTTTGACAGTTAAATCATTTTAAATTTTATCAAATTCTTTGAGATTGAGCGGGAGTGTAAATCTGTTGAGAGAAATGGATTCCTAAACCTTTTAGAGTTTTTTCTTAAGGATGACACCTTGATCTGGGAATATGACAATATATAAGGCTTTTTAGTTTTATAATTTGATATGAACAAATGCATTACCTTTAGTAACTCTAAATACCATTCTTTAAAATCTAAGGAATAAGTATAAATTTACTGTTAGATTTCTTCTTATTTTAGTGTACCTATAAAGTAATCAATTTTGGAATCTCTAGAGACAAAGAAATCTTCACCTAAGTACATTCTGCATTCTTATAAAATATCCAATTAATCATTAATGATGGTTTATTATTCAAGTAATTGTTCATGATTTCTATTCTATTCAATGAAGGAATTAACTTTAGCATTGATTTATTCTTCCAATAGATCTAAATATTGATGTGTATGAATTTATGGGCACATTTTATGATTAGTTTTGGTTGTGATAGTATAATGTTTAAGAATTGATAATTTTTGAGCAGTTTCAACAAGTAGATTCAATTTATTTAATAAATCATCACATCTAGATTATGATTATGGAATACCTTTTTATATAATTAGCAAATGGTCTAGCAATAAGAGGTATAGATGGATCATGATCAACGATTTCTGCTTTTCCCATATAACCTAATTAATCCATAACAGCCCAAGCACTTTCTCTAGGCATTACAAGTTGATAGAAGGACATTTCTTATGATCTTTACATATAATAAATAATTTATAATTCTATTTATTTAAAATGGATGGAGTTGATCACATAATATTATAATTATGTTAGATTCTTCTGATAGTATAATAATTCGAAATAATTTACCTGAAGGAGAATTCAAAGGACCTATTCATCATCTCTTGAGTAATAAAATAATGTTGCAAGAAGGTGATAATTAAGGAGGGAGCTTTAATTCTTTTACAGTACCAGAAAATCCAATCTTGTTAAACACTCCTCCTAAAACTTTTAAGAATATGGCAGCTAGAAAATCTGATTTTTAATCTGCCTATGAAGTAGATGATGCTGATTCTTTAAAGGATAGCAAACCGTAGTTTTTGAGATTAATAATTGCAAAAAGTTTACAAAACAACTTCATTAACAACTTATGGAATAGATCATACTTAAGGAAACTTCATTAATTATCTCCTTTTTAGATTGAATAATTAGATGATTTATAATTTGAATCAGATGGTTTTTCAAATATTACACACTCTAATTAGAGATCGTTAATTTAATCCTTAGCCTTCTGGACATTAATCGATGTATTCACTCCTTATAGCAAATTCATAGTAATCTGGGATGTCTTTCAAATCCTTACTTATATTATGATTTTCTTTTGGTTACCATACAAGATCTCATTTGAAATTTATTATATAAGTGAATTATTTAATGGGGAAAGAGGCAGTGAAATCATAGAAATAGTGCTACTCTCAATTTTAGCATTAGATGTAGTTGTTGGACTCAATTTAGCATTTATTTATAAAGGACAAATTATAAAGGATCGAAAAAGAGTAATCATCAATTATTTTAATTAATATGCATTTGTAGATTTGGTAAATATTATATTTTATTTATGGTCTCCTTATCCACTATTTCAGCTTAATTCTTCATTCCAAACCTCAGTTCTAAAGACAGCAATATGCTTATAATGTAGATAGTACTAGGTGCCATATTTTATATTCTAAGAATTACTAAAATCAATAAAATATTAGCCTAGATTTAAGAGTAATAATAATACTATATAGATTCTTTAATCTTAACGGTTCACTAAATGATATGGTTGGTCTTATGAAATTATTGATGGTTATCGTATTTATAGCACATATTTGTGGATGTACATGGCATGGCATAGCACATTATACAACGGCATTTTCATGGTTAGATGCTTATAACTTAAGAGAAAGAACCAATGGAACTAGATATAATTATTCAATTTATTGGGCTACAATGACTATGACAACTGTTGGTTATGGTGATATCACAGCTTAAAATGATCTTGAATTACTGATTAACAACATCACAATGTTTGTAGCAAGCATAGTTTTTGCATATTCTGTTAATAGCATAGGAATATTTGTATCAAATATGTACAAAGGAACAATGGAATATAGTAGATCAGTTACTCTGATTAATACATTTATGTCTAAAAATAAAATCTAATTTGATTTATAAACAAGAATAAGAAGTTATTTAGAATATATTTGGTAAGAAGAATAAGAAATGAATGATGATGAAGTTGGTTCTATTGTTAAAAAGCTGAGTAGACATCTCTAAGATGAATTATAATATTAATTAAGAGGGAATATACTTAAAAATAGTAAAATAGTTATGAAACTATTTTCTGAACAATTTGTAAAGAATCTTCTTTAATCAATGGAAGAATTATCATTTAGTCCAGAAGAGAGAATAATTACATGCAATTAAATAGATGATTGTTCTTTATATATAATTACAAAGGGAGAAGTGGAATTGATGTTTTCAGGTAAAAATTAATTAGGTGATGTAATAAAAAGAAATTCAATTAGATTATTAAAATAATATGAATGTTTTGGTGAAATAGCATTTTTTACAGGAAATGCTAGAACAGCAACTGCAGTCTCTAAAGGTTTTACTCGAGCATTTAAAATAAAAAGAGAATATTTTTTAGCTATATTATAATCATTTCCTAATGATTATGAAAAGTTTTGTGATGCTAGAGATAGATTAATAAATAATGAGTTTTCTTCTCTATAATTAAATTGTTATAGTTGTAATAGTAATAGACATCTTATTAATAATTGTCACATATTACATTTTTGTGCAGATTAAGAAAAGATAATTAAGAAAGAGTTTTTTCCAATTGAATAACGTAGAAGTATGGCATTCAATAGAATTAAAAAGATAAAAGCAGTTTGTGCATTTAATATGTAGAAATACTATTCAGAAAGAGCTCGTGATTTAATTTAAGATATTTATCAATAAGAGAAAATTGGTACAGATCTTGATGATGGAGATTCTCATACAATGCCAATGAATGATGCATATGAAGATGATGATGGTAAAATGATTATTTAATTAGATTTACCTTCTTCAATTAATTAATAAAGAAGTTAATCTGGAACAATAAGTAAGTAAAGTTAAAAACAATAATAAACAAAAGATATTGAAGATGATGAATAATATAATAAAGGATATCATCGTAAATCAAATCCTCCAAGATAAACTGTTTAAACAGCTGGTTTTGGTGGTAATTAAAAAAATAAAGATAGTATTTATTATTATAAGATCAAAATAGTTACTTGGAATGTTGAATAATTAAGTGATTCTTTAGATTCTTCTGAAGAACAAGATTAAGTAATAGTACCATTATAATCATTTCCTCAATAAAAATCAAATGAACTTATTAATAAATAATAAACAATTAAAAAACAATTATCAAGAAGTGGATCTGCAGATGTTCCATCTAAAGTTCCTACAGAAGTTCGACTTGCTAAATAATAATTATAAATTAAAAATTAATCTGATATTGAAATTCGACATGTTTTATCAAGAGATCAAGCTAGAAAAATTACTGTCAGAACAAGAACACATAATGAAGAACCTACTTTAATCACTGATAATTTGACTTAAAATAATGCGGTTTAATAATTATAAGCTCCTACTATTACTACCATTGTCTTATCATTTGATAAAATGTGTATCTTTTAGTTCTATCAACCATTTAATAATTATGATGCTGTTATTAAAAGGTTATTATATTCTACATTTATTTAGATATGCAAGAGCTTAAAAATTCTTTGGAAAAAAGAGATCATATCCTGAAAATTCATTATATTCATTTTATTTCCTAGCTATTAAAAAAGGATATAAATTAAGAAAATTAGGATAATTAATTCCTGTTGGATTATAAAGATTCTCTGGTGGTGGTGCTAAACTCTTTAAAAAAGTATATAAAAAAATGAAATAACCATCATTAGCTGAAAAAAATGATATTTTTTTTTAAGTTAAATGATATATAATTAAATTTTAATTTCTCAATATTTAATTAATCAAATAAATAATAATATCTAACATCATTATTCTTGTACAATGCGTTTCATCTAATGCAAAAAGTTCTTTTAATTCATCTATTCATTTGGAATTGTCCTTAAAAATAGAATTATATATTTAAAATCTATTTTGTGATATAATTAAGTAAAATATCCATATATTAAATACATTATTCCAACACTAACAAAATATTATTCACTATATTACCTAATCCCAACTGCTATCTCATAAAACTACATTAGAAATACATATCTATTTGATTACTCATATTAGATTTTATATATTTAATCTATTTACTAACTCAAAATATACGTTGTCTCATAAAAATAAACTAAAAATGTATTTATAAAAGACTAACTTTAAAGAAAACTCAATAGTGCATCTGAATCATTTTAAGATTATTTTTAAACTAATTCAAACTAAAACTCAGTGATTTTTTATTTTTAAATGTTGTTAATCAAACTCATCATTCCTCTATCAATTAATTAATGCATATCTTTATATGGATATTAATCATCTAAACAATATTTTATATTATCTCTATAATTTAAGCAATAATCAGAAACCAAAAAATTAAATTTTTCATCTTCTTACAAGAATTCAAGATTTATAAGAATTTCTTTAGAAATATCAACCAATAATTCCATGCAATCTTCAAAATGATTTATTAATTTGATAAACATTTAATCTGAAAGATCAAAAATTTTATTAGTTTTAATTAGTGTTCCATAAAGTAATCCAGAATCAAGAACAATATTTAATTTTAAAAATTGTTTTTCAATCTCTAAATAATTATCTTAATAATATTTCTCTTACAATATTGATCCTGTGATAATAAATAAACATAGAACTGTAACTACAATAAAGTTTGGTAATATGTAATGATGATTTAAATTTCCCTCTAATTCATAAATTTTTTTATTTTACTATCTCTCCAAATGTAAATGTGAATCTTCTTATATTATAGTTAAATAAGAGGTTAATTTCCAATTTTTAGAATTACTATTATAATTCTAATTATGATCTAATTTTGTTTCAAAGGTTTCTTTTATAGTAGATAATCTAGCTATATGATTCTATATTTTTGTAATATTTGTTTATTATATCAATTTCAAGATTTAAATAATTATCTATTACTTTGCATATAGAAATCTTATTTAATATATGACAAATAAAAAACATAATACTGTAAACAACAAAGTTTAAATTAAATCTGGCTACTCATCCTAATAATTATCCAAATCTTATATTATTTCTCTATAGAAATATTAAAAAATATAATGAGTATAATTGGTAAATTTGAATCTTTAAAATGATGAATTTTGATAAATTTATCTCAATTCAGTGTTGTATTATTCTAAAATCATATGGAATTATTCTAAATCCACACTACCATCACTAACATAATTATTTAATATTAAATATTCCTTTTCATATTTATTCCAACTATAAACTAATTAAGATTCTGATAAAGCCATTTAGATTACATACTAATTTATATTAATAATTGACAATTAAGATAATTCAAAAAGAACATATAAATTTAATTTTATTGTTAATTTCTTATGAAATTCTACTTTTGTTATAGTGTTTTTGAGAAAGACATCATTATTTTATATATGTCTTCGAACTTCAAAACTTTCAACAGCTATATTGATAATTAACAAAAAGATTACACATATAGAAAAATATGTGAATTTTTTTAAGCATGAAATTATAAATTTTTATTTAGAAATATGATCTAAATAGAGGTATATATCTTTAAGAGAATTCATTTTATTTTTATATATTCTTTTAGTTTTCATTTTTGATTAGATCTTTTTATTTTGCTTTTAATTAGATTCTTTAAATAGTTTTTCTCTTTCTGTATCATTATTATCTTCATTTAATACTTATTAATTGACTATTTTTCTTTCAAGAATAATCTCTTAAAATTCTTATTCAACTGCTTAAATAACGTCATCATCATCTTATTAAATATTGATACTCTATAATTCTATTCTAGTTGTCAATAATTATTTTTTTGGTTGTCTATCAGTCTAAAGTTTTAATAGTCTAGAAGTATTTTCAAAATCATAAGATTACATTTTTTATTTTGTTACACTAATAGATGATAAGTAATTATTAAATAACATTTAACGATCATGTTCTATTTTATTTAAATATAAAAGATGATTTTTTAAGTTAATATTTTAAATTTAATTCTAAACTTCCTCATTTGATTAAGGTCTTTCTGAATTAATAATTTCAATATCTTCCTCTGGGAAACCATAAGATTATTTATTGATTTTGCTTGATTCTGATCTTTTAGTTTATAAGGAGGCATAATAATTAGAGTTGTGTTTTTGTGTATAATCCTATTTACAATCTTTAATTTCTAATAAAAAATATCCTAAAGTTTTCTTACCAATATATATTTTTCTAAAACTTAGTGAATATATTAAATAAATTTTTCCTCTATTGACCTTTTGAATATCTCCTAATTAATCTAACATATATCTAATTGAATTATTGTAATTATTATTTAATATTTACCATTCACATCCATCAATATTTAATTCTCTACTATTTAAAAGCGATTCTTCAAATTCAGATATCTAAACTGTACTAGGTTTAGAAGATTGTAAAAATGTTTTATGAGAAATAAAATTAGAAAAGGATAATACATGATTAGATGAATAACACTATTTCATTATATAATTAGTACTTAATACACAGTTAAAATGATTTTCAGGATATTACCAATATGAAATTAATTCTGTTAGGGTATAATTTTAATGCTTTTCAATGTTTAATTTTAGATTAGCTATTTATTCAATAATGTTTTCTATATAATATTATATAAGAGCACCCTTCTCAATAATATCATTTATTGAAAATCTTTTTGTATAATTTTCAAAAATTAAACTTTATTGAGTAAGTTCAAAAAAACCTTATGTCATTCCATATAATCTCCCATTCATACCAAAAATTATTTACTCATTGTAATTTTACTCTTTTGTTAATAATGCATTTATGAAATAATCATTCTCTCCTTGAATTGGTAAAATATGAATATTACAAGGTACTATATATCCTTTAGGATTTTAAAAAAATGTAGATTATCCTTATTGAGTTAAATGAGATTGACCTTTCTAAATAAATATCTCAGTTAATTAATCATGAATCTCAACCAAAAATTAAGGCATTAAATCTAAACTTGATTTAATCATTTTTATATCTTCAAGAGATGTTTCAACAAATTAACTTATCTATTCATAATTTGGTTTGATCAATTAATTAATATTATAAATTAAAGAAGTTTTTAATAACATAAATCTATCTAATGTAAATTACATATTTACTCATTATTAATTAATTGCTATCTAAAGTCTTAAATTATTAATATTTTTCAAATCTAAATACTTCATTAATCATTTCCTCCATTTATTAAGCCTAAATTAAATTTATCTAATTACTTTTATTAGATCAACATTTGCAATACAATAATATACTTATTGTAATCTTAAACTTATCACATCTAATTATGAATTTCCCAATAATTTATGACTCTTCAAATTATAATTTTTCTCCATTACTATATTCAATTCATTTATTTATAATCCTATGTTTTAAGACTATCTATAAAATTAAACCAAATTAATTTAATTCATAGCTATCTAATTCCAAAATTTTATTAGATTTTCAATCAATTATAAAATTTGATCTAAGACTAATTTACATGCTATTTCAGATTTATATGAAGTTAAAATATAATTAGCAATTTATATCTTACATATATTTAATTTTTGAAAAGTCAATAAAGCTGATTAATAGTAAAAATCTTCACTTTTTTCTTTATGTAGTTCTACTAATGCACGTAATGGCCATTTATTTTATATAAAACTTGCATATATTAATTTATTTCTTTCATTTGTTGCCTTACTCTTTAAAATACATCCAATTATATCATAAAAAGCCTTACATTTAAGACATTTATGATTATTTTTAAATATTTATAATTTTACTCTTGCTTATTTATCAACTAAACAATTTTTATAAATTTTCTCAGCTAATTGACAACTTAATATAGTGTCACCTTACATAAGAATTTACTGACTTTTAATATTCAATAATGAATTATGAAATAACAAAACCACTGTTGAAATTATCAAGTAATCCATAAAAGTAAGATTTGTTAATAAAATCAAATTAAATAATAAAAATAGTATGTTCAACACTACTTTTTAATTCGATGATTAAGTAAATTTTAATGCATTAAGTGATATATTAAATAACATAATTAAGAGTTAAAAAATTAGAGATATTGTATCATTTTAAAATGATAAATAAATAGATAAAAATTCTAAAAATTTTACTAAAAGTCTAAGCAAAACAATATTATTAGTAACATTTTCAGATTAATTTAGCGAATCACCTCTTTAAAAAAATACAACTAAAAAAGTCATAAATATAGAAATCAATAAATTGATCAAAGCTATTGGAAAATGAATTAGTGACTAAGTGAAGCACAATTTTATATTTAACCAGATAATTGGGATAAAAAATACATTAGGATAAACATTTAATACCCCATTAATAAAGATAATTAGTAGCTTCCATTTTACTTACTTTTCTATGAAATTAAGTAAAAAGTTTGCGAATAAAGTAATTATAAGTGTGAAATTGAAAATTAAAAAGAAAATTTGAATTACTGTCAAGTATTACTCATTTAAGATGTTAAAAATGAACGTTCCCCTTATTAGAGAATATATCGTTCTATTATTAATTTATTTATTACATAATATCTGTTTGTGGTTTGAATTCTCCACTTAAATTGAAAAGCTATGCCAAATATATAAAATAGCATAATCCTTAAATTTTGGAGTTTTAATCAAAATTCAGCAAGTAGTGAATGCTTCTACATTAATATGTCAACTTTTTCATAGATTAAATATTTCTAAATTGAAAACAAATTAATTAATATAAAAATATTTTATCAGTAAATTAAGATTGATTCCAAGTTACATCAATCTTTTTTAGTTATACATATTCATATAAGTCCCAGAACACTATATATCATATAGTTTTCATCTTATAACCATTTTTCATATAAAAAATTTATATTAAAAAATATAATAGTATTAATAGTACATATTTCATATTTCTTTCTTAATACAAATTGATTATAGAAATTAAAAGTAAATAAATAATAAGTTTTTAAATTTTAATAAATAAGGTTCATGTATTAAGAATTAAAATAAAATTATAAAGGAGAAATACTCAAATGTAAAAACATTCTATCATTACTATTTAATCTTTTCATCCATTTATTTTAATACTTTAACATAGAGATCTAATTGATTTTGACAATTTTCAATTTCAAGTTGATATTGTTCAATTTATTATTTTAATTTATCTCTTTCAGCTTCAGATTTAACTTTTGCTTCATGCTCTTAATTTAATTCTCTAATTAAGTTCACTTTTTCTCTATTTAAGTCTGCAACCGTATCTTATAAAGAAGATACTTCTTCAGTAGAGTTAAAAGTTTAATTAGCTTATGTTTACAATAATTTTTTTAATTCTTCATTTTCTCTTGTTAACTATTAAATCTAAATATAAAAATTCTTTTTTATTTATTCTACTTAATTTTAGAATTGTTCTTTTGTTAAACAATCCTATTACTTTTAGATTTATTTTTATTAAAATTCTTCAACGACTTTGATTAAACTTTAAATTCTTGATTCTAAACCTGTTTTAATTTTACTTTATTGCGTTAATTAATCATTAAGCTTATTAATAACATTCTATATATATATTAATTAGATATTACTTTAAGTTCTAGAATTTATTCATTTAAAGAAATTGCCTCTTTTGTGAGTTCAGTATTCTATTTTTTTAATCTCATTAGTTCACTATTATTTTCTTTATTGACTGATTAACTTTTCTTTGTCGTTGATTATTTTAGGGCTTATTATTTATCAATTTCAGCTTATTAAGTTTATCTATGATTAATTTAAACTTATAGTAATTCGATATGAACTTCATGTTCCTCAATTTTACTTTCTTAAACTTTTATCTATAATAATTTAATACTTCATACTTGTTTTAATTATTATTCGTTTTCTAAAAGTAATTATTTATTAAAAATTTCAGTTTTCTATAATTTTTCTGTAATTATTTAACATTAATCTCTTAAATCTTTAATTATTTAATATGATTCCTCTAACTTTTAGGTTATCATAAACTTTTCTTTGCTAATAACTTCATAATTATAAGAGTATTTTCTTTCAGATTCTTGTAAAACTCTTAAATTATGTTTTAGTTCGTTTATTTCTTTAAAATTTAATTAAATTTGAACTTATTATTCTTCAAAAGTCTAATTTTAAATTTTATACTAAAAATAACAAAAATATGATACTCTATTTAATAATTCGTCATATTAACTGTGTAATTCTTTATAAGATCTATCTAATTTAATATATTTTTCTCTGTTTCCTTCATGGTCATTTTAAGCATTTTTTTGAATCAATTCAAATTATTCATAAATAACTTCCTTTTCATTGAGAACTTAATCTTATTGAAACTATAGTTTTTTGATTTATTATTTAAGTTCATTATTTTATTTCAACTAACTATCATTAGTTTATTCAAGTTGGTCGATTTATTCGATCATTTATTTCATCTAATTATATGAAGTTTAATTTTACTTTTTTAATGGATATTTCTTGATCTTTTGATAATTGATTTAATTAATTTTCAAGTTCTAAATTATTATTTTGTAATAATGTGTTATTTTAAATAGTTACTTCTAGATCTTTATTAAATTTGTTTCTTTCTTATTCTAATTTAAGAGATTGAGATTTATAATTTTCTATTTATTCTATAAATTATTAATTCTAATGATTAAATAGATTAAAAATATTACCTATTTTTATAGAAGATGATGTTGATTAGTTAATTCATTAACTTAATTTGTCAAATCTTTAGTGTTTTCAGCTGTACTTTAAAAGCAAGATTTAAATTATATTAATTTTTCATCAAATTAAGTAGTTAATTCATCTTTTTCTTTTTATATTGCATCTAAATTGTAAAGTAATTTAATTTATATTTATTTAAGTTCATTAGTTTATTTTAAGAGTATATCTGTTTATTATTCATAATCTTCATTTGAGCTGACAAGTAATTTGATTTGCTTTTGATTTTATTCAATTTAAATTGAATTAGTAATTTAAATATCTTCTAATTATTAATTTCTTTCTTAAAGTAAATTAATTTCTTCTTATTATTGTTGATTAATTTTTTACATTTTTTCAAAAGATTCAATAATTTTAGCTAATTCTTATTCCATTTTTAATCTAATTTCAGATTATTATTGAATTTAAAGCTATAATTCTTGATTTTCAGATTGTATTTATGAAATGAGTTGTGTTTATTATGAGATGGTGATTTAATATTAATTTTCAGATTAATCAACTTAAATAATTCTGGTTTTAATTTCTTCTAATTGTTTATCTTTTTAATTTAAGAGATTAAGTAATCGTCTAGAATAATATAATAAATAACTTAAGATTGATATTTAATTCATCATTTTCATTTTAGATTTGTTCATTTAAATCAATTTATTTAGCTAATAAATGGCTAAGAATTTCTTTTGACCTTTCTGGTTCCATAATTTGAAATTTAAATATATATATTAATATTTTAGAATTGAATATAATAATTTAACGTAATAAAAATGGGTAATCAATGTTGTGGGAATCAAACAATAAATAGAGATGCGAATGAATAGGCATTTGCATAGGCAATACCAGTGAGATTGTAGTAGAAATTAAAATGTGAATCATAACGATTTCATCAAGTATTATTATCAAATGGTGAAAATGATAAGAAAGGTATTAAGGAGAGATAAATAATTAGATATCTTTTCAAATGAAAGATAATAGGATTTCATATTGAACTTGAAACCATATAGTCATTTAGCTACAAATGATTCTGTTGTAGTATCAATAAGAGTAGTTTGTCATGATTATTCTTATAAAGATGAATTGGATTGGTATATTGATGAAGTAAAGTATTTTGATAATAAATAGTCTGTTATAATAGATCCAAATTGTTTTGAAACATCATTATTAAGAGTAATTGATAAGAAAACAGGTAATAAATACACACTTAGAGTGATAAATTTTAATGATTATGAAGATTATGAATTCAAGTAAGCTTTATATTAAATATACATAATGTAATTGATTGGTAATAAATGTAAGAATTTGATATCTTTGTATGATTGTTACATATTAGAGAATGAAGATAAAGAATATTCAAAAGGATCTATAATATTATTAATGGAATATTGTGATTCAACATTACATGAAATAATATCTTTTCGTAAATTTCATAATTGGTAATGGACATCTGATGAAATAAGACATGTATTTGGTGAATTATCATAAGCTTTAGGATAATTAGAATAATTAAATATAACTCATCGTGATTTACGTCCTCATAATATTTGGTATTGTTCTTTAAGTAAAACATATAAGATAGGAGGATTTGAAGAAGCTAAATTAATAAAAAAAGCATAAAATTTACATAATTAATTATCATTAAATAATTTAGGAATAAATATATAATAAGAAAATGAAGAATTATTAAATACAATAAGAGGAGTGCCAGATTATTTACCACCAGAAGTTTAAAAATATGTAGATGCAAGTGGAACATAAAGTGTTGGTAGATATAATCCATTTTTATCTGATGTTTATTAATTAGGATTGAATATACTAATGATGGATTAATTAGAAGTTAATTTTGAAAGTACTGAATTAAGAAATCTTGTTAAAAAACTTAATAGTTAACGTGCTGGAACTAGAGGAGGTAGTAGTGATTATCATGATTTATTAAAATTAATGTTAGTTGGTGATGAATCAGGTAGATTAACACCTGCTGAATTATCGTTATTTACTAAATCATATTTTATAGAAACACCTATTAATGAAGATAATCTTGTTGAAAGTATGAAATATAAAAAAAAATATGCCGGTATTGAATCTACTAAAGTTTATTAACTAATTGCTGTTGCTTATTATGATTTATTTGAATGGGAAAAGTGGCTAGAAAAAATGGAAGAAATATTAGTAACTTATGAGAATGCTAAAGATGATATTCATGCTGCAGAAGTTCTATTTGATATTGCTAATGGATTTATTGATATTAATAATTTAACTAGTGCATAAGATTATTTTATGAAGGCTAGTATATTATATAATGAAATTGGACATTAATTTAGAGAATCAAATAAATTAAATGAAGCATTAGATAATTACGAAAGAGCTTTAGATTGTGTTAGAAAAGCGTAATATATATCTCTATATATATTATAGTCATAATGGAGATGATAGCTATGAAGGAGCACTATTGTTAGAAAATCTAGCTAATGGATATAGGTTATAAGGAAATCTTATTAGAGCTCGATCATTTCTAGAAGAAGCTTGTAGAATTACTGAATAAGAAAAAGGACCAGATAGTTTAGAATTTGCTAAAATGAGTATTAATTTAGGAAAGGTTCATTCCTTATTAGGTGATTATAAACATGCACTTAAAAGAGTTAAAAAAGGACTTAGAATTACTGAAGGTTTATATAATTTATGTATTTTAGGACATGCCACAGGTAATTAAAATTTGTAATAAAGTATGTTAAGTTATAACAATTAAAATTAATAATTGTAAAATTAGGCATTATTATTAAAAGCTTAAGGATTAACTATGTTAGGAGAAATATAAAGATTAAAAGGTACTTTAGGAAAAGCTAAAAAAAATATTGAAGAAGCCTTAGCCATTAGAGAAAAACTATAAGGATCTGGAAATTTAGAAGTTGCTTCCACTATAGAAGTACTTGGAAATGTTTTTTTTGAAATGGAAGATTTTCATTAAGCAAAATCATAATATGAAAAAGCTTTGGTTATTAAAAAGAGTAAATTAGGAGAAAATCATGTCGAAGTAGCCTTAACATTAAATAATATTGGAAATTCTTGTAAACATTTAGAAGAATATGATAAAAGCTAGAAATTCTTTGCAGATGCATTAGTTATTTTAAAATAATCTTAATCTGGTGATGATCATCCACTGGTTGCTACAACTTATGGTAATCTAGGGATATTATTAAAATAAATTGGAAACATTTAATCAGCTTAATAATGCTTAACAAAATGTATTCAAATATTAGATAAAACACTTCCTAAAAATCATCCTGACTCTTTATTTTATAGAGAATAATTGCAAGAAATATAATAATGATTATTATTATTTATTTAATCATAGTGGTTATATTTAAGCCTTCTTCACATTAAGTTTCTTTCTTAAATTTTTACTTTATTTATGTAATGTCAATAATTTAGAGAATTTATTATTCTTTTTTTTCTAATTTGATTCCTCTTATTTAATCTCTCTCACATTAAAATTATCCGATTTGAATTTATATTTATGAATGAATGAATATGGATACATCAAATATCTCACGAACTATTTAAAGACCTAAGGAATATTTTATTATTCTTTCAATTTTACTTTATAAAATTCATTATAAATTGTCAATATTTAATCAACATTGTTATGAATATTATAAAATTTATATTGTTTAACACTTTCTATCTAATCAAATTTCTCTGGTTTTTAAGTATTAAGTTTAATTAGCATTTATAATTTCAACTTCAGAAATTCCATTTCCTAAATATCTTTTTCAATCCATTCAATATTGTGATCATCAATATATTTTAATCTCTTCTATATTCCATTTAACAATTATTTTTATTCTGACTCTTTATAGTTTTCACTATTTAAAGATGCTAGAATATTTTTTGTTTAAGCTTTCGAACTTTTACGATTTGTTATTTTATTTAGACTTTTAACTACTTCCACTGCTCTTTTAAATTTACTAATTCCTTTAAAATTCTAAAGTGGTACTAAATCTTCATCTACCAACAATGATATTGATTTTTTAGTAATTTTATTTATTTAACTTTTTCTTTAACTTAAATAATTCATATTCATTTAAAAATCTTCTTCAGGTTCTTCTTTTATTGAATCTTAGAGATAATAATAATTAGATGATCTTGGAATATTAATTTGTTAAAGTTTACTTTTATCAACTTCTTCATCTAATTCCTCATAAAATAAACATTGTTTATAATTATCAGTTTAAAATAAATCACTAGTTTCTTAAATTAGATCATTATCATTATAAGCTGAAAAATATCCATGTTATCTTTTAGGATTTCTCCTAAATTTAAATTTAAAAGTTTCATTACGTTTTTATTCTCTTGAAAATTAATGTTTTTTAACTAAATATTCTTTATCAGGTATAAAATGAACCAAAGGACAATCAATAACTTTATGAGAAACACTTTTACAAGAAAAACATGCTAATTTAAGAAATTCCGAATCAGAATTATAAATTAAATCATCATGCATTTCTCTAAAAGCTTCATAATCTTCTGGGAATTCTGGAATAATTTTAAGAAAATCATCTCGAGACAATAACAATAATTTAGAAAAGCCAATACTTTTAAATCTCTCTCTTGCTTTAATTCCAGTTAAGAATGACATTAAACCAAGACTACTTCCTTTTGAAACAGTATTCACTATGGATATTGAATTATAAGAAACATGATTTTATTACATCTCATTTTCTATAAATATCTAAATTTCTCCTTCTTCTACAAAACATATAAATTAATTCATTTTTTAACTAGGAAATAAATGATTAAAATCTATAATATTTTCTGGTTAAACTACTATTGATTTAATCTTTTTAACCAACTTCTTTTTTAATTATTCACTAAAATGATTTTTAAATAATGGACAATTATTTAATATCATAGAATTAGCTTCAAATTATAAACTTTCTCTTAAGTTTTCTGATAATTAATTAATTATATTTTTTTCTTCTTCTGTTTCCTCTTATTAATTACATTACCAATAATAATTGAGATATTCTCTAATCTTAAATTATAGTTCATAACTAATTTTCTTATTTTACATATAAGTATTAATAGTTTAAACCTTCTTTCTTTTTTCTTTTGTATAGAATGAAATCTTATCAATAATAGCACCTACAGTACTCACACTGTAGGATAATTATATACTACATATCATCATAAACATTATACAAAGAACAGTTTCAAAAGTACTTTGAGGAGTAATGTCTCCATATCCAACTGTAAACATTGTAACTGTTGAAAAATAGAATGAATATAAATATTATATATTCCAATCAGCTTCCTCTAAGTTTTTCAAATTAAGCCATGTTTTATAATCATTTCTATATGAATAACTTCCAACCCAAAACCAAAGACAAGAAAATATATGTAAAACAAAAAACAACAAAAATATTAACTTTCCTAATTCTAATAAAGAACTCACTTATTTTGATAAATTCAATGCTTCTTCAACTTATTCTGATAATTTAGATATATTTTTGTATTAAATTAAAAACAATAACAACAACAAATGATACCAATTTTCAGTTAATCTTACTTATTATGATTAAACTACTGAAATTATTAAAAAAGTTATCAATATCAAGACTGATAAAATATCTAGTCCATATGTTTTTGTAAATACATATTAAGCAATCTTTCTCCTATCTGTTACTATTGATCCAAATTCATAATAGGCATTATTAAAACTTATAACAAAATCAATTATCAATAAAGTCAACATTAATGATGTGGGTATAATTAGAATATCAAACATAAATGATTACATTTCCCATGCTAAATCCATTGGAATAACATATATAAAATAAAATCTTGCCAAAGTAACAATTGCATCCCAAAGCATTTTCAATTTTGATTCTGGGTAAATTAATGGAATTTTGTTGAGGAAAGCATTCCATTTTAAAGATATCAAAGATAATAATTTATTTACTCTTATTATAAATTAGTTTTCTATTTACTAAACCTATTTAACAATTATTGGTCGCATTTTTATCGTATTTTCTCTAAATAAATTTAAATTAAATGTAGCTCCTAAATCGTTAATTACTTCAAAATGATATCTATCAAACATTGAATTCAATTTCTTTTTAAATGATATCTTATGTACAAATTTTTAAATCAGAAAATATTAAAAAAAATCTCTATATATTCTTTCTTAAGTTGAACTTACACTATTTCGTTGTTGCATCTATATAATTTATTTTTAGTCTGAAGAATCATTTGTTGGTTTTGTTAAGTTAATATTATTAGGAGATAGAGGAGTTGAATTTTAATGTTATTAGTAGTCTTAATTGATTGAATTCTCACTTACATTATTACCTTTACTCTAAAATTTACTAACTGAAAAACAAACATCTGATAGTGAATAATTAATGAAATCTTAGTATTCATCAATAGGCTATTCAGTTATCATCAACTAAGGAATTTGAGAGGACATCCTGATTTTCTTATATATTAACTATAAAATAATATATAAAATTCATTCTTATTAAATTCTTAAAAGACTTATTCTTTATGAATTTAATGATAAATTCACAATCCTTAATGCTTTTTATTGTTTCCTTTTCATTTTCAATTTATAATTATATCTATATTATTTGGTTTTTTGTTTTTATTTATTTCAGTTATTATATATTCTCATCTTTTTTCTACATTCACTTAGAAGTATCAATTTTCATTTAAAATTTTTATAATTTTCTTATAAAATGATTTTATTTAGAATTATTCAATCAACTTCATTATTAAATTTATTGTTCCTTGAAATCTTTAAAAGCAACAACTAAAATTTAATTTTTTAAATTAGACAAAAATCAACGTATTTTGTTACCTATCTACTATATCATTTATTATTAACTCTGTATTAACTTGTGTTCTTTAGTATTTAAATTTATGTATTTTCAAATTCAAAATAATTGTAATTAATCTAAAGCACCTATCTGTAAAAACTTAAATTAAATTCAATTTTTGTCAAATTTCTTAGTATTTTGAATTGATAAAAACACTATTTTGAAGGAATAGTACAAATATATTTTCGATTCATCAAGATTTTCAATTGTTTTAATGATTTTTCCTAAACTCTAAAAGCATTGTCATACCTATATTATATAAAGTGCATTATAATTTATAAAGTAAAAAAATATATTTATAAACATTGAAAATTACTATTTATTTATTCTCAACTAAAATACAATTTAATTAGTGTCTTGCTTTATTTGTATAAATAGAATATAATTAATAATATTGAGACAAATATGTTAATAGATATGTTGTGGCAAATTTTTAATTTCTGCTTTAATTAGAATAAAAGAATGATTAAGCTGAATTAAAAAAATGGAATAGAATATTAGAAAGAATCTAATTCAATAAATTTTTTATAAATTATATTTTTGTATAATCAATAATTCCAATTTAATAATAGAATCCTTTTTTATTGATAATCTTATTGATTACTTCAACATCTTAAATTTCATCGATAAGTTCAAATACATAAAAGCTTAACCAATCAACAAGAATTCAACGTAAAGAATGATGGATAAACTTAATCCACTTTTCTAATTTTTAAAATCTTAATCTTTTAATACTTGATCACTTGATAAAATAATTTCTGTTTGTTAAGATCTTATACTATTGTATTAAGATTATTAATGCAATGCCAAAAATATTATTCAATTATTTTATATTCAAGTTTAGAGTTCTGTTATGTTTATACTTTTTAAGAGAATTTTATTTTTATATTTAAAATAAAAAATTTGAAGTGTTATACAATTAAATTGTATATGAATATATTAAAAAGGCTCAAGTTTACTACTTTTATATTATTTTGTATAATTCTTTGATTAGATAATAGAATCTGATAAAATGTATTATTTTTATTATTAAATAATGTAGTAAAGTTTTAAGAAAATTGGAACTCATAATGGAGCATTCCATGTAGATGAAGTATTAGCATGTACTATGTTGACCAAATATACTAATGAATTTAAAAATGGAATAATAACTAGAACAAGAGATCCAGCTATTTGGGCTTAATAGGATATTTTAGTAGATGTTGGAGGAATTTATGACCCATAAACACATCGTTATGATCATCATTAAAAAGAATTCTAGGATTCATTTTCTTAAGATTTTCATATTCGTTTGAGTAGTGCAGGATTAATCTACAAACATTTTGGATTAGAAATTATTTAGAATATAATTAATCATATTAATGCCACAGTTGAGCTCACTATAGAAATTGTAAAATATTTCCATCAAATATTAATAGGAAAAGGTTGATGAAAAGTCACTTAACATAATGTATTTAAAATTATATAAGAATTTTATATAAAGCATTGATGCGATAGATAATGGGATTAATCAATTTCCTACTTAAGATTAAATTAAATATTAAATCAATACTCATTTATCAGCAGTCATAAACAGATTTAATCCAATTTGGTGTGAAAAAAATTAGGATGAAAATGATAGATTTCATTAAGCAATAGAATTCGTTAATAAAGAGCTTATTTCTTAAGTGAAATCAATTTATTTGTATATATTTATTTTATTTGATTTAGAGGTTGGTATCCTGGAAGAATTTATGTTCTTTAAGCTTTTGAAGCAAGGATTGAATAAGATCCATCTGGATAAATTCTTAAATTACCAATTGCTTTACCATGGAAAAGTCATGTCTTTGATATAGAACAAGAAAAAGGAGTTGTTGGATTAATAAAGTTTGTTTTATATCCTAACCAAAATGAAGGATGGAGAGTTTAAGCTTTGTCAATTTAGGAAGATAGTTTTGAAAATAGAAAGTCTTTGAAAGAAGAATGGAGAGGAATCAAAGATATTTAATTATTGAAAGATATATCTGGCATTGATGATATTGTATTTGTTCATGCTAATGGATTTATTGGAGGAGCTAGATCTTATGAAAATGCATTGAAAATGGCCAAATTAAGTCTGGATTGATCACAAATACATAATATATCAATCAATCAAATTTAAGTATCTCACTAGATATCTAAATATCTTAATTAAAAATAATGAAAATATAAATATATTTTATATAATTAATCATGGATTCTGAATCCCCTGTTATGAAGAAATACCCAATCGAAAATATTTTAAATGATGCTACTGGTTTACTGAAAAAGGTATTATAAGTTAACATAAAAGAATGGCAATCGAAAAGTGATCTTAATGTTAGATAAACATTTCATGAATTATTCTCATAATGAAATGAACACACTAAATATACAAATAAGTAGAAGACTTATGAGAGCAGCTTAGAGTTTAATAAAGGAATATATTCATGGTGATAATATATCAAAAGTGGATCTATTGCTTGATAGATGCAATTTATATACAGCTATAATATATATTAACATTCAAAGAATGCTTAAGAATGAGAGAGGAACTGAACATTTTGAAGAATTGACTAATTCGTAGATTGAATAAAAGATTGGATTAAACCGATTGAGGTAAAGGATTCGTTAGACTATTTGTATCCCTGGAAGTTTAATAAAGGTTGCCCATTTAGGTAGACTTAAGGAAAAAACCAAAAGTATTTACTATATATATATTTTAGTTAAGTTTTATTTAAACGAATGTTGGACGTTATTAATGAAATAGCTAGTTTTATATGCAAAATTATTTAAAATAACTAATGAAGTACCAAATAGTTTGAAGATGATGCATAAAGTTGATAAAATATTATAGATTAAAGAAATGTAAAACACAACAAATATTGATTTAATAAAAATATTCGTTGATCATTACTAAAATTTCGGTTAGCTTTACTTTTAATTATGCGAGTTTAAGAATTCGTTAAAATAGTATGAAATTGCATTTTAATATTTGCAATAATTAATTTTTATTATTTTGAAAAAAAGAAACACTCCAAATGTTATAGATGATTCTGATCTACAACCTGTTGAATAATATATAATGAAATTAGTAATGATTTTATATTTGTAATCATTATGTTATGAATATATATCTGAATATTCTAAAATGAAGGAATGTATTCATTTAGCTTAATGGTTTTGCAATGAAATTTTAAGATTAGAAGATGAACATTAATTAAGAATTTTAATATTCAGTCGAGCTTAAGATATTTAAAAATATATTGATAATATTTTAGCTGAATGTGAAATTAGACATATTATATTTACATTTTTATCAGATGATAATAATCCAGAGATTAAAGCAATTTCATAATCAGTAAAAGATGATTATTAAAAATTACTTGATGAGAAAATGTATCTGAAATTTCGTATAGAACAACTTAACAAATAATAATATTTTAAATTAAATCCAATACCCATCAAACCTCCATCTCCTTATTTATTATATAATGTACCTAAAGGTAGTCGAACAGAAAGAGAACTTACTTAATAATAAATATCTAAAAATTATTAATCCTTCACTACATAAGATGGTTATGATTAACATAAATTAATAACTTCAGATAGTGAATCAAAATTGGTTAAATAAAATTCTATCTCATCATTTTCAAGAAGAACTAGACCAACTGATTTTACTCAATATTGTAAAACTGAATAATCAGATTATCCTAAATTAGATTCAGAATTAGCTGGAGTTATTGTTAATTAATTAAAAAAGGAATAAGCATTCTATTCTTTGGCTGATATTGAAAAAACATGTATGAATGAACTTAATGAAAATTAAAGATAATAATAAGATTGTGAATTAGGTAGAGCTATACTCTTATTTAAAAGACAATTTAGTAAAAATGCTATAGCAGAACCTAAAGAAACTGATTCTTTGAAATAATTAGATAATGAAATTAAAACTGAATTTCAATTAATATCTGGATATTTAGAAGCTCAAGAAAGATTAAAAAAAAAAAGATAATAATAATAAATCTTTGAATAATCCCTCAAACCAAAACCTAAAACTAAAAGTCCATTTAGAAAAATACTAATTAAGCATTCAAATACTCTAGGTTTAAAATAAACAAAAAAGAAATTATAAAATCTAGAAGAAGAATCCGCTTTAATGAAATTATATTAAAAAATATCTGGTTAAAAAGAGGAACAAAAACCATAAATTAATGAAGAATAAGTTATTAGAAATATGATATAAACTAATTTAAATGTATACTATTACATATATATATATTTAATAGGCAATCAAAGTTATAATGGATGATAATCAAAAAGAATAAGAATTTGCCTAAAAATAATTAAAATCACGTAGACATATATCTGAGTAGATACAATCTAAACATGAAAAATCTCCTAAAAATTCTTAATTCAGAGAAAATTTTAAAAGTCTAGCTGGATCTACATAATATTTAAGTACTAAAGGATAAGCTACTAAAAATGTTATTTCTTTAGTTGAATTAGCAAATATTAAAAGAAAAATGAATTAAATTGAATCTAAAAAAGTTGTTAGATACTCAGAATTATTTAGAAGTTAATTGTGATTATATAATTATAATATATATTAATTATCATGTAAACAGAGTCAAATAATTTATTAAATCCCTTGGAACTGTTAAAAGATAGTGGCATACCAAAACATTTACTCTATTAATCTAAGATAGAAGTTGACCATTTAATTTGTCCTATTTGTTTAAATATTTTATGGAAACCAGTTGCTTGTGGATAAGATAAATGTTTCTAATCATATTGTGAAGTTTGTATCAATAAATGGATTCAAGATTAAGCAGTAGATGTGGTCCTATAAGAATCACTTTATTCCTAATCTTTAATTATTGCTCCTGATTCTGGATCTGGATCACAATATAGTTCTTAATCTAGTTCTTTTTCTGAAATGCCTTAATAAATTCACATTGAAACTACATTACCTAATTGTCCTAAATGTAAAAGACCATTTAAAAAAACATCCATACCAATAATTCATAATTTATTAGATTCAATTTAATTGAGTTGTATTTATGAAGAATGCTCTACTAAACCAGGTTATGAATAATTTTAAAAACATATTTTACAATGTCCTTTTAGAAGAATTAATTGTTCTGGTTGTGGACTTCAATAATTGTAAAATGAATTAGAATAACATCAAAATTAATGTGAACATGTTAATATTGAATGTTCAAAATGTGGTAATAAAATGTCAAGAAAATAGTTTTAACTTCATTCAATTGATGTAAATAATTAACACTATTTTAGGATTGCGTATAATAGTAATTTATTAATAAAGACAATTAAATAGCTCAATTATAGAAAAAGATTGATGAATTAAATTAAAAGAATTAATAGTTAGAATAAAAAATCTGTAAAATGTTAAAAGGAGAATCATTTGATACTATTCATTAGTTTTCATTTAAAACAATGTTTACTTAAAACTATTAATTTGCAGGAAATTAAGCTATAGAGGCTAAATTAATACGTCCTTCATTTAATATGTAAAAATAAAAAAATGACTTTCTTCACTTTTATATTAATCACAAAGTAAAGACATAAGCAGTTTAAGGTATTATTTGGAGAATGAGAATTTAAACTTTAAAAGGTAATTTATTAATTGGAATTTGCTCTACATTATGTCATTATTCAATTGATTTTATAATAAATAAATTAGGAGAAATTAAAAGAAAAGAATGGAATGAAAATAAATATAAACTATTAAGAAAAGGTAATTTTACTTTTAGTGAAGGGGACACACTAACTTTTTAATTTATGCCCTTACAATAATGTTTAAGAATTACAAATGAAAATAGACACATAGTTTGTAGATTTGAACCAACAGAAATAATTGAAATGGGAGATTCCTTTTTTAGTTTTTTTAGCCTAGAAAATCAAGGTGACTCATTAATTTTTATTTGATGCAAAGAGTTTTCTATTTTTTTAATTACTCATTCTTAAATTAATATATATATATTTTTATCCAATAATTATAATAATTTATGAGATATTAAACAATTTTACTATACCAAGTTTTACTATTAACTTCAAAATATAATATTAAGTTCTTTATAATTTATTATTTGTCAAAATGAATAAATCTATATTTATCTAATCCAAATTGAAGAAACTAAAAATTTTAATTTTTTTTCAAGTTAACATGATATTTTTTAGATACAACTCTTCTCATTATTTATAGAAAGTAAAACGTAGATATTTTATTTATGCTTTATATTTTATTATATTTATTTAAGATATATTGCTTATTTAGGTTTTGGAATTTTGAAATAAAAATAATTAAATTTAGAAATGTTAAAATAAAAAAATCTATAACAGATATTTATATTTAATAAATATTATTAATTTTTTCTATTGATTAATTATAATGCTATTGTTATATATTGGTATTTAAAATTAAAAAAAAACATTTAAAACATAAAAAAATACAAAAAGTAATGTTAGCTATAATTTAAAATTTGCTTAAAGTGTGTAACTTAATAAAATATATGAAAATTTTCAGAATTTAAAAAAATTACATAATCTAATTTATATATATATTTGATTATAATGCTGGATATCAAAGGATTCTATCAATTTTTCTAATAGAATTCAGTATAGATTAATCTTATAAAGATTCATGTGGTATTACAATTAGAGCTTATCTTATCAATCGAACTTTATTTTATAGAGTGATTGCTCTTAAAAATATTACTATATATAATATAATAATGCAGCCTATTCCTGCAAATATGTAAAATTATAAAGCCATTTAGTAATCATTTTCTAAAATATCAAGTGCAGCAAATATAATCGTATAATAAAATTATAGAATGGCATAACTTAAGTCAAAAAAGTAAGGTAAAATAGTTTAAATATATTCTTAGCTTTAAAGAAATTATTCAATATTTTTAAGATTAGTATCCTTTTTTCCATCTAACTCCAAAGAATAATGTGTATTAAATATGGATATAATCCTAACTTATATATAAAATATAGTACTATTAATAGATGCCATTAATTCCATATTTATAAATTTGTTTATTATTTAGAATAGGATTTGCAGCTGGAAATGAAGGAAAATAAATGAATTTTTCATTTTCATAAGCACAAAATGGTAAAATAGATGGTATAATTTCGCAAAGATCTTTTTCATATAGATTTAACAATAAATCTTTATTTTCAATATTAATTTTTCTTGATTCAATTACATTGTTATATATTTTTGAATAAATTGTATCCATATCTTTGATTAATGGTGAAAACTTCTATAGCAATTCATTATACAAAGTTTTATAATATTTGTCTTTTATATTTAATTCTGGATTCATTTTAAAAATTTCATAAATAATAGTTTAATCTACAAGAATGTCTTAATTTTTCAATAATTGACAAATAATCATANGCTATAATTTAAAATTTGCTTAAAGTGTGTAACTTAATAAAATATATGAAAATTTTCAGAATTTAAAAAAATTACATAATCTAATTTATATATATATTTGATTATAATGCTGGATATCAAAGGATTCTATCAATTTTTCTAATAGAATTCAGTATAGATTAATCTTATAAAGATTCATGTGGTATTACAATTAGAGCTTATCTTATCAATCGAACTTTATTTTATAGAGTGATTGCTCTTAAAAATATTACTATATATAATATAATAATGCAGCCTATTCCTGCAAATATGTAAAATTATAAAGCCATTTAGTAATCATTTTCTAAAATATCAAGTGCAGCAAATATAATCGTATAATAAAATTATAGAATGGCATAACTTAAGTCAAAAAAGTAAGGTAAAATAGTTTAAATATATTCTTAGCTTTAAAGAAATTATTCAATATTTTTAAGATTAGTATCCTTTTTTCCATCTAACTCCAAAGAATAATGTGTATTAAATATGGATATAATCCTAACTTATATATAAAATATAGTACTATTAATAGATGCCATTAATTCCATATTTATAAATTTGTTTATTATTTAGAATAGGATTTGCAGCTGGAAATGAAGGAAAATAAATGAATTTTTCATTTTCATAAGCACAAAATGGTAAAATAGATGGTATAATTTCGCAAAGATCTTTTTCATATAGATTTAACAATAAATCTTTATTTTCAATATTAATTTTTCTTGATTCAATTACATTGTTATATATTTTTGAATAAATTGTATCCATATCTTTGATTAATGGTGAAAACTTCTATAGCAATTCATTATACAAAGTTTTATAATATTTGTCTTTTATATTTAATTCTGGATTCATTTTAAAAATTTCATAAATAATAGTTTAATCTACAAGAATGTCTTAATTTTTCAATAATTGACAAATAATCATAACTCCATCAAGATCTTACTTAAATTTTACATATTCCATAGCTATATTAAGTTCTGGTTAACTATTATCCATGTTAGTTTTCATAATTATATATGCAGAAATGGCATAACAAAATAATAATGCACATAGAAGTATTAAAATAATTTAAATATTTTTAATTGAAAATGATGTTTCTTATATACGAGATGTTTATTTAACCCTTGATTATTAGATTTTACTATTATTTTTATTTTTTGATGTTTCTTAGGAAGATATTCTTAAACTTAGATAAATTGTAGATCTCTTAGATTGCCAAAAGAAATCACGAAAATAATTAATATTTTTCCAAGCTGAATGATTATGATTTAGCTTTTCTAAAAGTAAATAAATTCTAGATCCAGAAAATTCAATATCTCTTTCAGATATTTTGCCAATCAATAACAAAATAGTTTACATATATTTATATGGTTACAACCATTACTTAAATTATATTATTAATAGAGCAGCAACAGTCAATAATATTAAAATTAAAAAAACAAGTTGTTATATATGATTTAATTAAATTAAATCATAAAAATTGTATTCAATTTAATTAACAATCAATATTGTTAGATCTAATTCTTTGATTAAATTTCCTTTTAAGAATTCTAATAAGATTTAAACTCTTTTAATTCCTTCTTTAGATAAATCAATATTTTAAAGAAGTTCATTTAATTAATCTGAATATTCATTTACTAAAGAATTAAATTCTATCATACTTACATTCTCTAGTTGATATGTATATTCATTAATAATTCTCATTTCCATCAAAGGTAATAAATTTTAATTTTCCATTGAAGAGAATTCTTTTAAAATATCTGTCATTAAATCTTACATTTCATCATGTTTTGAAGAACTTTCATTTTTTATTCTATAATCATAATAAGCACCATAAGATTAATTTAATAATTTTGATTACAATTCAAGTTAACCTATAGTGATAAATGTAGAAAATAATCTATTAAATCTTTAAGGAATTCTAACTAAAGGTATACTATATTCTAATTAGTTGGTATGTTCTCTGAAAATTGATAATTCAACACTTACAAGGATTATCAAAAATATTGTTAAAACATTAGTTATAAAAATTGCATTTACTATAGAAGTTTAAAACTATTAAGTGTATTATAATTTTCTCATTAAATTATAAATAGAATTTTAAGTTTTATCTGAAGTAGCACTAGATTTAGACTATTTTTCATGAGCAAAATCAGCATTTTGTTCTTCCAATATTGCTTATTATATATTTTCCTTAACATCTTTTTAAGAACTACTTTTAATTACATTAGATTCATTTCCTTTTATATATTCAGAATCATCCTCTATTAAACCATTTTTAATTAATATTTCTCTATTTGATCTGGGAGATATTAAATTACTTTCTTTTTAATTTCTATCAATCATATTCTAAATATGTAAATCTTCATCTTTTTAATCTATTTCTTTAGGATTAGGTAATCCATCTGCATGTCTAATTAATAATTTATTAATTATTGTTTAATTAATCAAAAATTCTTAATGTAATTCATCAAGATCTTACTCAGTTTATATCTAAAATTCACTTTTCATTCCCAATTAAGATTTGGTTTTTAAAACAGAACTATAATCACTTAAGGTTCCAATATATTTTTATTCTTTTTAAAAATATTCATTAATAGTTAAAATAAATATTGGATGGCAATCTTACATTTTTTTAAATTGTACATTAAAAACAACTTAAAAATAAACAGAATTTTAATAAGTTTTAAGTAATTACTAATTAATAAATTCACTTGTTTAATTAAGATAATTTTATTCAAAACAAGTAATTTTAATAGGATGTTTTTAATCTGTTTGTGCATCTTATTCCGTTTTCATAGTGTTAGTTTAAGTTAAAAAATGCTATTTTCTAAACATTTCATGATCTTTAATAAGTAATTATAAATTATTAATTGGTTGGATAATTGTAGTGAAAACATTCATAGTTTATTATTATGATTATTATTATTATGATGTTTATTATTATGTAAATACTTCTTATTAGTCGTTTATTTTAAGTAAAAGATCTTTAAACCAAAAATATATATAAGATTTTAATATGTTGTTATCAAATTCATTAACAATTGTTGTTTTTGAATTAAATAATAATAATTAATAAATTGATTCTGTAATTCCTAAGATTTTACCAGATTCATCAAAAAGAATAAAATCATAATTTTCAATACTTTTCTTTAATACAGCTGATAATATATAATCATCCATCTAATCATAAGAAGATATCAATTATAAAGTAGCACTAAAAGTGAAACCAGAGTTATAAATAGGATATACATCTTAGCTGTTAATAAATAATGATGATTCTCCAGTAGAAAGGAACTTATTTAAAAATTTATCGTGTTTTTATTACATGTATTATGGTAAAATAGAATTGATATTAGATATTTGTAAATAAGATTCGTCATTTGGAATTTTAAAAAATTTTTATAATTTTTATTTATTTTTACTCAATATTTGTCCTTAATTTTTTATCATACTTACTGGAATTATGATAACATCATCATTTAATAAGGTAATATTTTAAATATTCCGAGATGATATATTTCTCTCTAAATTAAGAAGTTCTTCAATTCTTTGTTCAATTTGAAGTGTTATATGATAATCATTTAAAACTGTTGCAAATATTTAAGATAATAAACGTAAATCTATTAAATTAAGTTTAAACAATTCTTTTGAAAGAGTGAATATTTGTATGTTTAATTCCTTAAAAACTGTATTCTTTAAATTAACTACTTTTTCACTTAGACGAATGGATGTATCACTTAATTATTCAATATTTTCATATCCATTTAATAATTAGTCCCAATATTTTATTTTTTATTCCAAGATCTAAATAACCATAGGTTAACATTTCTCTTATAACACTTAACTCTATCTTATTTATTATAATTCTAATCTTCCTTAATGTTGTCTAATTTATTATTTAATACTTTTTTGAATAGTTACTGAACAAAAGTATTCCAAAATATTAAAATATATAGATTGAAATTCTTTGAACATTTGAAATTATTTAATTTAAATGTAAGCAAGGTTTTATTTATCATAAGTTTAAAATAAAAACATAATTTTGTAAGTATGTAAATCTTCGTCTAAGTATTTCTCTTGCAATGTTAAAGATTCTATGAATCGATTAAACATAATAAATATATAATCATTAAATTATCTATCTGATTTCAAACTTTTATTATTCAAGATTTAATGTCTAGCTTTTAAAATATATAAGAGTTTAACACGATGAAAATTGCGATTATTTTCATGAAATTCATCAATAATTTAAATAATTAAAGATTTATTTAAATACTAATTGTCTAAGTTTTATTCATAAATTTATTTCAATACTTTCATTGTTATTACACTTAAAAATGGAATGAATATTAAACATACATACATAAATTCAGTTTCAGTCCAATATATACTTAAGAATTTGAATAGAGAACAATAGAATAAAATTGATGAACCAATACAATAATTCAAATTCATATATTATGAAAAAGGTTAGTTTAAAATTGCATCACTTAATTAAATTAAGAATTAAATCAGTAGGATTATTGATTAAAATATTTCATTAAAATAAGGAAAAAGTACTAAAGCTAAAACCTCTGCCAAATTTACAAGGTAATTATAGGAACGATATCTTTTTGTAAAAGGATTATTGCTAGGTAATAAGTAATTTCTTTGAATATATGAAAATATTGAATAATTTAAAATAATAGGCACCAAGCATATAAAGATAATGATGTCATCCTCATTTTAGTATTATAATTAATGAATATATATAAATGATGGATATAGATACAACATCTGTAAATAAGTGAAATATTAGTTTTGAAATTAATTGAAACATCTAATCTAATTGTAGCTGAATAGGGTAATCAATAAAGATAACCAATGAAATATAGCTATTAATATTACAATAAGAGATAAAAATTAATCTATTTTTATAGAATTGATTGGTGTTAATAGATGAAACCAATTGATTAGATTTTTTATAAGAATCAACTATTTATCCTAAATGTTAAAATTGTAAATACTTAGTACTCCATCCCATTAAATTAATCAACTCTGAGTATAAGACTCAATCTTGTTCCTATATAGAGAATCCATATTAAAAATGGATTCAAATAACTTTGAGATTTTGATTCTCGAATGGTCACATATAAAGCGCTTAATTTTTTTTTAAATATTATTGAATTCATTAATTTAATGAATATTCTATTGTTATTCATGTAATTTGAAAGTGCATTTATTAAATGATTTCATAATATAATTATAATTAAGTCTTTTAGAATGATGGTTTTGTGATCAATTATAAATTTTATATGATTAACATAAATAAAAAAATAAATAGTAAAATTAGGAGAGTAGGTTTAAAGAATAATAGATTTAAGAATAAGTTTAATATTGTATAAAGAAATTATATATGTTATTTAGATTATTTAATTGTAAATAAAATAAATTAGACGAAAAGAGTAGGATAAATGTATTTGAAATATAAATAATATAATAAATGAACAATCTGTAAAATAAACTCCAATTGTTGGGATTAAGTAAAGAATTTTAATGAGGAAATTATTAAGATTTAATATTAATTTAAAATTCGATGGAATTCGCAACAGCACTAGTATTTATATTTATAGCATGTGCTTGTGGTATAGTTTGGGCAATATTTAATTGGATGGCAGTACATAAAGTGGAGATTCATCACAAACATGAAGGTTTAACAGAATTACTTTAGGGAGCCGAATAAGAGAAGATTGAGACTTTATTAGAAATAGGAGAACATATATAAGATGTATATGAATAATAAAAATAATAGGGTGCATAAGCATTTTTAAGAGAGGAATACACAGATTGCTCAGTATTTTTGGCTATTATGGCAGTATTATTGATAGTAAAGAAATTGAGATGATTATAGTTTGTATCTCCATGGTCATCTTTAGCATTTATATTAGGAGCAGGTACATCAATGCTTTGTGGTTATTTGGGTATGGCAATAGCAACAGCAGCAAATTTTAGAACAGCATTTTCAGCAATAACATCATTAGCGAATGCGTTTTAAGTAATAATGAATTATAATATAAAAAGATGGCATATAGAGGAGGTTGTGTAATGGGATTCTTATTGGTATCAATATCCTTATCAATTCTATCATTGATAATAATAATTTACAATGCTATAATAGTAAAGAGTGATGAAAATAATTATGAAGATTTAGTAAGGATGTTTGATTATGTTGCTGCATATGGTTTAGGTGGATCAACATTTGCATTATTCGGTAGAGTAGGTGGTGGAATATATACAAAAGCTGCAGATGTTGGAGCAGATTTAGTTGGTAAAGTAGAGAAGAATTTACCAGAAGATAGTCCAAAGGTAGATAAATAAAATATATACAATAGAATCCTGCAACAATTGCTGATAATGTTGGTGATAATGTTGGAGATATAGCTGGTATGGGAGCTGATTTATTTGGTTCTTTTGCAGAATCTACTTGTGCTGCATTAGTTGTTTCATCAACTTAATTAAGAGTATAAACTGAAAATGGAAATACTATAGAAATTGGTTAATTGATGTATCCATTAATGGTTTCGGCATTTGGAATTGGAATATGTATTTTAGTATCTGCTTATGCTGTTTATATTTCTAAAGTAAATCATATTAATAAAATTGAATCTACACTTAAATTCTAATTGTTATTATCTACAATTGCTTTATCTCCAATTATCATAGGAATAGCTTATTGGGCATTACCTTCTGATTTTGTTATGATAGCTGCTGATGGTTCTATTTAATTATCAGATCTAAAACCATATCATGCATTTCTTTGTTCATTATTAGGATTGTGGTCAGGATTATTAATTGGTTATTTCACTGAATATATGACATCTCATTCCTACACTCCAGTAAGAGAAGTAGCTAAATCTTGTGGAACTGGAGCAGCTACTAATATTATTTATGGATTAGCATTAGGATATCTATCAACTATTGTACCTATTATTGCTATCGCTGTTACTGCTTTATTATCTATGAAAATGTTATCATTCTATGGAGTAGCTTTAGCTGCCTTAGGAATGTTATCTAATTTAACTATTGGTTTAGCTATTGATGCATATGGACCTATCTCTGATAATGCTGGAGGTATTGCTGAAATGAGTGAATTGGGAGAAAATGTTAGAGAATCTACTGATGCACTTGATGCGGCTGGCAATACTACTGCTGCAATTGGTAAAGGATTTGCTATTGGATCTGCTGCACTTGTATCATTATCACTTTATGGTGGATATTTAACTAGAATATAAACTTATAAAGTAGGAGAAGAATTCCCATTTGCACAAGGTGCTAAAATTGATGATCCAGTCATTTTTGCTATGTTATTAATTGGAGCTATGTTACCATATGCATTCTCTGCATTTACTATGAAATCTGTTGGAAAAGCTGCACTTTAAATGGTTGAAGAAGTTCGTAGATAATTACATGAACATCCAGGAATCTATGCAGGAACAGAAGAACCTGATTTTAGAGCTTGTATTGCTATCTCTACTAAAGCATCATTAAAAGAAATGATTCCACCTGGATTACTTGTATATTCATTTATTTATTATTCATTAGGTTATTGTTACACCTACTGCTGTTGGTTTATTCTTTGGACCATAAGCTGTTGCTGGATTATTACCTGGAGCATTAGTTAGTGGAGTCTAAATGGCTATTTCTGCATCTAATACTGGAGGTGCTTGGGATAATGCCAAGAAATACATTGAAGCTGGATTTTATAGAAATGATGCTGGAGAAGTCAAAAAGAAAGGTTCAGATGAACATAAAGCTGCTGTTATTGGTAAAATAGATAATAATTTTAAGGTGATACTGTTGGAGATCCTCTAAAAGATACATCAGGACCTTCTTTAAATATTTTGATAAAATTAATGGCTATCCTTTCATTAGTTTTGGCTGGAGCATTTTGTAAGACTGGATGGTTGTATTAAGGATGATTTCATCGATTTATCATATATAAATATAAAACATTATTTTATTTATGGTAGAAGATTCAAAACCTAAGACATACATTTAAAAACTCTAAAAATAGAAATAGAAGTAGAAATAGAAATAGAAGATTGAGAGTAATGATTCTGATGATGATTTTTTGAACTAAATGATACTTAAGAATAAAGAAAATCAAAAGCTTCAGCAAATTTAAGAACAAAAAGAAATAGAGCAATTATTGATTAAATAATCAAAAGGTCCAGCTTATAATTTAGATGAACCAATAATTTATTCTTCATTTGTAGACAATTCTCATCTAAGGAATTTAAACAATTGGGAGGAGAAGTAATTAAAAACATAAACTTAACCACCTACAATACCAATAGCTTAGTAATTTTTAGATAAAAAATACCCAATATCTAATGAGATTCCATATTTAGGTGAAAATTCAAAAAGAATTAGTTTAGATGAAATGAGGGAGAAAGATTTAATTCATGAAAAGTAATTAAATGCTTTAAGAAAAGCAGCAGAATGTCATAAATAAGTAAGACAATATACATAATAAAAATTATTGAAACCAGGAATGAAGTAATTATAAATAAATATTTTAAGATTAATAGATATATGTGAATAATTAGAAGAGATGAATAGATATCTAATTAATGCAAATGGATTGGAAGCAGGAATAGCATTTCCAACAGGATGTTCTTTAAATTTCTGTGCTGCTCATTGGACACCAAATCCAGGAGATAATACAATTTTAGATTATAATGATGTTTGTAAATTAGATTTTGGAACTTAAGTTGATGGATGGATAATAGATTCTGCTTTTACAATAGCATTCAATCCTAAATATGATAAACTATTGGAAGCAGCAAAAGATGCTACATACACTGGAATAAAGAATGCTGGAATAGATGTTAGATTAGGAGATGTAGGTGCAGCTATACAAGAAGTTATGGAAAGTTATGAAATTGAATTAGATGGAAAGACTTATAAAATTAAATCTATAAAAAATTTATGTGGACATTAAATTTGCTAATACAAAATACATGGAGGTAAAAGTGTACCAAATGTTAAAAATAATGATAATACTTTAATGAAGGAAGGTGAATTATATGCTATTGAAACCTTTGCATCAACTGGAAAAGGTGTTGTTTATGATGATTTAGAGTGTTCTCATTATATGAAAGATTTCTATTGTAAATAACCTATTGTAAAGAATCCTAAAGCAAAAGCTTTATTAAATCATATTAATTAATAATATGATACAATTGCCTTCTGTAAAAGGTATTTAGAAAGAGATAAGTAATCTAATTATCTTTTAGCTCTTAAAAATTTGTGCGATTTTGGAATCATCAATGCGTATATCTATATATATCTATCTAAATTTATTTAGTTTACCACCCCTTTGTGATATTAGAGGTTCATTTGTTGCTCAATATGAACATACCTTATTTTTGAAGCCTAGTTGCATCGAAATTTTATCGAAAGGTGATGATTATTGAAAAGATCAGGGAATTATTCCAAATATACATATAATATACATACATTATCTATAAATATCATAGATCTTCTCTAGAAAAACTTGTATTCTCTCTAATAAATTCTGCCATTGATTCTGCTGTTCTAGCTCTTTAATATTTTATTTATTCTGGTTTTTCTCCGCCTTTTTTAAAAAATACTAAAGTTGGAAATCCCTTTATTTCCACTGAATCTGTCTTATGTTAAGTCCAATCCATCTCAGCTATCAATACATTTTAATTATTAGCCAAATTTGCTGCTAATGTTTTATATGCTTCAGCCATATTTTTACAATGACCACACCATGGTGCAAAGAATTTTACTAAAACATCTTATTTTGAATCTAATACAATTGAATTAAAATTATCAGATGTTAATTCAATTACTTTCCCTTCATTTGTGATCTCACCAATCACTGACATAGCTATTACCAATAATATCAAATATTTCATATAAATAATAAAAATTTTGTAAAATTATTAAAATCATAAATTATATTGATTATCTTCAATATCTGTTAAATTTCAAATTTAGTCACTCATCATCATTTAGGAATTCAAACTAATCGTCATCATAATAAATTTTTCTTTAACATAAATTGGACTTAACCCTATTTAAAATTATTACAAATACTTTAAAATAAATTCAATAATATTACAAACATATCCCTAATTAACTAACTGTATTTCTTTTCAATTTTAAATAAAACCTTGCTTTTAGTACTCATATGAATGATTCAATTGATACTAATCTCATTGTTAAAATGTGACTTAAATATTGAATTTTTAAATTTTCAGCCTTTTTAAAAGGATTTCTATCCTAATAATCTGACTTCTCAAAAATCCATAAATCTCTGATCACATAAATTAAGAAAGCATATTTAAACAATAAATTATAAAAATTAATGGAAAATTCTAATTCTATATAGTTGAAATATTCACTCTCGAAGAAACTTCTTTTAAATAGTATAAATTTATTATTTATACATATAATAGCTTGCATAATTATTTCTGATTTTGTTTGTTTTTATCTTTATAACTTTCTTATCTAACGCCTTTGAGAATAGAAAGTTAAAATTTGGGTGAAATCCAAAAATATATTGTAACCATATATATTATAATATAAATTTGAACAAAATAGTATTTTGATGAGTGAAAAAGATTAAAATACATAAATAGTAATTTATTTATGTATTTTTTAAATATTCAGATAATCAAATCAAAATATACAAATTTGATACGATGATTGCAATATACATTTATATTATAAAATAATAAAGAAGTTAAATTTAGTGGTGATTTCTTTTAGAGAATTTTTAGATAAAAATACAAGAAAAATATCCGAAATAATCAATGGATTTCATAATTTATTTTTATTTTAGATTTTCTTGAGAGTCATAGTTATACATTATGTTTATATATTGAGTCTAATAATTATAAAAAATTAACCAGTTATTTATAATAAAACTGCTTGAATTAAAAATGTGGTTTGAAAATCGTAATTGTGCTTTGAAATTTCTCTTATAAGTTAATGGAGTATTGATTTAATGTTTAAGATTAAATACGAAGTTTTTATTCTGATGTATAATATGAATACTTAAGGATTTTTTCTTTAGTAAATAGCATTTTAATTAATTTAACATAATCAATGGGATCTTGCTCCTCAAAAAAAATGTAAACTCACCATTCTTTACATCTGAAATCGTTATCAACTTGTGGTTATGCCCAAACTCGAATGTCTTGGGCGAATAAATTTTTACAGTTACCTAAAGAAAAAATCATACAGCCCTACAATCCAAACAGTTCATATACTATTTATATCATTAGACCTTCAAATTTAGTATGATGTAGAAATAGAAGGTGTAATTTTTGACGTCATTGCTCCTCCAGACCTTTTAGATGATAACTTGGACCCTATTGAAGAGGAAGAATGAAAACCGTAATATTAATACCAACTTCATTTTCTAATATGTAATTTCATTATCTTTTTCTTCTTTTGGTTTTTCTTGAATGAGAAACTTTACAAAAAATTTTAATTTTCTCTATTAAACATGATCTCAAATTCAAAACCCAAGAATGTTCTTGTAATTATGACAACTTAAAATAGAAGTCATAAAACCAGATATTTAGTATAAATAAAATAATCACAACCATGTTTAAATTTTTTATGATAACTTTTTGCATTATTTTACGCTAAAATAATTAATTTTTGCTGGGCAAATTTTGTTTGAGGATTTCTTTTTGTTATAATGATGGATATTTCTTACATTTAAGTACAAATAAAATCTCCTTAAACTAAACAAGTATATAGATATAAGATCTCTAAGACAGTAATTTTCTGATGTAATTAAAAGTATACTTAATTTTGGGATTATATCTTAAACTTTAGATATGTTAAAAGTTTAAATGAATTGTTAAAGTAATGATAATATTGTTATTAGAAAGTGAATGAGAGCTTTAATATGATAGACTTTAAATATATTGATTAAACATAATTATTAATTAAAAAATTTTATATCATTTTATAAAGCAAAAAATAAATACTAAAAAAATTCAATTAGTTGTTTTTAAATTTTAAATGTAATTACAGTAATATGCTTCTGAAATGTTCCATCTAGCTTCCATATTATAAGTCAAACATTTAGTAATGAAATCTCTGCACTCTTAGGATACATTTGGTTTTTAAGGAAATTTAACTTAATAAGAGTTTAAAATAACTCTTTCCTAGAAAAAATATTATTAGAGAATACTTAGGCAATTCTTTCTTAAGACATTCCATCTCCAAAAGGTTTTTTACCATAAACCATTTCAAATAAAATAACACCTACTGACCATACATCTACTTTAGTACTAATTTAAATATTAGTTTATTCTAGAAAACATTCTGGAGGTAAGTACCAATAAGTTCCTAATCCTTATGAAGTTAATTCTTATCTTGTAGTATCATAATCTAAGACTTTGCACAATCCAAAATCAGTAATTTTAACTTCTCCTTTATGAAATAAAATATTTTGAGGTTTCAAATCATAATGAATAATTTTAGTAGGACTACAACTCATGTAATGTAATGCTGCCAATACTTAACGAATAATTAACTTAGCTTCTTTTTCTGCTAAAAGTTTATATTTCTTTAAATGTTGATTAAGATCTGTTCCATCACAAAATTCTAAAACAGTACTATTTCTTTAAATAATTAATTGAATACCAAAAGGAATCTTAATCAATTTCTTATGTATCATATAATGATACTATATTAATATGTTTTAATCTTTTATGAATGTCATTTTCTCTTAACGCATGTTTAATATAATTATTTTTTGCATTTTCATTCCATTATGGATTCAGATAATGAATTTTACAAGCACAAACTCTAAATTCTAATAAATCAAAAGACTTATAAACTTCAGAAAATCCCCCTTTCCCTAATAAACCTAAAGTCTAATATCTAGAGGCAATCAATGGCCATTTAGGTTCTGCTCTATAATATCGACAACTAAAATTATTTAAATATTAAAAACCTTTATTCTTCCATAAACCTTTTAGTTTTATATGCCAATTATTATTTTTCTTCTTCTAATTTTTATAATTTTAATTTTAATTCTTCTTCTTCCTTTTTAAGAATTGACATCTAAAATTAAATTCTTAATTTTCTTTAATTGCTATCTAAATCTCCATTAGATAAATCTAATTCAAATAATAATTTAGATTGTTTATCTTTTTATATTTTAGATATGGATTTATCTTTAATTTCATTTTTTTATTTTTCTAATTCATTTCTTTCATTTTCTAATTTTTATAAATTTTATTTAACTTATTTAATTTCATATCCATCTTACCATTCTTCTACAAATCTAACATTATTTCTAGAACTAATAAATTCTCCAAGTCTATAACGTTCCCTCTCTAAATATTCTCTCATTTTTTCGCGCTTCAATTCTTCAACTTATTTCAATGCCTCAGCAAATACTTCTTAAGTTCTTTTTTTAAATGCATTATGTTATTAAATTAATTCTTAACGTTCATTCTCTAATTATTATTTCTCCTATCTTAATTATTTTTCAACTTATTCTTTCTCCATAAATTTTTATTATAATTTATTTGTATCATCTTCATTTTATTTTTAAATTACTTATACTAAACATTTACTATCTTTTGGTTTAACATAACCAATTTTATCATTGCCTAAAGTTTTTTACTTACCTTCTTCTGTATTTTTTTATTATAAAGATTTACTCTAATTACCCGCTTCATTAAATACATCTTTTGATAATTTCAAGTATTTATACATTGTCTAACAATAAGGTGGATTAACTAATGCTTATTAAATATTATCATTAGATGATTCGTCATCACTTTTTTATTTAGGCATTATCTTTTTCTTAGGTAACTCTGCTTCAATCTTTCTTTTTCTACTAATCTTTTACCTATCCTATGAATTTTCAGGATTTTAATTAAAGTAATTAGTTATCAATTATTAACCTGAATTTGATTATTGTATTTCTTCAGTCATTTTTAGTGTGTTTTTTATTTATTATTATTTATTATTTATATACATCATTTGTTTTATTATGATTATAAAAATTAATTAATAACACTTTAAAAAGTTTATATGTTATTAAATCATATTCTCTTTTTAGAACCTTAAATTGAGCCATCATTTTTTTAAGCTCTTCTTTATGAAATTAATTTTCCATAAGCCTTCATTACTTTTTCTCCTTCCTCTTTTTTCTTAGGATCATTTGCCATTAATGCATCTAACAACTTCTATCTCCTTATTGTACTTATTATCAAACTAAAAGGTAGATTCTTATTAATTGGCTAATTGCTACCATGTCCTAAACGTCCATTTATCATATCTCAATATTAATCCTACTCTTTTACCTTTAAAAAAATCTATCACCATAGTTTCCTTTGAATTACTTTTGCCATCTCCATTTTTATTTTTTATAATTTCCAAAAACTCTTTAAATTCTATTGATCCATCATCATCAACTGTATAAATAAGTTTCTTAACATCTTCTCTTGATTCTGCAATTCCCAATGAAATTAATGGTTCCTCCAATTCATCTATACCTATAGACTCTAATCAGTTATAATCATATATACTTGATCCATCCTCATCTAAAGAATTAAAATATTATTTTAATTAAGAACGCTCTTTATCATTAAAATCTATCAAATGCTTATTCTTTCTCTTCAATAACCAATGTCTCAACATTGCCTCTTACTTTATAATATAACAATTATTTCTTACCAGTTTCGAATCTTATTCATAAAATTCTTTTATCCTCTTATTCTTTTTCGCTATCAACTCCTCATATGTAATATTCTCTAATCCTTATGTTTTTATCATCTCTCCTATTTGTTCATTCGTATAATTTGTAAAATCTATGTTATCATAATCCATTTTTATATTATTATTTTATTATTTTATATTAAATTACAACACATTTTCATTTTACTTTAACTATTCATTATTTATTGTAAATTAAACTATACATATTATTTTAATTATTTATATCTACAATTTATACAAACATAAACTTCATATCATTCCTTCTCATTTTTAACCTTATAATTTGTGATTTATCACTATATATATCATATTCTCTAGACAAGTAGTAGAATAAAAGTAAGAATTATNTTGTATTTCTTCAGTCATTTTTAGTGTGTTTTTTATTTATTATTATTTATTATTTATATACATCATTTGTTTTATTATGATTATAAAAATTAATTAATAACACTTTAAAAAGTTTATATGTTATTAAATCATATTCTCTTTTTAGAACCTTAAATTGAGCCATCATTTTTTTAAGCTCTTCTTTATGAAATTAATTTTCCATAAGCCTTCATTACTTTTTCTCCTTCCTCTTTTTTCTTAGGATCATTTGCCATTAATGCATCTAACAACTTCTATCTCCTTATTGTACTTATTATCAAACTAAAAGGTAGATTCTTATTAATTGGCTAATTGCTACCATGTCCTAAACGTCCATTTATCATATCTCAATATTAATCCTACTCTTTTACCTTTAAAAAAATCTATCACCATAGTTTCCTTTGAATTACTTTTGCCATCTCCATTTTTATTTTTTATAATTTCCAAAAACTCTTTAAATTCTATTGATCCATCATCATCAACTGTATAAATAAGTTTCTTAACATCTTCTCTTGATTCTGCAATTCCCAATGAAATTAATGGTTCCTCCAATTCATCTATACCTATAGACTCTAATCAGTTATAATCATATATACTTGATCCATCCTCATCTAAAGAATTAAAATATTATTTTAATTAAGAACGCTCTTTATCATTAAAATCTATCAAATGCTTATTCTTTCTCTTCAATAACCAATGTCTCAACATTGCCTCTTACTTTATAATATAACAATTATTTCTTACCAGTTTCGAATCTTATTCATAAAATTCTTTTATCCTCTTATTCTTTTTCGCTATCAACTCCTCATATGTAATATTCTCTAATCCTTATGTTTTTATCATCTCTCCTATTTGTTCATTCGTATAATTTGTAAAATCTATGTTATCATAATCCATTTTTATATTATTATTTTATTATTTTATATTAAATTACAACACATTTTCATTTTACTTTAACTATTCATTATTTATTGTAAATTAAACTATACATATTATTTTAATTATTTATATCTACAATTTATACAAACATAAACTTCATATCATTCCTTCTCATTTTTAACCTTATAATTTGTGATTTATCACTATATATATCATATTCTCTAGACAAGTAGTAGAATAAAAGTAAGAATTATAAGCAACACTTTTTTCATGACTTGAACTTCTTTTAGTAATAGTTTAATATACATCAGGATAAGCATAATGTTCTTCAATTATACTTACATTTGTAGAAGCACGTGAACTTTTAAATGTTTTACGAAAATACTTAAGTTCCTAAACTGGACTTTCAAAAGCATCATCAGGAATTGCAGGATAAGTCAATTAAATTTTACCTCCTGATTCAAAAGAATTAAAACTCTTTGTATTCTTTTATCTCTTCTCTTAAACATATAAAAGTCTCCTTCTATTTTCATCATTCTATGAAGGTTTTCTTGCCAATTCTCTTTAAGCAAATTTTAATATATTATCAATAGATAATCTACTCTTATTTTACTTTTAAATATTCAATTTCATTTAATTTTGCTTCTTCATCTACAACATTTTAATAAACTTCTCAGCACTCTCTTTTGTTCTTTATTTTCTTTCTTCCTCTCTCTTATTTTCTAATACTTTTTAATTAACTTCTGCCTTACTATTAACAATTGATATAATAGTCCCAATGTTACATTTTGGAGTAAATCTTGTATATTCTTTCAGACATTCACCTACAAAAGAATCTTTAATTTATTTATCTCTTAAAACTTTTTGTGCCAATTTAAATTTAGTCATTTGTTTTTTTTTATTTAAAAAATATTCTATATTCAACATATCCTTATCAATTTTATATTAAGCCTTTAGATATTTCTCATTTCTTAATAATAAGAGACTTTTTTCTTTTTATCTATTATTTCTCTTCTTTTTACATTTACTTTAAAATTTTTGAATAATTGTGATCCTATCATATTTTTAAATTATGAAATGAGAAAAAGGGCATTAAGTTGCAATGTGATTGTTTTCTTAACACAAATAACATCTCAATTTTAGAGAACTAACATCTTATTCTATTTCTATTTAGAATTTAATTTCAAAATATTTTTCCATATCTTCTGGTGATAATAATTGAAGGAATTTGCTTCTACATAATGTTAATAGATTAATAAAATTAGTAGCTACAATTGTTGAACATCTTGGAACATTTGCGAAAAATCCAATTTCTCCAAAATATTCTTTCTTTTTTAATTCATACTAAATATTTTCAATTCTAACACTTCCATTAAGAATGTAATAGATTTATTTATTCTCAATATCTCCTTATTATAGTATAATATCCTCAGGGCTAAAAGTTTATTCTTTGAAATAATAAACAAGTTTCTATAATAACTGCAAAGAAAAGTTTTAAGAAAAGAATAAACAAGATTAAGTTATTTTCTGATGAATTAATTTTAAAATTTCTCTTCTTAAATTTTCTGATAAATTTATAAGAACTTATTATTCATAACTATGTTATATTTACTCTTATTTTTATAGCCATTCTAAGTAATTTTTTATTCTTGCCACTAACTATTTACTAACTCTCTTTTATTTTAGATATAAGAATATATTTTCTTACTATTATAATAACTCTACTACACTCTCTTCTTAATTTTCGAAAAGTAAAACTATCGAATTCATTACATATCCAAATAAACCTGATGAAAATATCATAACAATAACACCAAAAGATCTTTCTATTGTTGTTATAGGATAAATATCGCCATATCCTATGGTAATCATAGTTGTTACAGAAAAATATATAGCCACTAAATATTATGATACCCAATAGTTTGTATCCTAATAGGCAATATAATTTTCTAATTAGAATTCCTAATATCTTGTATACCAATTTTGATCGGCATTTTCAATGATCCGAATTAAGTTCCATATACAAGCTAGCCAATGAGCCAAGCATAATATAAGTAAACAAATCTTTAGAAAAGCTAAGAAAGAAATAAAGGATTTTGCCATCATCAACTAATCTTCCAATTGATTTATGTATTTCTTTAACTTTAGAGCCCTGATTAATCGCAGTATTTTTATAAAACGTACTACACGAACTATTTTTAAAATTTATGAATTTCTTTGTAAGGATTATGCTGAATCTGATTTTAGTGTTAATTCTATAATCATATCATATGGAAACGAGGAAATCAAATCTAGGCAGAACCAAGTTGAAAAGTAGTTCCAAAATACTTTTTTGTGAGATGTAATTAAATTTCCTCTATTATAGTTAACAATATACTTATGATAATAGCCTGTATGAAAGGAGACTATGATATCTACCCAAAAGTAATAGTCCATAATTTAGTTACAAATATCGTAAAAGAGATCTAATTCTATAGAAAATGTTATGATCAAAGGTATTGTAATCATTTACACAAAAATGAAAAGCATCCCAACTAAATCCCAAGACTATTTATATGGGTTATCAGGTTTGAAAGGTTGAAAGAAATCTTAGATGAATGTCTTTAAGTTTGATTTAATGACTTTATCATTTTTACTGTATAGGTCTTCAAATAAAGCAACATAGCGTTCCTTATACATATTTATTAAAATAACTCATCATAGTCATTATTATTATGGCTTGTCGGATTTTCTGAAACTGTTTCCAGGAGTTATGGGTGGAATCAACTCTAACATAGATGGAATTTATTGTTAAATCTTAGAGTACTTTTCTCTCCAAGCTTCATTATCCTATATTTGATATAATATTTTACTTGCAATAAATCTTCACTACATTTACTTAAACGTTCTATTTCAACATTCAATTATTCAATAATATTCCTAAGTAAATTCAATTCACTTTCATTTGATGTAACCTTCCTTTTCCATCTTTCAATTTCTAATTCTTGACTTGCTAATTTATTATTTGATTCTAATTTTTCATTATACAACTTTTCTTAATCTTAAGTTAATTTTTAGAATCTTCTTCTCCAATCTTCAACTTCTTTTTCTCTTGCTTCAACAGTTTTCTCTAAAATTTTGTAATCTAATTTTTCATTCTCTAATAATTGTAATTACTATTATGTATTCTATTTCTGTAAATTCTCCAATTCTATATTTTTCTAACCTATTATTTCATTCAAATAATTCAATTATTAAGTTAATTTATTTATTTCATTTTGTAAATCATTCCATTAATCTTCCTCTTTCCTATTATCTTTCAATTAAATCTCATATTGCTTTGTAACTTATCTAAATTAATGAATATCATCCTCTTTATTTCTTAATGCATTCTATAATCTATTTATTTCTTCTAATTATTATTCTTAATTAATTTATTCCTGCTCTAATTATTTCTTTTTATCATCCAATTATCTTTATAATTTTATCAATTATTATTTCAACTCTTCAATTTATTGAATCTATTATTAAATTTATTCAAACAGTCTTTTATTCTCAACTGTCAATGGTTATAATTAATCTAATTATTATTCATTTTAATGAAGTTACTATTTATTCAAATCTAATTCTTAATTCTTATTCTTCAACATTACTTTCAATCTTTCAATTTCACTTGACATCATTGCACATTTATTTTCTAATTTTTCCTGTTCTCTTTTTGTTTATTCATATTAATTTTACAACTATGAATACTTATCATTTAAATCTTAGTACTTTTGAATTTCTTGATTAAATAAATCTTATAATTTTCTAAATTCCTATTCAATCTATTGCAATCTCTTTATTTCAATATCTTTATTATCTAAATCTCTCTATAATTTATCTTATTAAATTTGTAAATCTTTTATATTTGTCAATAATTTTTAATTATTTTAAGATAGATCATCAATATCATTTTATTATTGTTTAATAATCATCTCTAGATTTTATTATTCTTTTAATTCTATTTAATATTAATCGATCTTTTTTCTATAATCCTCATTCTATTACACACGTTCATTTTCCAAATCTTAAAATTTGGTTTACCATAAACTGATTTCCCTATTATCATTATTTATCATTTCTTTTAAAAGATTCACTTATTATTCTAATGGCTATAGTCTTATTATATGTTATTCTAATTAACTTATTTAAGCATTAAGAATATCATTTTATAACTTTAATTCATTATTTTCTTTTTCTAAACTATTTATCTTTATAATTTAATCATTAATCCTTTCTTCCAATTCAGGATAGGCATCTAATTTATGTCTTTAAGTATTAATAGTTAACTCTAAAGAATTTAAATGCAACAACAAAGATGCAATTTACTTATTAAGATTATTATTAAATATTTTCAATCTTTATAATTCATTCTTTTAATTAAGATCTTATTCTCTTGATTAATTAATTTATTATTCATAAGATTAGATTATCATTTAAGTTTTATCCAGATCTGTCTTTAATTATTCACACTCCTTAACCTTTTTATTAAATGCTATTCTTAATTGATTTGCATCTGATTCACTTGTCTAAAGTGTTTATAACTCACTTAAAATATCCTATTTCTTTCTATCTACATTTTAAAGATCCTTAATTAATTAGCCATTAATATCCAATTATTTCTTTAATTCAACTTCCAAAATTTTAATTCTTTATTCTAATTCACTAATTTAATCATCCTTAGTATCATCTATTTCCATTTCAAGCTCTACAATCCTTTATCTCATCTTTTCAACAGTATCTGATTTCTGTTATACAACCTATGTTTATGGATTTTATGATTTAACATTTTATTATCTTTATAATTCATTAATTGTTCCAATCAATCTAGCCACTCTTGATTATGAAATTATCAATTCTTAATAAAGTTAAAGAGCTCTTTCTTTTTGCTATTCTTTTTCAATCTTGTAACTTTCAACTTAATTAAGTTCAATTGTTAAAGTGAAAATCTTTGATCTTTATTCTTCTATTTCCTATCCTTATTCTAAACATTTTGATTCTAACTATTAAATAGTCACTTTCTATCCTTCAAATCTTAAGACTAATTATTTATATTTATCATTAATGTTTTATAATTTTGTATTTTATTATTCTGATGTCAAATATTTATTTTTCCATAACTCAGATTCTTATCTTTTCTATTATAATAGTTAATTTAATGCATCTATTTCTCTTTAAGTAGTTTATATTTCAAACTATCTATTTCTTGTTAAAGACTCATTTTTTAATTCTTAAGATATCAATTAATTTTATAATTTTTCTATCTAACTATTGTCTTATATATTAACTTTTTCAATTCTCTTTATTGTTGGTACTGCTTCAATCTTAATCTATCCTAATTCAAAATTATTATTAAAATTCTTCAACTCCTCTTATAATTTAATAATTCTTTATTATGAAACATCCAATAATCTTTATAATCTACTAATCTCTGAACAATTTTAATTATATTTTTCTCTCCATTATTCAGATCCAGCTAGAGTCTCTTAAAGTTCTTATCTCAATGATTATATAGTTCCTAATTATGATTTCACTCTTGACTCATATTTTAATAATAAATTAATTCTAATCTTACTATCGTTTAATTCATTCTATAATTCATTTCTATTTTATTTTAATTATTATATCTGTAACATTTATTCTTTTACTACTTTCTCTTTTTCTTAACAAATATGTTCTTATTTTTTAACTTATTATTATAATTACTCCAATTCTCCTAATTATTTTCTATATTATTCTAAATCTTTTAATAATGAATCGATTTTCTCATTTGCAATAGCTAATTATTACTAAACTGCCTACAATTCCTAGACTTCAATTGTCTTTTATCTTAAAAGATTCAAAGTTTCATTTAAAACTTTTTCCTTTTATACATTAGATGTCTACAAGTTCTATTTATCAATAAGTAAGAAATCTATTTATTCTTACAATCTTTAGATTTATCTATTATCTCTTTATAACTATTATATTGCAATTACATAATACTTTTTAAATAACATCCTCCAAAGTCTGGATTTTAGTATTTAATTACTCTATATCATTAAATGAATTTTCTAAACGAATATTAGTCTCATCCAATAATCCTTAAAGTCTTATCTTCTCTTCATCCAATGTAGTATTCTCTACTGTCACTATCTTTTCTTCTTTCACTATCTAAATCTTTGGCTTCTCTTATAATAAACCATTCAATCTCACTATTTCTTTATCCTTCTCATCCAATTTATTTAATTAATTCGTTAAATCACTTATTTGTTTCTAAAATTCTAATTACTATTATCTCAAACTATTCAATTCATTATTCAATAAACTATTTTAATGTTCCTTCTCAAATAAATTAACTTGTGTTTATTATAGTAATTAAGTATTATTTTCTGAATTCCTCTCAACTTTCCTCTTTTCTGTCTACTATTCATTTAATTCTACTTAAGGAGAATGTGGCTCAGTATCTACATTCTCTATTAAATCATATTTCTTCAATCCTTCCTCTCTTAATTCTAAAAGTCGTTTTCTCTCATTTTCTGATTTTGTGAATCTATCCTTCCAAAGTTCAACATCATGTTTCCAATTGATTATTTAATTCCTTAAGTCTTAGTTAATTAACTCCCAATTCTTATTTTATTATAAGAACTATTCTAAAGTATTGTATTTATTATTTAACTATATTAATACAAATCTAATTTTACATCTTATATTTCTCTATCTTTTAATAACAATAACTATATATGTCTTGATAATTCTAAGTCAACTTCTCTTAATTAATCTATCTATTATTCCAATTCCAATATTTTTAATTACGCTTGTTCTAAGTCCCGCGATTTTACTTAAAGTAATTAACTTTATTGTTTGTTTTCTTCTGTCAAAATTGCGTTTTTAGATTCATATTATATAAGCTTATATTAAAAATGGATATATACTGATTATTCGTATGTAACATAGAGATCCAATTATTACTGGATTTTGAATGAATGCTCCTTTTAAGCTTCAACTTCAGCCATGAGTTCAGCAATTCTGATTTCACAGTATGCTATATCAGCTGTAGCAGGTAAATTTGGCTTACGGACATTCTTATAGACAATTTCTAATGATTCATTCATATTAGATACTTTCTTCAGGATCAGGAAGGTAGACACTTTAAATTGTGTTTGTGTCCATTTTAATATAAATATTATTGTACACTAAATCTTGGATTTTTACATATAATTTTCATTTAATTTATTGATATTTATTTATCAATTTTTCTATTCTTTTTCATTCTCTCCTTTCCTCTTATTCCAATCTCCTATTCCTTATTATTTTAAAACTAATTCAATCCAACATGTTCATTTATAAATACAAATTTAAATTAGTCTCATTTATCAAAATATTCGACTAATATGTGTATATTAATTTTTTATTTAATATAAATTTTTATAATTAATTATATCTAAATATTTTTTAGACAGCAATTCATGTCCAAAATATTATATTCTCTTATTATATATGCTAATACTAATAATCTTTTTCATTTTGTTAAAATAAATTAAATCTCATTATCTAAAATTACAACTTTTTATTCGAATTCTAAATTTTCAAGAAAATTTTCATCATTTCTTAACGTTAAATAAGTATTAAATTAATTGAAATTTCAATAAGTTCATTTTTATATTACATAAGCTTCGATATATAATAATGATTAATATGTAAAATTTTATGTTCGGTTATATGATTGGTATGAAAATAATCAATTCATTGATTTTAATATTTTTTTGGCAGCAAGGCTTTTTCTTTCTTCTCCAAAACAATTCATAAAAACACATTCCATCAATGCAGCAGATTGTGGTATTTTGGCTAAACAAGTATCAAACTAAACATTATTAAATCAATAAATACATTATCAAAGTTTTCTTCTTTTTCAAATTAATCTGAGCAATTTGTTATGTTGTCTAGACATCCTTTTGTTCTAGCACAAGATCCTGCTTGCTTTCTACAATTTTTAGCCATGCATTGACCAAATGCATCATCTTAATTCTTGTGAAGTGATTTTGCTGTGATTGTTAAAATCAAAAGAGCAATTATGAAGATATATTTCATTTTTAATAATTGTAAATATTTGTTAAAACATAATTGCTTTTATACATTAAATATTAATATCTTTTGTGAAGATATGCTTGGTTTGCTGTTTTCTCAGTTGGTTAAATGCACCATATATATACATTTGGATCAAACTTTTATTATAATAATAACTATAAAATACTAATACTAGCTTCAATAAATATTTTATTTAATATAAGCTTAACCATTTAAACAAAAAGCGAAACCCTAATTTCATATATTTAGTTCTAAATCATAAAGAATTGGTATTAAAATAACACAATGTTTTTATAAATGATCTTTCCTTCAAATTTATGATAGAACATTTTATTTAGCATTTTACACTATTTTTTCATTTAGAAGCACTAAATAATTAATATTTACAGATATCAAATATCATTCGCCGAATAAATTATATTAAATTTGTTCATATGTATTTTTATAAAAATTATCTAAGTACTCTTTTGTATTTTCATCTTCAAAATCCTCTTTTATAATAAAATTTGCTTCAAAATTATAAGGGAGACAAATTAAGATGTAAACTTTTTAAGTAATTTTCTATAAAATTTAATAATTCATTCTGCGTTATGATAAAATATTAATAATAAAAAAAAACACAATATTTATTATAGAATGATCTGAGGTTGCATAAAATTCTTTTTAATTTAAACTTAAAATATGTTGATTTACAATTTTTTATTAAATAAATTGCATAATTTTTGGTGTGTATGTTGTTTGAATTTTTATAGCATATAATTTAATATTCCGATTAATAATTTATAAGTAATTATTTTTATATAGAATAAGGGCTTTTAAATTTTAAAAGTTGAGAAAATAAAGGAATGAAAATAAATTATGTTTCAAAGAGTTAAAAATTTGTAAAATTTTTGCTAGAATCTTTAATTGAAGATTATGAAGATATAAAGTGTTAATTATAAATATAAAACAAAATTTAATTAAAAATGAAAACAGAAACTAAGAATTTTTTAACTTTATGAAATGATTATATAAATTTATACAATTTTCATAATCCCTTATTAAAAACTATTGTTTTAATCTTATTTCCTTTGCTGTTTGTTAAATTTTAATATTATGATTCTAAATCTGTTGGATTAACCTTTAAATATTATGGGAATATTCCTATTCCAACAGAAAGACCACAATATAAGAAAAATCCAGATAAACCTAATTGTTTTATAAAAAATTACTTAAATCAAGTGCTAGACCTATTGCTCTACCTTAAGGATAACATCTAGCTTATTTCATATAATAAATGATAATAGGTGGAATAAACATAGGTAATGGTAAAATATATCTAGTCACAAGAGTTCTAAAGAATGCAATTTTAGCTTTAAAATAATATTTAATAAATATTACCAGCTTCTTTAGATAATCCTGGTAATGGTTCTTGTGTTTCATCATCAAAAACTTAAATTCCTTATTAAAAATCTGGATATCTTGCAAAGAATAGATTAAATGTATTGGCTATAAGAACACCAAATAGTGGACATGCCTTTTAATAAAATGAGATTAAAATTTACTCTAATAAGAAGTGCTGGAGCATTAAGTTTCTTGAATAACCAAGAAGTTCCTAAACTTCCAATTACAGCAGATGAAACAGCTCCTCCATATGAAACTAATGATACAACTACATTTTACATGCTAACATTTAATTTGAAAATACATTAGAAGCATTTCTATTACAATAATTAAACATAAAGTTATAAGNTATCAAATATCATTCGCCGAATAAATTATATTAAATTTGTTCATATGTATTTTTATAAAAATTATCTAAGTACTCTTTTGTATTTTCATCTTCAAAATCCTCTTTTATAATAAAATTTGCTTCAAAATTATAAGGGAGACAAATTAAGATGTAAACTTTTTAAGTAATTTTCTATAAAATTTAATAATTCATTCTGCGTTATGATAAAATATTAATAATAAAAAAAAACACAATATTTATTATAGAATGATCTGAGGTTGCATAAAATTCTTTTTAATTTAAACTTAAAATATGTTGATTTACAATTTTTTATTAAATAAATTGCATAATTTTTGGTGTGTATGTTGTTTGAATTTTTATAGCATATAATTTAATATTCCGATTAATAATTTATAAGTAATTATTTTTATATAGAATAAGGGCTTTTAAATTTTAAAAGTTGAGAAAATAAAGGAATGAAAATAAATTATGTTTCAAAGAGTTAAAAATTTGTAAAATTTTTGCTAGAATCTTTAATTGAAGATTATGAAGATATAAAGTGTTAATTATAAATATAAAACAAAATTTAATTAAAAATGAAAACAGAAACTAAGAATTTTTTAACTTTATGAAATGATTATATAAATTTATACAATTTTCATAATCCCTTATTAAAAACTATTGTTTTAATCTTATTTCCTTTGCTGTTTGTTAAATTTTAATATTATGATTCTAAATCTGTTGGATTAACCTTTAAATATTATGGGAATATTCCTATTCCAACAGAAAGACCACAATATAAGAAAAATCCAGATAAACCTAATTGTTTTATAAAAAATTACTTAAATCAAGTGCTAGACCTATTGCTCTACCTTAAGGATAACATCTAGCTTATTTCATATAATAAATGATAATAGGTGGAATAAACATAGGTAATGGTAAAATATATCTAGTCACAAGAGTTCTAAAGAATGCAATTTTAGCTTTAAAATAATATTTAATAAATATTACCAGCTTCTTTAGATAATCCTGGTAATGGTTCTTGTGTTTCATCATCAAAAACTTAAATTCCTTATTAAAAATCTGGATATCTTGCAAAGAATAGATTAAATGTATTGGCTATAAGAACACCAAATAGTGGACATGCCTTTTAATAAAATGAGATTAAAATTTACTCTAATAAGAAGTGCTGGAGCATTAAGTTTCTTGAATAACCAAGAAGTTCCTAAACTTCCAATTACAGCAGATGAAACAGCTCCTCCATATGAAACTAATGATACAACTACATTTTACATGCTAACATTTAATTTGAAAATACATTAGAAGCATTTCTATTACAATAATTAAACATAAAGTTATAAGTTTGATTAGCAGATTGAGCTAACAATTAATTTATAGGCTAATAATTAATATCAGAATTACCGTTGGTGGTAATACAGCTAATCCAAAAGCTAATGGTACATTAACAGGAACAAATGTTGATGTTCTGAAAAGAATGTTAACAGGCTCTTTTAATTGTGGATGAATATTTGAATCAACTACATATCTCATTTTCCATAATTATTCATCACTGTATTTTTTTCTTATTTATTCATCTTTATCAACGTTTTCTAATATTTTTCCATATTCACTTAATTGCTCAGGAGAATAAAAAATATTGCTAATATTATATAAATTTAGTACGCAGGACTGATAATATTTTGAAAATGTTTGAGTCTTCCCCAATAAGTGGTTANATTTTCATAATCCCTTATTAAAAACTATTGTTTTAATCTTATTTCCTTTGCTGTTTGTTAAATTTTAATATTATGATTCTAAATCTGTTGGATTAACCTTTAAATATTATGGGAATATTCCTATTCCAACAGAAAGACCACAATATAAGAAAAATCCAGATAAACCTAATTGTTTTATAAAAAATTACTTAAATCAAGTGCTAGACCTATTGCTCTACCTTAAGGATAACATCTAGCTTATTTCATATAATAAATGATAATAGGTGGAATAAACATAGGTAATGGTAAAATATATCTAGTCACAAGAGTTCTAAAGAATGCAATTTTAGCTTTAAAATAATATTTAATAAATATTACCAGCTTCTTTAGATAATCCTGGTAATGGTTCTTGTGTTTCATCATCAAAAACTTAAATTCCTTATTAAAAATCTGGATATCTTGCAAAGAATAGATTAAATGTATTGGCTATAAGAACACCAAATAGTGGACATGCCTTTTAATAAAATGAGATTAAAATTTACTCTAATAAGAAGTGCTGGAGCATTAAGTTTCTTGAATAACCAAGAAGTTCCTAAACTTCCAATTACAGCAGATGAAACAGCTCCTCCATATGAAACTAATGATACAACTACATTTTACATGCTAACATTTAATTTGAAAATACATTAGAAGCATTTCTATTACAATAATTAAACATAAAGTTATAAGTTTGATTAGCAGATTGAGCTAACAATTAATTTATAGGCTAATAATTAATATCAGAATTACCGTTGGTGGTAATACAGCTAATCCAAAAGCTAATGGTACATTAACAGGAACAAATGTTGATGTTCTGAAAAGAATGTTAACAGGCTCTTTTAATTGTGGATGAATATTTGAATCAACTACATATCTCATTTTCCATAATTATTCATCACTGTATTTTTTTCTTATTTATTCATCTTTATCAACGTTTTCTAATATTTTTCCATATTCACTTAATTGCTCAGGAGAATAAAAAATATTGCTAATATTATATAAATTTAGTACGCAGGACTGATAATATTTTGAAAATGTTTGAGTCTTCCCCAATAAGTGGTTAAATCCTCTGCTGAATCTTCTGTATTAGTATATCTCTTCATTAATAAATAATAATGTAAATAAATATTTAATATTACGTCATTTTTATATCCTTAATATTATATTTATTTTATATAAATTATCAATTCTTTTTCCTTTTTTACGTTAAGGTTTTTAAAGATTCTCCTTATTTTTCTTAAAAATTATCTGAAATCTACTTATTATTATATATCTACCATATTTATTAAAAACTAAAAATATATTAAATATTACTTCTTCATTTTTATCATTTAATTCTAAATTTATATTTTGAAATTAATTAGATCATAGATTATTTTCTTATAATTCAGGTTGCTTCCTTAATAATATTTCTTTTATATAAAAATCATCAAAATCTAAATAACCTTTTTATTCTTTTGATTATCCTTAAGTTTAAATAACTTCAATTTAAATTTTCATAATTTTTAATTGAAGTTCTAATGCAAACTATATTAGTCCTTTTTTCGTCTTTTAATTTAACTACCAATTATCTGATTGAATATCATAACGTTTGTCTTTCAATATATAGCTTATTACTTAATATTGAAATATGTATATATTTAATAAATTTTATTATTTTTTTACCTTTTTTTTAATTCTCTTCTAAAGCATTTATTTTAATTTATAATCTATGGTTTAAATACTTTCTTAACACAATTCAATTCTTTTTGTTTTTGCTTTTATATTCTCAACATAACTTATTTTTTAAATTCAATAATTTTATCTCTTCCATAGAGCATATTAAGATTTTGCTTAATACATTTTATATTTTGGTTTATTATGGTTAAAAGATCGTTTTAATAAACTTAGAAAATGATGTAAAAGTATATCATACTATTTTAGGTAATAAAAACTTAATGTAAGATTAATTAATAAGAACCTTTGATAGTCAAGTTGAATAATTTATCTAAAGATTATTTCTCTGTCTTATGGAAAGAGGGTTTATTAAAAATATTCAAATTAGGGAACAGTTTAGAACCATTATTATTTATTGAAATAGGTACTTATGAAAATTATGAACTATTTTATATGTATAAGAAAACAACTATACTATTTTCGAATCAAGATAGTATTATTCGATATGTTTATGAAAAGGAATTAATAAATAATATGAAATAAAGATAAATAATATATACTCTATATTACAAGGAGAAAGATTAACGATTGTATATGATAACATAAGTAATCCTAAATTAAAATAGATAAGCAATATTGAAAATCAAAAATTTAAATCCTTATACCAATAAGAATGATTATTAAAATTTAATGAACTGCTACAATTAAAATAAGTTGAATAAGATAAAAATAAGTAGCATACAAATGCTACTCCAATTGCTTTCTATGATTTAGCATATTTTAATAACCAAAGTTCTAATCTGAAATAAGAAAAAATTGAGCCAAAAAAGATTACAAAAGATTAAATATGGAATAGCAGAATCTGTTAATACTTTGTAACTGGAATAATTATAAGAGTTATAACATTTTATAGTTGATAAATTGATAAATTATTTAGAATAGACTAAAACTATTCAGATTGGATAAAAGCTATAGTAGGAAGAGGAGTTGGAGATTTCTCTAAATAATATTATCTTTTAGAAGAAAGAACAAAGTCAATTAATTCATAAATTAGAGACTATATGTTCAAAGATATAATTTAATAGATTGACACAGAAACCAAAATAAGATAAAAATTATAGAAAATAGGAACACACTATTTATGAAGAACAATAGGCCGATATTTTAATTACTTAAGGAAATCTCTCTTAAAAACAAATTAATGAAAACAATAATTATGGTGAAGATTAGACAAACCAAATTGAAGATGATTTCAATTAAGTTTATATTAAAGTAAGATTATATTTATTTATAGCACAAATAAACACTTATATAAAGATATAGAAGAGGAAGGATATGATTAAGAAGATTTAAAATTTTGATTAATTATTTAAACTTGTATATACATCAATCAAATTATCAATTTGCTATAACTAAAATCTTTAAGTGTAATATCTGTTTTTAAATCTAAAACAAGGGAATTTAATTATGGAATTTTATTCAGATTTTGTTGTAATAAATTTACTTAATTGATTACCTATTCATAAGGATCTTCACTTTATTATTTGAATAGTTTTACTGATTGAATAAAGTCATCATTTTGATTCAGTCTGTTTTCAAAATCATCTTTATAAACTAAGCTTGTTTAAACTAGTTAATCAATATCATTTCTGATTTATTTTATTTGAAACTTCAATTAATTAAAGAAAATAAATACATCAACTTTTTCATTGAATTCAGCTTATATAATTTAACATTTCATTTTTAATTAATCTTAAGTGTTATCTAAGTATTCTTATAACTATAACTTTGATTATTCTGCTTGATGTTTAACTTTCTAGATAATTAAAATTGAATACATGAAATAATTGCATTTATTAGAGAATCAGATTTCCTATTAATTCACTTTACTAATTATCTTTCTTTAGGAATACTAAAATAGGTTAATCAATAAATTCATTCAATTTAACATTTTAATCATGTTTACATTAGTAAATTTTATATTTACATTCTCTACATAATAAATGAGTATCACACTTTGGTATACAGCAAATATACTATACTGTTCTCTTTCTTTATTAAGTTTTATTAAAATGTTTAATGCATGAGTGATGTGATGGTGATTATTTTGGAGAGTCTGAAAAATCTCTCTCTCTTGATCTAGATGTTTAAGCATTTGATCTTCGAGTTGAATGTCTTTAAAAATAATTATCAAATCTATAAGAATGTTATTTTGATTCTTCAGTAGGTTCCCAAAGTGAATTCATATCAGATCTTCTTGTTGTTAATACTTTGACTAAATTGAGACTAGCTTTACTAGATTTAATATTTTTATTGAGGGAATGTGGTTTATTCTGAATATTTTCCTTCATTAGATTGACGTGTATGATTGGAGATTTATCTCTTTTTTACATTCGTTAAAAAATATAAATTTATATATAATTTTACAAACATAAAAATAATGCAAGAAAAACCTCAATTAATATTGTGTACGGAAGAAAATATGGATGATTACAAAGATCCTAATTTAGAGGAAAGTGTTGAATTTGTTGAAATAAAACAGGATTTTTGCGATTCAAGACCTTAAAGACATAGTCTGCCTGAAAGTTTAAGTTAAAACATTTTGACATAAATTTAAGAACTTCATGAGTTCTTGCCTCATAAGGAAAAGTAAATTAAGGAACAATAAATTAAGGAATAATAAATTAAGAAAAAAGAAAATAGGAAATTTACAATAAGAGTTTATTATTTTGTAAAGAGATTTCTTACTAAATTGTCAGTGAGTAGAAGACATAAGTTATTCTTTAAGAGTATTCATTTTCAAATTGTTGGTGATAAAGCAAGTGGAGAATTATAAAAATTAGGGCAGAATAAAAAGACAGATAAAAAAAGAAAAAGGCAATAAAATACATTTACATGTTATAATCCTTTGACTGGTCTTTTAAAATTATTACCAATAATTTATCCTCAATCAGTATCAAAAATAATATGGGATTTGTGTTTATGTATAATATTAATTTACTTTTTTATAATGATTCCATTAGAACTGGCTTTTAATAATTCTTTAATGTTTTTACAATCAATTTGGCTAACTGTACCATTTTATTTATTTCTAATAATTGATTACTTAATGAAGATGAATACAGTTTACTATGAATATGGACAACCAATAGTTGATAGATCATTAATTTTTAATAATTATTTAAAGTAGGGATTATTGATAGACGGTATTTCCTTATTGGTATTACTTTGTGGATTTTTTAATGATTATTTCATTTAAAGTAGATGGTTAAATCTTTCATTGATATTATTTATAACTCAATACCATTATTTTGCTTAAGTAGTAAGAAACATGGAAGAATCCATTCATTTAAGCAAGACATAATCTTCAATCGTGAATTTAGCAAAATTAATATTCACAATCCTTTATTTTCTCCATATATATAGTTGTCTTTGGTACTTTATAGGTTCCTATGCTAATGAAATAGGAATGGTTAATTGGTTAGATAGTAGACATTTATCAGAGGCACCCTATGAAACATAATATTTAGAAGCTTTCTATTTCTCAACAGTAACAATGATTAGTGTAGGATATGGAGACATAGTTCCTTTAAGTAATAAGCAAAAGTATTTTAGACGCCTTAGAGAAGATTTGTACAATCCTTTTTATGTTTACTACTTGTGTGTAATTGTCATTCAGTGTTAATACAGTTGGAGAGATTTTAAATTCAATTAGTTTGTCAACTGAAAATACTACTGAAAAGATTCGAATTATCAACAAATTTATGAATAGAAAAAAAATCAGTTTCGAATTGCAATACTAGTAATTAAATAAAATAGTAATCATAGAATAAGAGAATATATTAAAATATATTGGAGTCAATAATTGTAATAAGAAAATGAAGAAGAAGAAAAATTAATTACTTCGTTATCAGAGAATCTTAAAAATAAATTAATACATGAAGCTAATTTCTCTATCATTGAAAAATGTGATTTATTTTAATAAACTTTTTCTACTGATACTAAATAAAAACTTATTAAGTTATTCAAAACTGTATTAATAACACCTGAATAAACTATAACTTGTGAATTACCTTAATTTAATGAACCTTGTTTATGTTTTATTGATTAAGGAACCTTGAATATTTGTGCAAATATTACTGATCGTTCTGAAGGTATAACATTTTCTTAAGGATAATTCTTTGGTTTAGAAGAATTGCTTACAGGATAATAACCTTAATTATAATTATAATCTTTATCATTTGTTAAATTATTAATTCTAACCAGAACTGATTTTATTAATACTTTAAGGGATAATCCTAAAGATTATGAATCATTTTGTTAAATGAAAGATGAAATACTATTACATTAAAGAGATTCTAAAACTAAATGTAAATCTTGTAATTGCATGGGACATGATATTCAAAATTGCCCTATAGTTCATTATGTAATTGATAAAGAAAGAGTTATTAAATCTTATCAATTTTAATCTGAATAAATAAGGGTTCCAGGAATGAGAAATAGATGCCGAATAAGAAATTAATTTAATGCCATTTTTGATTAATGGTTTTTATAAGAAATTGCTTCCATGATGAAAAATCATGAAGATTTACCTATTGTATAATTTTATGGAATATAATGTTTGGATGATACTGATATCAAATCCCCATAATAACCAATACTTTAATCTAAAGATTCTCTTATGACTAATGATCGTGGATCATTTTGCTTTGTTGATTAAGTCATACAAAATTCAGTCAGTCCTTCACCTCCAAAAACATTTGACCATTCAATTTTTCGTAAAATTTTTATTCTAATTAGATCCTTAAAGTAAAGTTTCAAGAAAAAATTATCCAAAATAAAGTATTAGAATTAAAAATTTTGGAATTAAAATTAAATTTCAAAAAATTATTAAAAAAGTTATGAAAATGCAAAATTATTCTAAAGCATTCACTAGATAAAATGATATAGAATCTAACCATAGATTCAATAAAAACATTAAATTTATTGTAGATAATTATTTTAAAACTAATTCTTTAAAAGATTATTTAAATAAAGTTGAATATGAAAATCTTTATTTCCTCAGAATGAAATGCCATTTAATTTAATTTTCAGAAATTATTTTATCAAAGCCTTTTGAGATATAAAAAGAATATTCAATATATTAAGTACATAACAATTTATCGCATGTAATAAAGAAAACAGATGTATATTTAGAACAATAAAAGAGTAGAATATTGATAAAATAGGAAACTCCAAAAAATGATAAATTGATATAATTAAATTAGGAAGAAAGAAAGGTTGTGTTAAGAGATAGTCTTATTAGATATCTTTCTTATCCAAATATGTACTTTTAAAAATATTTTGACAAAAATGAACCAAATGAAACTCCTCAATCAATAGGATAAAAGAAAGCAAGAGCACTATTTAAAGCATATAAGAAAAGATAAATAATGAGACAAAATGCGTTTCTTTTACCTCCAGTAAAAAAAAATGATTCAAAAAGAACAAAATCTTCTTTAGCAGTTGGGATAAATGTGATAGTGCCTGAAAATTGATTTAATTAATTGATAAATAATAATAATAATAATAATAAGTTTAATATTATAAAAATAGTAAATTAATAATATAATAGAATGTAATATGATCGTTCACTTTTGACTGTCGATATTCAAGGTGCTTAACCTAAATCTAGAAATGCTTATATGAATCGATTGTTACCAAATTAAATGAGATTTGAAGAGCAAATTAGAGTTTAGTAATGAATATAAAGTCATGAAAGACAATAAAATCCGAAATAAGATTATAAATTTGGAAGAAGAAGATATTAACATGATTTTCATCATTTTTGCAATATATGTATTCCTTAAGGAGAGGAACATTTTGAAAAATCAAATAAGAAACACTTTGTAATTCCTGAAGGTGAGATTAAATAATATAGAGCTTTAGAGAATTATTATGATTAACCTAAGTATTAAATAGTTATTGATAAAGATAAATTGAGATAGATAGATTGTTATGTACAAATGATATAGATGGAGCAGTTCCAGGTTCTTTGTAGAGTAAGGCTGTACGTAATTAAGAGATGGCTTAGAAATTGAGAATATAGAGAGAAGAATAAAGAATTTAAAAGAAAAGAGCTTTATATTAATCATAATTAAATTAAAGTTATGATTAATAAGAGGATTCTCCATAACCTTAAAGAAAAAAATCATACTCAGTTCAAATATCTCCTGTTTAATAATAAGAATAAAAGACTTAAGCTTATGAATATCTGAATAAACCTTTAAAACTACCTCCAATAAGTGATAGAATAACAACATTCACAAATCCAACAAGCAGCAAGATTTAACTGAAATAGAATCATCTTAGAGTTTTAGATTAGGATAATACATGGCAATAAATATAAAAGTAACCAGCATTGAGATTATTTCTTTGATATATTCATGAATAAAATTCCTATTGTTATTATTTATTTGATCTAAGATAATGTTAAGGTAGATTCCACTTTACGTATTTTTTCTATTAAATTTATTCTGTTGATTTTTTTAATACTCCTTTATCCATACTTTACATTTTAGGTCTATTGATAGTTCCTATATCTGATAAAGAAAGTGGAGTTGAACTCTACTCTACATTATTAGAGAGGTTCTTATCAGTATCAGCTTCAAAGATATATAACGATCTTGACTTAATGAAAGTTGGACGTGGTTTCGACTTCTTTCTTTATTTTAATGATTCAGTTGTAATGTTACAGTAATCAGATTATAAATAAACAGATTTATCAGAATTAGATGATTTACTTCTACTTGTTGGTTTACGCGTTGATGAAAACTTTGATTATCTTTCTGATGAATCTCCAGGAGAACGCTTTTTAGAACGATTTCTTGTTGATTATTCTGTAAATCGATTGCTTCTATTTGTACGGATTTCATTTTAATCACAAGAACAATCGCAAGAAATATAATTAATGTAACATTGACATTAACATTTTCCTATCGTAATCGTTCCCATTTTATTTATAATTTTAATTAATCATTTCCCAAATATGAATCCCAAAATTAACGATATACCAGCTATTATCATCACTTATTTCAACTCAAACTTATTTCCTAATTTAAAATTCTACATTATGAATACCATGATGTTTAATAGCAACTTCTTATTCTTTCACACTCTTTAACATCAACTGATAATTAGAAACATCTTAAGACTAAAAATATATCAAATATAATATACCAATTAAGCAACCAACTCTTAACATTTCTAAATTTCCTCATCTTTTTCATTACCTTATGTACTATTATCAATTAAGGATTAATAAAGTTAACCCATACTTTGATTTGTTTCTAATACCATATGTTATTACAATTATTATGGAATTATCTCTTGATTAATTTCAGCAGGTTTAATACGAGTCATATTTTCATTAGTTTCTAAGACTACATTTTATTACAATTATTATTATTGAATTATCTCTTGTTGTATTTCTAGAGGTTTAACTCTACTTCTCAGTTATACTTATTAAATCAATTAGGCATCTTATTGTCTCCAAAAGTTGGTTAGATCTAACTTATACAAATATATTTACCCTATCCTTCTTATTCTAATACACACGCGTTAATTTAAAACTTAGATTCCAACTTACTATCTTCTTTTAATGGTTGACTAGTGCTAATAACTATAGACATTTAATCATTTGCTGAAATGATTCCTATACTTGGTTTAACTTAAAACATATTGGGATTAGTTGTTTTAATCTTATTATGAGATTGTTGTTACTTTGAAAGTTAATTTAGTCTAAGTCAAGTTGAATATATTCAATGTTGTTTATCCTACTTTGCCTTCTTAAAGAATAAAGTCTAAATATTGTTTTGGTTCAATGTCTATTAATCCTTACATATAATATATTTATTATTTTCATTATATAAATGAGTCTCTTAATCCTAGGATATTTCTGATATTATTTCTAGCAATTGGATGATAGAATGCTTCATGAGTCTAAAATGTTTAAACCGCAAATTCACTAACATATATTAAACTTATACTGATCTAATTAATTTAAGGCTCTATAAACTGGATACACCATTTTGCCTCTTCCAATTTAACCTAAGAATTCTGCAACTTATGTCAAACGATTTTTATCTCCTGCTGTTAAAATAGCTCTAAACCAACGGAATTTTAATTCAAAATCATTCTCCTAAGTTAATTTTAAATCTTTGTCTATTTAATCAACAACATTTAATTTCAATAAATTGTTTTCTGCTTTCTTATAAAGATCTTCTAAGAAAATTAACTTTTGAGTTTGCAAGAAATTATCGTAATCCTACCAATTAGTAGGCTATTATCCATCAGCTCTTATATATCCATCACAATATTCTTAAGCTTCTGTTAACTTATTAGTTGAAAAATCAAGAATCACTGGTGGTAATCCTGGATTGTATACCCATTTATCCCAATTTTCTAAAATCTTATATCTCTTAGTTGAAAAATCCTTGACATCCTATTCTTATAAGTATCTTAATAAGAAATTCTAAAATTCTTTCTGATCAATCGATTAATATTTATATTAATCCAAATATGCTCTAAGCATCTATTTAAAATCATCTTGCCCCACAATTTATTCTAAATAAGTCAAGAATTGGAATCCTTTCTCATAAGGAATTTCACTGAATGAATCATCTGGATTAAGGCCAGTGGTATCAGGATGCAATGAAGAAAAATTACTATTAAGTCCATACCCAAGCATATCTTGATACATAGATGTATTTCCAATAATGGCATTTAATTTAATATCATCTGTACTATTATAATGGGTAAAGGATGCTTTTCTTTCTAGAAATACAGTGAATCCTTCATTAATCCACATATTTGCCCAATTAACACAAGTAATAGTATTACCAAACCAGGAATGTGCCATTTCATGTATAGTGACTGATAACCCAGTACCTTTTCCAGTCATGATAGAGGGATTGGCAAAAGTTAAAAGTGGATTTTCCATACCACCAATAGGGAAAGAGGGAGGTTGAATAACTAAAGTATAAGTTCCCCAAGTATAAGGACCAATATAATCTTCAATGGCTAATAAGAATTATTCCATATCTTTTAGTTCATCAGCATAAGGAACAATTTTATCAGGTTCACTGATTAAATATGTTCTACCTCCAGTACTAGTTTTTTTCTTCTCAATATTACCTGCGACAATAGCAATGAGGTAGCTAGGAATAGGTACTTCTTAAATAAAATATTTATATTTCCAATTGAAATTAGGCTCATCTTATGGTTTATTAAGGATTAAGAATTAATCTTAACTTTCATTAGCTGACATGAAAACATCTGCAGCTTCAGTATCTTTAAAAATGATGGTGGCTGTGTAAGTTTATTTAATGGCAGGAGTATCTTATAAAGGAGCAAGGGCTCTACAATTGGCATCTTCACATTATGAGAATAGATAAGGCATAGCTATATATATATAGAACACAGTATTACTTTTAGTAGAGGTCTATTCTTTAGTCATAAAGCTAATGGATCTAGATTTGGAATCAATTGAGTATTTGATAGATAATTCTATATATTCTCCTCTATAATATGTTCTGTCTAATTAAATATTAAGACGCTAGCCTTGATCAGAATCTGCATAAGGACTGTCAATTGTATGGGGTAGAAGAAGTCCATTGGTAAGGTATGTAGAATATATATTGAGTTTGTATATGTCCAAAGATATCTAGAATGAAACAATAATAATACTTTATTAATTTAAGGTCCCACAACTTAGAATGTATATACAGATGTAGCATTGATGTATTTTTTATCCATATTCAGGAGCCATTCTAAATGAAGATGTCTATTGTGAACATCTAAATAGTTAGAAAAGGTATTCACATCAATCTCATATGCTTATAAACATATAATAGATGATATCACCAATAAAATCATTAATTAATGTTATTTATATTAATTGCTATAGTATTATCTAAAGAAGATTAAACAATAAGGATTGGATAGAGTTGTGCAACTAAATTAACTGGGTATTTTTGGAATAACTAATAATGTGTCTAATGTAAATAACCCTCTTGTAAATGTTCAGAATCAAGAGGATGTGATTCATGTTTGAATTCATATTATTATGATTCAACAATCAAAACTTGTACTCCTTGTCCTAAAGGATGTTTAAAATGCTGTAAATCTCATGAAATGACTTAATTCATTTGTACTCTCTGCCAAGATGGTTATATTATGATTAATGGAGTATGTCTATATGTTCATGCATGCAGTAGAATATCTATTCATGGCAGATGTTAAAAATGCTTCGATTAACACTTTCTTTAAGAAACATGTTAACCTTGTCCAAATGGATGCTCTTCTTGTGATTCATAATATTATTGTACTAGTTGTTTAGATGGTTATTATATGGCTATTGATCAATAAAGTCTCACTTGCTTAACTTGTAATCAAGAAAATTAATAAGGATGCAAGTCGTGTCAATTAGAAGATTAAAAAATAGTTTGTTAAAGTTGTCTAGAAACTTATTATTTTGATCAAGAAAATGATTTGTGTCTCAAATGTCCAACAGGATGTTTCACCTGTCAAAACCCTAATTAATAACCATAAATATGCTATTCTTGTTTAACTGGTTATTTATTAGCTGCAGATGATTCATATTGTGAAAATTGTTAAGATTAAATTAAAAATTGTATGAAATGTACTACTAATGAAAAGGGCAATAATTTTCTTTGTATTGATTGCTACAATGGATATTATTTGGCTTCAGATTCTAGATCCTGTATTGCTTGTGATAATGGTACTAATAACTTTAGAAGATGTAATTCTGAATCTCTACCTACTCAATGTAATGTAGGGTATTTACTTTTTCAAGATTCATAATAATATTAATGTGTTAAAAATTCTAATAATTGTTACACCATTGATAATTTCTAAGGTTAATGTTCGGATTGTAATTTTGGATTTAATGTAGTTTTTGATTTAGCTTTGTAAATTAAAGTATGCAAAAATTGTACATTAAATATTCCTTAATGTATTACTTGTGGTGCTGATAATAATAATTAACTCATCTGTAAAGAATGTTAAAATGGCTATTTCGGAAATCTATGTGCACCTTGCACTTCTAACTGTTAAACATGTTTAAGTGAAACACTTTGTTAAACATGCCTTTCTGGATATTATTTAGATGATTCAAACTAATGTCAAAGCTGCTAAATAAGCTTTTGCATTTAATGTTCAGCTTTGAAAACTTGCACTAAATGTTAATTAAATTATGGCCTTTTTGACGCCATTTGTAAACCCTGTTTAACAGGTTGTGAAAATTGTGATGGCAATCTTGATGAATGTAATAAATGTAGTGAAAAATATTATTTGACCCCAGTTGATAATAATTGCAAAAGATTTAAAGAAAATTGTCTTGCTACAAATATCAATGGTTATTGTTATCTTTGTGAAACTAAAATAGAATATGATTAAGCTCAAGATCTCTTCTATGATGAGAATGCAGAACTTCCAATATTCAAAGAATAATCAGATAGTTAATTTTTTATTAGCAATAATGGATACTGTTTAAGTTGCAATGATTATATAACTGGAACTTTTAACTGTCCATAAATATGCAAAGTAGATGAAGAATTTACATCAAGTCTTTCAGTTTTCTTTTTAATTTTATTAATATTATAATGATTCTTTATTGTATTTTTATTTCCCAATATTTTTTCAATTTCTTAAAATAGCTTTTATTAAGACAAAAATTTTTATATCAATTTAATCTAAGATTTAAATTCAAATTAATTGACACACATAAGAAAAACTTACTCCTATTAATATTTAAATATATTCAATAATGATCATAACCAATTAAAGTTTCCTAAGCTGAACTATTTCTTACTTGCGAGAATTTAATATAAATTATTTATAATTTATTATTTTATCAAAAAACCAAAAACAGATAATTAAGTTTAGCCTATAAAAATGAATAAAAATTTTCATCAAAATTTTAATCTCTCATTTGACGAATTTCTTTTATTGCATTATAATAATAATCTTTCTAATCAAAATAAACTATATTTAAATAAAAACAAGTAGGGAAAACAATAAAAGATTTTATGAAAACTAAAATTTGAATAAAATAGAGTTCAATTTTAAGAAGTAAATTATAAACTCAAAATGACCTTCAGAAATTGATTATGAGAGCATAATTAAATTACCGCTTGAAAGTAATAGAATCACAAATCTGCTTAACATAAGATTACTTAAATTTAATTTAAATAAAGATAAATACTTCAAAGAGGATACAATTTGATATAACAATAGCAATTTCAACATTTTTTGTAACAGCAACTTTTTTTGGAGATGGGGCAAAATTTATTTATTGGTTGAAAATAGTTAAATTTCTGAAATAGATCTTAAGGATTAAATTCTTATATAGTTACTTATATTCTTTTTTTATTTTTGATTTCATAGGATTAATTTTCTTCAAATATTTATCGACAGAGGTTCTCTATGTAAATTAAAAAAAATTAACAAAGGTTTAAGAATAGTGAAGCGAACAAGTCATAAAAGAATTCAAAAAGATTTCATCTATTTTAATAAATGAATTCCTTAAATGGTATGATGACTTTCTTTGTTGGAAAAATCTATACATAAATTTCAAATTAATCATGTTTTTTTTCTATTTTTATTAAGTTTGAATAATTTGAATCCTTCTTTTGAATTATCAAATTCACCTATATAAACCTATTTAGAGAATGGTGTAAAAAATCCTCAGAAACTATAAATTTATTTGTCGTTTTCTTTTTGATATTGGAAAAACTTTAGGAAGCAATGAAAAAGAAAACTTATCTAATGTTTTCAATATAACATCATCATTCTAATTAATAAATTAATACTCAATCTTTATATAATGATCATTATGGATATATATAATAAATAGATTTATGAACTATTCAGAGTAAAATTTTCATGCTAAATTAATCACGGAAGGTACTTCGATTCTCTCAAATAATGTAATGAAAAAAACAAAACTTCATCTTATGAATTATAGAAAAAATAGTAACATCAGAAAGATCCAATATTAGTTCTGTCCTATAAATCAAAGGTTTCATGATTATTTAATAGTTCTCATCTTATTTAAAACTTTGAAATCTTATAGTAAACTTTTCATAAAAAAACTAATAGTTAAAAAAAAGCAATTATTTGGATGAAGCCATCTCTTTGGATAGTGAATAACAGCAAAAGTAACATATAATATATTTTATCCTTCTCAATATTGAATCTGATGATAGATTTGAAGGATCAATTGATGAACTTCCTATTGTTTATTCTTAACAAAAGGCTCAATAACACCATTATAATTCTAACTTTGAAATCTCTGTTTATAAAAGTTAATAACCTTTTCCATACATTAATAAAGAACTTAAACTTATTTTATGATAAAAAAATGAAAAATTATTAAATATTTGATTTTTTTTAATATTTAAATCATTTTTATAGATTCTCAAAATCTCCTACCTATGATTTTCTGCTTTTATTCATTTAGATTGACTCTATTGATTATACTTTAAGTTTTTACATTACTTCAAAGCTTCTTAAACGTCACTAAAGTCTCAAACTTTTCCCAAAAACAAGCAATAAAATTCATTAATTTTTATCATATATTAAATTATTTTTGAATTTATTAATGATTGAATATTTACCATCATGAAATAAAAATTTAATTTAAATATAATGCGTAACATCTTAAAATATATATACGTCAATTAGAATACTAAATTTCAAAGTAAAATAAAATTAAAACATGGATAATGATTATTATGACTTTCTTGATCATTCATTTGACTATAAGCCAAAAAAGAGAGGACAAAGGGGTTAGATAAATCTCATTTAAATATAGCTTTGACTGATCAGGAGATCATTGTTCGTGAAAGAATGAAGCTTGTAAAAAATAGAGAATCTGCAAAAAATAGTAGAAAGAGAAAAAAGATGTACGTTGACCTTTTAGAAAACAAAGTATATTTACCTTATTAATTTTAGGTGGCAGGTTTAAATTAATAGTTACAAGAATATAAAGAACTTCAAGAACAAAGTTAGGTTCTATTACGAAATACGCAAATCCAATTATTGTTTGGAAAATCATAAAAAAAATCAGATTAATTAAATCATTACTTTCAAGAAATTTATGAGTAATCTATTCCTAAAATGGCTTTACATTTTAAACAAGAAAAACATAATTCAGAACTCGATCATTGTTTTTAAAATTTTTATAATTGCTTTAATGATATAAATAATTTCAAAGAAGAAATGATCGAAGAAATGCAAAAACTTGATATCACTATGAAATCTGCAAAAGAAATCCCAGAGTTTAATAAGTTCTTTGAACATGTCTCTAAATTAGATTTTTCTAAAGAATTAGACAGTTTAGATGAAGTAATTTACATATATTAATTCATAAGGAACTTGCCAATGTGATTAAAACAGATGACCTCCAATTGTCAATCAAAGACACTTATGATTTGTACAACAAATCCTTGTAGTTTATTAAGAAACCTAAATTAAATTGAAAATTATTTATATAACATTCTCATATAGAATAAAAATTAATTGTAAATAAGATAGAAATTAGAATAATTAATATCATTATTATTAAATAAAGACAAAATAATAGACAGATAAGAAATTAAAAATTATTTATAGAATTCATTTAAATATTAAAATTTGTTTATATATGGCCAACCATAACTAATTTAAAATTAAGATATATCTTAAAATAATATACTAAAAGAAAATGACCTAGTAATTTTATTTAATATCTTAGTAATTACTTGAGAAAAACTAATTAATTAGAATCAAATGTAATTTCTTGAATATCTAATTAAATCAAAGAAAATATAAAATATTATAATTTCTCTAAAAAGAATTTTTTTAAATCCTCAATTAAAAATAAGTAGAATAACCTAAAAATGCTTAGAGATGTTTCTTAATGATAAATTATAGAAACTTTACACTTGATGTGAAAGGCTGACTATTTATTAACATGGGAACTTAATAACCTTAAATAATAAACTAAGGATCTTCCAAAGAAATAATAAATTTATTAAATTAAGAATCATTGAAGTTAGTTAGAATAAATGTGCTAGGTGATTATGAATTCAATATAGCAATAGCTCAAAAGTTCATTACTTTAACTTTAGAAGATGACATTGCTAAAATATGTAAAATCCTTCTAAATCAAACTGTTCAAAAGAATAAATTTAAATTTAAGTAGCTTGATTTTTGTTTGTTGATTGCATATTTTTATCACATATTTAAATAAAAATAGTCATAAAATTAGATAAAATATATTAAAATAATTAGTAAAGTTAATTTTATCATTTATTACCATTTTTTTCATCTCATGGATATTAATTTTAATGTTTTATTATCACTATATATCACTAATTTAAGCGATTCTTTATTTTAAATCGGATAAATTTATAATAGTTTCAATCTTAGCTCAGAACTTTCTAGACTTCTAATTGTTTTATTTCTTCCATCTAAATAATAAGATAATAATAAATTCAAAATGCTTTGAAATAAATTATTCTTTTAAACTGACTAAAATTCTTTAGACAAAATTTCAATCTGTACCTGATTTAATGAATGAAAAGTTTTAGATTTTATTCTATATTAGAATTTCTTATTATAAAGTAATTCTAATATTTATTTTTCTCTTCCTACTTTTAATATATCTGATTCTAATAATGAGTTTAGAATAAAATATTGAAGTTAAGTTAACAGAATTTTTCATTAAAATATACAAATACTTTAGAGCAGAATGAAGAAAATCTTCTTAAATAATTTTCAAGCAATCATTCATCAAAGTATCTTCAAGATTCATGTATTTATAAATTATTCTCATTGACCCTCTTTTATTATTTCTTAAGATAATAATTTTTCAAGATGCTCACTATGACTTTGGCGGTTAGAAACTAATAAAAATAACTTTCAAAATTTTATAATTTTTACATCATAATGATTTATTGAATACTAGTTAATTATGAAACCATAATTTATTTAATAGGATTTTAATTTATCTTATCCAAAAGAGGAGTCGAGATTAAGACTCTTAGAAATAATAAAAAAGAAATATTTGCAAGATTTTTTTTTATCTTAGTTGTCTTCATAATATGTCTGCTTAATTAAATCAAAAAAAGTTCAAAAAGGTATGATGAGAATCTAAAAACATTTTGAAAAAGATAATATCCTTTTTCTTTTTATATTTGATTTATAGATTAGGTCTTACTTTTAAATTCCATTCTAATTTTGACTGGAAGTGTTTGAAAATGTGGAAGTTTTATTTTAAATTTTATATTTTTGAAAATTCTTAATTAAATTATTCTTTAAAATTAAACATCTTATTTATAAAAAATATTTTTATTGATGCAAAAAAGGCTGCTTCAATTCTTCAATTTCCTTAGATAAGTTAAGTTTTATAAATCAGAGGATGGATAGCCAATAAAAATAGCTAATAATATAAAATATTAAAAATTAGATATTTAACAAGGAATAAATAAGGAAATTATTCAATTAATATATTATGAAAAATGAAGGAGCATTCGTAGAAGTTAAAGAAAGTAAAATATATTAGTAATTAAATAATTTAGAATTTGCCTAAAACCTTATTCAAGATCTTGCAGAAAATGTATAAACTGTAGCTGGTCATTATTCAAAATTTTAGTTGATAGGAAAATCAAATTGTGTTGAAGTTTCTCCAAAGAATTTGAACAAAGGAATGATTTTAGAATTGATCTTGTAGAAGGAATAAATTATTAATGAAAAGTTAGACTTTGCTTTGATTATAGCCATAAGGATTGAAAAAGAAGATATTTTTTCTCATTTTAAAGTAATAATTAAAAGTAAAAAATATTTTATTGGAGTAATATATATGTTATATTATTAGAATGGTAATAAGTTTTCAGTATCTTTAGGTTTGGTTCCATCATATGTTAATTATTATATTAATTTCCAAATAGATTTAATACAATTATTAAAAAAAATGTGAATTTAATATATTCTTATATTATTTTAAATTTCCAGTCACCTGCAAAAACAATAATAATAAAATTAATTATTTATGTTACAAATACTAATCTTGTCTTTAATCAATTTAGAGATCCTAAGTAATCAAATATATCCTAAAACTGATTAATTATTACTATAATTAGAAAATGATGGATGGATCGATTGTGAAAACAAAAACCTAATTTAAGCTACAACATGCTCAGGGGATGATATTTAATGGTTAGAATGTTATTTAGTTCCAGAAAATGGATTATGTTCTAAATAGAATATTGAGATTAGTAATGATGAAATAGTGAACTTTTTGTTTACTTTTTATGAGCCAACATTTGAGACTTATGATATAGATATAAATAATAATAAAAATAGAGGGAAAATACAAATTTAAAATGATTTAGGTCGTGCAACAATTTAAATATAATCATCTAAATCTAGCATTAAAATAAATTAAAAAGGAGCCTATTTTACAGGTTTAACAATAAGTAAAGAATGCAATCCTAATTGTCAAACTTGTGATAATGGATTTTGCACGTAATGTAATGATAAACATTACCTATACAATTATATTTGTTAATCAGATAGTTGTGATTTAAGTATAATAAATTAAAATTTCTTAACATCAACAACTGGGGCAATTGAGAATGGATAATATGTAATTACTATCAAATACAATTTTAATATAGCCTTTTGTTTAGTCCCAAAGATTTATTATACAAAAGGTCTTAAAGATTCCTCAATATTTATGATTTTGGAGAGAAATTAAATATAATATACCTAAACCTCTTAAAGTCCTGATTCATTAAAAATATATTTACCTTTGAATCAAGTTTAAACTAAGTGTTAATAAATCACAACTACTTCTACTTATATTTATTAATGTTATATTGGAGTAGCCTTAACTAGTTCTAAAATTACATAATTTATGGCAATTCTTATTGGACAGATATTTGTTGAGAGAGGTACTCAAAGTATTTCTTAATATACTTAAACTATTCCTATTCCAGATAGTTTAGATGTTGAAGTTGGACCTGTTTTTGTTATAAGTGAAACAGTTTCATAAAATCTTAATGCTGATTAAAATAAGTTAACAATTGTTCAAACTATCTCAGATCCAGAACTATCTAATTTTTAAATTAATTTTAAGGAAGCATATGTAATTTAAAATTAAAATACCTACAATTTAACATTAAATTATATTTTGCAAAAAGGAGTTTCTACAACTTTTGAATTCATTTGGAAGGATGGACTATTTGATCCTTATTCAGAATTTTAATTTTTTATTAATTCTGAAGCAAAACCAGCAATTGATGAAACTAGAAGAAGATAGCTTGAGACTTCAATTAAAAGAGAATAATTATCTGTTATTTATTAGGTTAAAGATTCAAAAACTTTCAATATTAATAAATAATCAAAAAAAACAGATGGGGTCAGTGATGAAATTATTTTTGCAATAGCATTAGGGGGTATTTTAGGACTATCTTTTTTCATATTTCTTAGCTAGATTTTGTATAAAAAGATTAAAAATTCTAAAAATCAAGAAAGCTTTCATACGAAAGTAGGATCATGATTTAAATATACTAATTATATTGATTTAAATTTTTAATCCAAACAATTCTTTAATATTTAACCGATATATATATTATCTAATAAATCATTTGAAGAAATTTTATTTAACAATCGATTTTAAACAATAATCAAAAAAATCACCATAGTGAAAATTATTTTTTATTTTTGGGTTTTAAAATAATCTAATTTAAGCATATAATAAATATGATTATGATAGATTATATATTTCTATTTGTTATTTTAAATAAAATAAAATAAAATAAAATAAAATTGTATTAAAATTTTTTTAAATTCATGTAAATTTTTTAAGTATGTTAATCACAATGAATGATATAATGGCCAAAGACAAATATAACAAAGCATATTTTGCATACATATTGCTGGCTTAATCTGATTGTTCATCCTAAAAATCGGTAATCTTATAATTTTTTTCTGCCAAATTCCATGTCAATAGAATTTCTATCGCTTTATTTCTCCAATCTTATTCTGAACAATCACTAGGCAGATTCTATATAATATATTCTTCTAATTTAATTGAATTAAGGAAACTTTGATTTGCCTCACTCCTTAAAACAATCAAATATTCAGGCTTCCTTTAAAGTTAAGTAATAAAGGGCCATCTTTAATTATTTTATTATTGTCTTTAATTATAATATTCATCCAAAGATTCTAAAAATAAATTTATTGCTTAATCTGGAAATTCTGTTACTTTTACAATATTCTACTATTACAGTTGTCTTTACCCTTGCAAAATCTTTACATGTACTAATCCAAGAAAAATAAAATTGGAACTCATAATACCTTATTTTATTTGTTCAATACTTTTAATAATAACTGATTAATTTAGATTTCCTTTTTTTTAATAATTTTATAAAAATATTAGAGGATATAAACTTTTATAATATAATTTCATAGAGATTATTTACATTATCGATTTTAGTCAGTAAAGCGTTAGATAAAATACTTTGCTTTGCTTCTAATCTTGAAAATAAGCATTAATATTTATCTTATTGCTTTTATTCATATAAAATTATTCGATGGATATATATTTAATTTTTCTATAGTGATTATGTATTCTTCTAAATTTGGAATATATTTTAATTTTATTTAGCAATAATACTCTTATAATTTATAAATATAAATTCTTTATTAGTATTTTTTTCAAATTACATCAACTATTTTATTTTTTATTAGTAATAAATATCCATGTATTAAATTATCAAGATTTATTATAAAGTTTATTTAATGAAATTTAAATTATATATTTCTTATGGAGTAGCTATATTTTTGTTAAGATTTACAATAAAATCAAATAAATAAATAAATATATATTATGTCTAAAGTATATGAATTATAGAGTAACAGTTAACGATGGTTAAAAATTAATAACATATATAAAAGATATTCTTCCATTAAAAAGCCAGAGGTTTTTTGGATTCCTGTAATAGGTTTTCTATATTATCACATAAAGAGATTATTAAAAATATTAAATATTATAAATTTCGTTTTACAACTTCTCATTTTCGAGAAAAATTTTATTTAAACAATTGATTAGTTATAATTTTGTTGCCGTGAAATAACAAAAGTTAATACAAATATTATAATTTTCCAAAATTTTTAGTTAAATAATTGATATAAAATTTTTGTAGAAGAATATGTAATAATTTAATGGCTCTCTTTTTAACATAATAAATTATTGCTTAGATACTAATATTGAAAACCCCATTTTTTATTAAACTCATAAGATCCATTATTAATGCATAGTAGAATTGAAAAAGGAATTAATTATTGTGGTTATCTCATTCTAACTACTTGTTCGGTTTAAGATTTAGATTAGATTTTATCAATTAAAAATTTATTCTGTTTTCTGTCATTTTATCAATAAAATTATTGCATATTAGGATTCTGTATTATTAAAGTTACATATATTATGATTAAACCACAGTTTCTTACAATTTTGAAACTATGAGGGTATTATCAATATGAAGTGATTTTCTAATTTTTGATATAATTTTGTAAATTATTATGTAAATAATTTTTTTTATTTACAAAATTCTCCAAATACTTAGAAGAAGTTTATGATTTATAAGAACTCAAATAGAATTAAGCTGAAAAAAACTACTATAATTTCTTTTAAATTATGATAGAATTAAGTCACAATGATTTTATGGAATACTCCCCCAATCATATCTAAAATTATTTATTGGATAATTAGAAGAAGAACTAATTTAATTTCTTAAATCTTCTTCTAATGGATTGCAATTAGTACTAAATTAATAATAAATGCAACAACAGATTTTCAATATCCATTTATTAAGTTTTTTTTTCAGTTCAAAAAATAATCATAGAATTGCTTTGTTAAATCTTAAATCTTTCTATAGTAATAAAGTAATTTTATTATTTGATTATTTTTTATTTAGATCATGCTCAATGAAATAGGTAATATTTTATCTTAATTTTTTATATTATTTCTATTTTAGGAATTTAAAAGAGTATTTAGTAATAAGTTAAAAATGAATGCAATATGCATTTTAGTGTGATTTATTTATTAATTAAAATGTAAAAATAGGCAAAATTGAGTAATAATATATGATCAGCACAAAAAAGAAATTTAAAATTAAGAGAATATGGTATTTTGATATGACTTGATATATAATGAAGCAGTATTTGATTATACTTAGAATTCTGCTAAAAGTATATAAGCTTTAAAGCTAGAGTAATTTGAAAAGAGAATGGATTTAAAGATTTATCACTTTTAATAATTACTCTATTCAAAAAATTAAAAATAAATTAAAATGTAGAAATTTCATTCTTGATTAGACTTTAATTGTTGCATTTGTATTCAATAATTTTTAATATAAATGGTTATATTTTTAATGAGAAGATAACAAATATATTAGTTTATAACAATATAATTATTCAGTATATAAAATATTAATAATGCAAAATAAGGAGACTGCCTTCCTTAGTGTTGAAAGTCCAGTTCATAGTTAAAATGTTTTATCTCCTCGATTTGATGAATTAATTCCTATTTATTCTAATGAGAACGTTGTAGATTAGCCAATAGATGAAGCATTGAAGTTAAAGAGAAATATATTTGAAAGAAAGAATTTTCGAGCATTAGATGATGGACATAAATCAGATAATTCAAATGTAGATAACTCATATAGTAGCTCTAAGTAAATTTTCTTAATTTAATATTACTAGCGAAGATATAGGTGATGATAGATCTGCTAGATCAAGAACTCATTCGTTTATTAAATAATAGAAAAGTCCAAGTCTTTCTTATTAAGAATACTAATAGAACAGTCCTAATTAGAAAGCATTATCTGGTTAAATTTTAGATTCAACTTATAATTTTCAATATTAGGCAGGCAAGTCTAACTCAAAACTTGAAAAATATTAAAGTTTTGTTTAATAATTTGAAATGCAAGAAGATAAATTATAGAGAATTAAAATAAAACAAACATAGACATAGATTTAAATAAAAGAAGTTTAAAATAAAAGATCATAATGTAGAAGAGAAGGAACAGTTGGGTATTTAATTAAATGAATTATAGATTAAATGAAATTTGGTCATAAAAGGGTTTAATGATTATTAGATTGGTTTCAAGATTTATTTAATAATTAAAAACAAAAACGGAAACAATTAAATTTAGGCTTTTAACTCAAAAAATATTTTCTGTAATTGGAGATATGTCTAGTAATTTTGAGTTTATATTGGTTTCTCATTAAATTAAACAATAACCAAGTTTAGTAATTACAAATATAACATTAGTTTCTTATTGTAAAATATAATTTCTAAAAATAAGCAACTAAATATTTGCATTATTTAGAATATTGTTAAGATTTCTTAAGTAAAAACATAAAAATTATAAAACCAGATAGTAAATTTAAAATAATTTGGGATATAGTTTTATTGTTATTTATTGTAATGAACATTTTTTATATTCCTATAAATATAAGTTTTGACATCACAATTTCAGGAGCTTTTGAATATTTATTTGATTTACTTCCCTCATGGATATTTGTAGCAGAGATTATTTTAAATTTTAATACTGCTTATTATGATAAAGGTTTAATGCATGAAGATAGGAAATCAATAGTAAAACATTATTTAAAATAAAACTTTTTTTGGGATTTGATTGTTGTTATTCCTTTTTTAATCTCAAATTTAAATATACCTTTTGTTAGATATACATTACTTTTAAGATTAACTAGATTAAATCCTTTAATGGAAAGCATTGAAGAAATGCTTAATTTAGAAGTATAATAAAATAATAGAATAATAGGAAAATATATAGATAGTGGTTGATCTTTTTAAACTTATCTTTTTTCTTGTTTTAACAGGTCATTTTTGTGGATGTGCTTGGCATTTTGTAGCATTAACTGAATATGAATCCTTTGGACTTACTGAAACTTGGTTAACTCATTATGATCCAGCTGCTAATGAATATCATTGGTTTGATAGATATATTATATCATTATATTGGAGTGTTATAACAACAGTAACAGTAGGATATGGAGATATAGTTCCAGTGACTACTTTTGAAAGAATATTTGTTATAGTAGTAACACTATTACTTTGTGGAATATTTGGATATTGTATATCAAATATTGGAAATATCTTTAAATCTATATCAGATAAGAAAACTACTTATAAGTTTAAACTTCGTTAAATTCATTAACATATTAGAAAACGTGGACTTAATTTAAATTTATCATTAAAGGTTTCAATATTCATATTATTTATAAGGTTAAAAAATACTTTGAGTATTATTTTAAATTAGAATAGGAAGAAGATAATAATGCTGACAGTTTTTTATCGTAGCTTACTAAACATTTAAGAGAAGAAGTCTTGACAGATTTATATCGTAATACACTTAGAAAATCTAGACTTTTAAGAGATAATTTTAATGAAATAACTATTAACAATCTTTGTCAATTTGTTAAAGAGAAAAAAGTTCTACCCGAAGAAGTTCTTTATTCTCGATATGATTAACCAAAAAAATTATGGTTTGTTCTTTCAGGTGCTTTAGAATATGTTGCTGATCATAAAAGTACAACTTAATTTCATTATGTAAGATGAAAATGATTAATATGAAGCTACAGAGACATTTTTGAAAAAAGTCACTGCTGGGTAAATTATCAGTACATTTATATAGAGCAGTTCTTGGAGAAAGAGAGTTTATAACCTAATAACCATATGAATATAAAGCGAGAGCATTGAAATTTACATAAATGGCTTATATAGAGTATAATATTTAGTTAATGTAATTAGCTATGATGATTTTATAAATGTAATTGCAGAAATTGATAAGGAATATGAGATATTTTGTATGAAAAGAGATAGATTGCTATTATATCCAGCTTTAAAGGGATCTGGGAATGTGTGTGAAATATGCGAATGGACGCATAACTTTATTTAGTATTTTATATATTTCTATTTAAGGTGTCCATTCGTTTTTTTATAACCTAATACTAATAAAATTGCAAATAGGTTTACAACAGTTAAAATGAATAATAGAATTAAATTTCCATATCGTTTATCTAAAAAATAAAGAACCAAAGAAACATTAAATAAAGCTTAAGAGTGTGCTTTAAGAATAATTGTAGGGAATTTAACAGAATAGTAATTATCGATATATTGTATAGAGAATACACAGATGAATATCTAATATCTTTAGGATTTTAATTGAGTCCAAATATAGATGATGTATCGCCTAAAAATGATGATTCATCAGAAAATATTTATGAATAGAAATCAATTACAAATAATGATAAATAAAATACAATTCAATAATAAAACACTATGAGAATAACTGCTGGAATAACAACAGATTTAAGAGAAAGTAGAGACTTAGATTTGGGTAATTAAATGAGAAAAAGTATTATAAATTTTAAAAGAATATAATTTGGAAAAGAGAGAACAAGAGCAATTTAATTTTAAAAGAAAGATAATTAAGAGAAGATTTCTGAAACATTAGAATAATCATAAATGTTAAATATTCCAAATACATAGATATAAAATAAAAATAATATTGCTCCTAATAAGTAATATCAATAGAAACCTAGAAGATCATCAAATTTGGATGATTTTGGATTTATGTAAGTATCATAGAAATTGGGAAATTTGGCTTAATAATTTTATTAATAAGAACATGATAATAATAATAAGTATTCTCTTAAGTAAATGAGTAGAAATAGTGAAGAAAGTGAAATGAAAGATTCAATAAAAATAAAAAGATAAATTGAGAGTTAGGAGAGAAGAGTTTAAATGGGAGGAGATTAAAGAAGAAAAATGAAAAAGACAACAATTTAAATGGGATAAAGATAAAAGAAACGATCATATTAAAATATTTAAGGTTCTAATTAAAGTCCGGTTTCATAGAATTAATAATAGATATAATAAATAACAATATCTTTAGATTAAAAAAGGAATAGAACAAGTTTCATAGAGAATAAAAAGAATTTAGGTTAAACAACTCATTTAACAAGTTCTGGATTGATAGAATTGAAAGGAGAAATAAAAGAAGGATCTTAAATTGATTCATTACAATAAAAGATTCTTGATATTGTTCATACTAATATAAATTTAGAAATGGATATATGCAAATAAACTTTAGTATATTTTCCAGAACATAATATAGATGTAATCTTAAAAAAGATAGAGATCTATTATTAATCGAATAAAATGAAGGAAAAGAAAATGTATAAAAGAACTAAATCTAATCGTTATTTATTTGAAAGAATAAAAGCTTCAAAAAATGCTACAATAAAAAGCTTATAGAATAATTCTAAATCTTAGACAGATGTATAAAAGAATGATGAAAAAATTTGAATCTCTATAAATATATTAATGCTTTAGTAATTTATAACTATGAATAATATATCATTTCTTTTTTTTAACTTTTGTTGTATTATAAACTGGTTAAACGTTCCCTTCTTCAACATTTATTCCAAAACTACTTTTCCTTTTCAAAATTATTTTAGGCTAAAAATATAAAAATGAGATATGGATTTACATTAATTAAATCACCAGGTAAATAGTCATTTTATTAACCTTATAATGAGACTCTTTTTAATCTTCCTTATCTTCTTTTTTAATACAAAGGTTTATCATTAAGTTTAATTCTAGATTCTTAACTATCTAGGCTCTTTAAGGAAATCGAATGTCTGATTGGTTCAGTATCTTTTATTGTTCTATAAGAAATATATTATTAATCAGTTAATATATTTTAAATCATCTATTAAGTGTAGCTTTTCCAAATTTTGAAAGTAGTTAATGCTATTAATTAAAAATAGAGGGCATTATAATTCCCTTTTAATTTAATTTATGGACCTATATTACTTCTTCTAAAATTCAATCCTCTTCTATAATAAGCTAATCTAAAATTCATAGTTTTATGGAAATATGCCATCTTTTCTGATGCAATTTCTGAACATTAATTTAAAATTTATTTTTTATATCGATGGTAAAATATCTCATAGAGTAATTAATTATATGTAATTCTGTTTTCTTAATCACATATTAAATTATATTACAAACTAAATTTAGCAGCATCCCATTAATTTTCGTATGATTTGCATCCTAAGGGTTCTTTTATTTCTATTAATAAAAATGGTAAATATCTTATATTTAAAAATTAACCATGGCTACAAGAAAACTTAAACCAAGCCTTTCTAAATGTATCTATATTTTCAACATAGGTTTAAAGAATTGAATCCTAATTATTAAAGAATAATTCAAATTATTCAATCATTGCCAATACAAATAAATTTAATAGGACATAATTAGAAATCAACATAAATAAAATAAAATATATTTATGAATAAGGAGATCCACAATATTTTGGATCTTCTTAACAATAAGGATTATGATGCATACAATCATTCATAATACTTCTAAAATCATCTCCACTTACACATTTAAATAAAGCCAACATTGCTAACCAAAAATTACTAAAATTTATTAAATCATTAAGCACTTCTCCTTAATCTATATGTCCAAATAACATCGTACCATAAAATGCAAAAACAACCATTATTATCAATAAAATAAATAAGATTTTAAACATAAACGGAAAAGCAAATGATATCACTCTAACTAATCTTTAAAGATTTTATATTCCTTAAAAAAGAATTATCACTTTCAAATTTCTAAGCATATACATAAATCTTAATAATTAATAATAAGGTATCAATTAAGTAGAATGTAAATATTATTTAAACCAATTCCAATTAAAATCTATTAATAAATCGATAACACCTAAAATAATTACTACAGTATTATACAATCTCCATGGATTATCTTTAAATCTATTGATTCCTAAAGCAAATGCTTAGAGTATTAACCATATAGTAAATACAATGGTACATAAATGATTAATTAGATTTATTATATGATTATAATGAGAATCAGCAGAATGATATACCATCATAATTGTTATGCAATTTATTAGTAAAATAGAAAACATAAACAAATTCATAAATTTACCAGTTATTAAATTAGCTAATGTTTTCCTAAACAAAGATTTTGGTAATGAAGATCTAATAGGATGATCAAATAATATTATTTCAGTAATATTTTTAAATTCTATTTAAGCTTGAGTTAATTATTAATTTTCTATTTATTTTGAGTTAGCTTTTAGATTTATAAAAAGAACACCAGTAAAGAGTTACAAAAAGAACATTGATCCAATAGTACAAAATGCTAAATAAAATAAATAAGTTGGAGCCTAACTATAATAAGGATGTGGACCATAATGTGATTCTCTACTATTTTAAGATGCCCATAAAATAGCACCCCATCCATCAAAAGTTGATATTACAAAAAGAGCAGGCATTGCAGTAGTAATATTATCAAAATTATGTTTATAAACTCTCCATTAATTACCTTATTCTTAACATTCTTCTATCCCAATATCATAATTAAACTATTCTTCACAATAACCAAATTTTTCTGCATAAAGCATCATAGAAAATACTGCAAACATTAACCAAACCATTAAAAGTACTACGAAAACATTTATTATATCAAATAATGATTAAGTCAATGCAGCTCTCACTCTTGCAACCCATTTTATTCGGTAAAGTAATTTTAATGGGCGAAAAAATAAAAATGTTTCAATTACTTTAAAAATTGGCAAGTAACCTATTTTAAAGAATTGAACATAATATATTATAATGTAAACCAAATCAATTATTTTCCATGTATACTATTATTTTTAATTATATTATTACATTTAGATAAGATCCTTTATCTATAAATACTCCATAGGCTATAGATTTTATAATAAACTCTACAAAAATTATTGAATTCAAAATAAATAATAATGTAACAAGCAAAGGCTCTTCTTAGATATCTTTAGGTACAGCTAAATAAGTAATAGATAAAAGTAAATTAATATCAATGAAATATTTAGTATAAACACTTTAGCTTAATTTATAGAGTAGTTTTCTAAAATTATTTGATTTATGGAAAATATAATAAGATTATAAACAATCATTCCCAGTGTATAATTTAGGATTTTATTTAAGGAGTTATTTTTCAAATTATTAAATATTTTCTTGTATTAATTTTATTTTTTTTGATTCTTATCCTTTTAAATGATTAAGATTAATATTTGTTAAATTTTTCAATTTATTAAAGTCATCTTTGATTTTCTTTTTTGAATCATTCACAACAACTGATCTTCTATTTCTAGGAGGTGGAAATTAAAGTGAATGATATAATTTTTCTTTTAAGCAACTATCTCTTTTTTACATGTAATCTTTCATATTACTTGATGAAGCTAATAGATATTCTGGTGAAGTGCTTTCCCTTCTTAAATTACGATTGCTATTTACAATTACATTATTAGCTAATTCTTTATATTATTTAATAGAAGAAGAACTTGAACTAGAACTTTCTGTCTCTGAATCATCATCAGTTTATTCTGAATCTAATTATTTATTAAGTTTATTTATCTATTTTATTTTTTCTTTCATAAACTCATTTTCCTCATTTGAAGATTCCCTCTCTAAATATTAACTAAATCCATCAAGCAAAATAGCCATCATTATACCATAAATAAAATAATTTAAAGTAAAAACTAAAGCTATTGAAAAAGTTACTGCCAATTCTTTTTTTACTTCAGTTCCAATACGATAAACACCAAACCAATCATCATTTGTCATTATATTAAAGACAGTCATAAATGCCTTTGCAGGATCATCAAAAGATTACATATATCCTTGTTTATGGTAATCATTAAATTAATTAGCAAATAATTCCATTCCTATTAATCCAAATGTGAATATCATGAAAAACATTAAGAATGCCAAATAAATATAAGATTTATAAGTAATAGAAGCTATTGCTCCAATTATTCTAGCCATTTAAATGTAAAGAATACATCGATAAAATAAGAGACACTTAGTTGATCTCATTAATCGAAGATATTGTTCACTTACATTTAAATAATCACTAAAACCAAACTCTATTAAACTTAAGATGACTATTAAAAGTTCAATAACATGATGTTTATTTTTAGCTATTCTTTCTAAATTATTTTATATTTTAAATACTTGGTTAATAGACAATTAATTGTAAAATAATTTCTGTTGATAAAACTACTGTTACAATATCTTCTATTTTATCTATTATTTTTCTCTCTATAATCCCCTGTAGAGCCAAAAACAATGTATTAATTAAAATAGTCAAATCAAACAAAAACTTTGTTAATCTGAAGTGAATAATTTAAAAAGCATATTTTCTTAAATTTAGTACAATACCACTTAATGAAATTGGCCAAATTTCAATATCTTTTTTATTGAGACTTCTAAAAATATCATCAAATTTTTAAATTAATTGATAAGAACTAATTAAAACATTATTTCCTGACCAATTTTTCACTTTTATTATTTTTTTTTCAAATTCTTTTCTTCTTAGTTTTGTGTATTCTTCTTAAACTCTAGGTCCCTCCTATTTTTTTTAATGAATTTTAGTATTAATCCTTTATTAAACATTCATATAATCCTAATAAACTCCATTCACAAGAATTCTTAAACTACCTTTTTCATTTAATGTAAAAGGCTTCCTCTCACTTTCTTAAGGAATGGAAAGTTGTTTCATAAAATAAGGAAATTTCCTTTTTTCTTTATCTGTTACTTTAATCATTTGATAACCTTGATTTAGGTTATTTTTCGAACTTAAACTAGATTTAGAACCATGAATATCAGAAGTATTAAGATTATCTTTCTTCATTCTTAAAGATATCTTAATTGGTAATTTCATTTTTTTATTTTCATTTATTTAAGAACTTGCTACAGTTAATTCAGATCTACTAATTTTACGATCTTATACATATTTTTTTTTACTCTAAATTGGTTTATAATAAAATTTCTTCTTTTTATAAATCGAAAATGGTTTATTTTCTGTAGTTTTTAAAACTAAAAACATAGATTATCTTAAAATATCAATATGACTTGTGGGCACATAATTGCAATTATAATCAATATATTTTTCTAATAAAAAAGATTTACTAAAAGATTTAATAATCATTTATTATTTAATTTCTGATGTAAATAGTTTTAAATCTAAATTATTGTAAAACTTAGCAATATCATTTAATTTTGGGAGTAGAATATATTTAAAGGAAAAGTTTTTAACAGTATTTGTTAATTATGTAAAATTACTTTCACCAATCTTATAATGATTGATCATACTTCCTAATAATAGTTTTGGTTATATGTCCCAATTTTAAGATTGTTTATTAATTTGAGGTTATTCAATTAAAATGTTTCGTTATTTAGAAAATAAATAACGATTCATTTGATTCACATAATAATAGAAACCTATTTTTTAAAATTATGATTTGCTTATTGCTTCTACTTTCTCAATGTTATTTGAGGTTGTTTTAAATTACATTTCACTAAAATGAGTTTTAAATACAGCAATAGGTAAATTAAATCCAAAAAATCCTCCAACAAAAATAATTAAAACATAATAAATCCAAACAATAGGATGAAAGGATCTTATAGTATAATACATTACCCAGCTCCAATCATCCATAGTAACAGTTTTTAATATTAAACCAAAAGAATAGATGATATTATTAAAATTAGTTGGAATATTATATGCATTATTAGTAATTACACAACTCTTACCATCTGGACATTCTCCTTATCTACACTAAATCCATTCATCCTCTTCAGAAGGTATACAACGTTCATTAAATAAACCCATAAATAAAGAATTTCCTAAGGATGCAAAAAATAAAACAAATAAAATAACTACAGCTGTGAATTCAAAAATAAATTTTAATGATTCTATCAATGCTTTAATCATTCTTTGTAATCCTATGTAATATTTTAGAAATACCCTCAAAAATTACTCCTAATTATTTGAGTAATCTCATCATTCTTAAAGGTGTTATATTTATAACAGAATTCTTATATGTTAAATGATAATAAAACAACACTATTAGAATTGTATCAATAATTCTTCCTAGGAATATAAATTTAGTTCTAAACAATCCAAATGCAAATAACTGAAGAACAAGGTCCACCAAATATAACCAAAAAAATACTAAACAATCATTATCCAATATACCAAAATTAATTGCATTTAAACTCTCATTAAAATAATTTTAATGCTCATAAATAAATAAAATGATGTTTCCTAAAGTTACAAATGTCACAATATATTAATAAATTTTTGATCTTACTATTTCTTTTGACAATCTTTTTGTCATCAAATAACAATAACTAACTATTTTCCTTATTTTTAAAAAAGGATAATCATCCTCATAAGAGCTCTTTATTTAAATTTATATTTACATAAAGCAATTTATACCTTAAAAAGCTTCTCATTTTTTTAAATTTAATATTTTTAGGTCCATTAACACTACTCAACTTTTAATAGATTTTACTATAGTGATTTTATAATTTGCATAATTAATCTAATTCAATCTATAATAATGCAAATTTTAATACTTCATTTGATGACTGAGATTATTCTGTTACAGATAAATGACTAAATCCAGCAAAAGCACTATTAAAGTTGGATATTCTACGTTTAACATGTGTTGTCTATTGTTAATATAATACTTACACTTATATCTTCATTTGGTATCTAAATTGAAGATTATGGTGTCCCCGGAGATTAAATATCTTTATTTGATCTGTTTGTAATTAAATTTTGAGTTTATATTACTTCAAGACTTATATTTGAATTATCAGATTTATCAGACTAATCATCTTCATTGGCTAAGTCTGAAAATAATTATGATAGATGATCAGAATTCTCTTCATCACTTTCATTTTATTTGCTTTCCATATAAGGTTAAACATACATCTGGGCAGTTGTTTGCTCTGCTATTCTATCAAGCATCTTTTATTATATTTCTTCCCTATTGTTATGAGTTTATGTACTGTTTCTGCTAAGTCATTTAGCTATCAGCTTTTCTTAATATTGTTTGATATTGTTATACCAAGTTTTAAGTCAAATCTTTTATGTTGTTGTTCTGCCTTTTTGAAGACTTTGATTTTATAGTTCTTGCTGATCTTATACTTGATTTTGAACTCTCAGATAAAATAGATTTCTAAAATGAATCATCACTATCTGATTCTGATTCAGAACTAAGCTAAGCCTTTATAGTTGCTTTACTAATTTAAAATGGTTCTTAATTGTCATTAAAATCCCCTTTTCTTCTTATAGAATTTTTCATTCTAAACTATTTGATTTTTTTGTCCCCTTATTCAGCAGATGAAAACAATTAATTATTCTTTTTAACAACAATTGTCTTTGAAGGAATTCCTCTTCTTATAAATTGAGATTACATAATTAAAATAATTTATAGATTTTATTAAAATGTTGTAATCAATTTTAGAAAAAAGACTTTTAAGTATTATATTTAATAACATTTTTTTCAGTATTTTCTAATTTTAGAACTGCAAAGAGCTAAATCAAAATTAGTTATCAAGAAGAACGCTCACTATTAATATTCTAAATATAACTCATTCATAGTCTAATAATGTTAAATTAATATAACAAATATTAGAGTTATAAAATTATCTAAATTTATTATATTCAATCTAATGAAAACTCAACATTTGTTTGTTTTATTATTCTTTTAGAATGAATAAATAATAATAATTCTCAATATTTACATATCTGGAACCACTTACAAAAGTTCACGTATTTTCTTCTAAATTTCTTTAATACATATATAGTAGAAGGATCAGAATTGAATAGTTGATATTGTTAAGTGAAAATAAGTATAGTTAAATATAATAAGTGAATTATTAAAAATATAAAAAATGTCTTCAATTTTAGAATCTGCGAAGGGAATTATTAAAGAAGCAAGGTAAATATAAAAATTAGAAATTAGAGAGTCAGCTTATTTAGGAAAATATCCGGAAGCAATAATGAAATTCAAATCGTAACTTGAGATATTAAGTTAATAATTGGGAAAAAATTAAGGAGATTAATTATTATTTACGGAATGGAGTAAGCTGGTAAATGACATAAAAGAAGAATTAGATTTAACTCAAACTTTATTTGATTTTACGAAAGGAAATGCGAATAGTAATTTTTGAATTAATAAAGATAGGTTAGTAATAACCATCACCTTAGAAACCAAAGATTATTTAAGAGTGCCCAGAATTTCATGAAGATAATAGATAGCCTCGTTTACCATTCAATTAAATTCCATTTTAACATCATCGAGAGAATACTTCACCAACATAGAAAGCTAATTAATTTTAAATATCACCTCCAAAATAGAAAGCATAAGATCCAGATGAGATATTTTTTGGAGGATTAAGAGGAGGTAATGATGGAAAGAGAGTAAATAATAATAATAATAATAATAATGGTAATAACTTAAATCATAACCCAAGTAATTACTTTAATAATAACAATAATAATAACAATCATAATTATAATAAACGTGCAGTAAATAATCCTCCAGCAAAAGATCCTGATGTTTGGGATCCTCCATCAAAAAAGACTGATAAACCAAAACAATCTTAGAAAGATGCAAAAAATAACAATATATTTAAACCTTAAGCATAGGGAAAAGGTAATTAAAAAAGGGAATATGATAAACCATGGAAAAATAATGCAGTAGGAGAAAAGAAACCTGTAGAAGGTTAAAGGAAGACATTTCATGATCATGTATATCCAGATGGTAGAGGTCCAGATAGTGATTTAATTTAAATGATAGAAAAAGAGGTTTTAGATTTAACACCAAATGTTTCATTTGAATAGATAGCAGAATTAGAATTAGCTAAGGATACTCNATTCTTTTAGAATGAATAAATAATAATAATTCTCAATATTTACATATCTGGAACCACTTACAAAAGTTCACGTATTTTCTTCTAAATTTCTTTAATACATATATAGTAGAAGGATCAGAATTGAATAGTTGATATTGTTAAGTGAAAATAAGTATAGTTAAATATAATAAGTGAATTATTAAAAATATAAAAAATGTCTTCAATTTTAGAATCTGCGAAGGGAATTATTAAAGAAGCAAGGTAAATATAAAAATTAGAAATTAGAGAGTCAGCTTATTTAGGAAAATATCCGGAAGCAATAATGAAATTCAAATCGTAACTTGAGATATTAAGTTAATAATTGGGAAAAAATTAAGGAGATTAATTATTATTTACGGAATGGAGTAAGCTGGTAAATGACATAAAAGAAGAATTAGATTTAACTCAAACTTTATTTGATTTTACGAAAGGAAATGCGAATAGTAATTTTTGAATTAATAAAGATAGGTTAGTAATAACCATCACCTTAGAAACCAAAGATTATTTAAGAGTGCCCAGAATTTCATGAAGATAATAGATAGCCTCGTTTACCATTCAATTAAATTCCATTTTAACATCATCGAGAGAATACTTCACCAACATAGAAAGCTAATTAATTTTAAATATCACCTCCAAAATAGAAAGCATAAGATCCAGATGAGATATTTTTTGGAGGATTAAGAGGAGGTAATGATGGAAAGAGAGTAAATAATAATAATAATAATAATAATGGTAATAACTTAAATCATAACCCAAGTAATTACTTTAATAATAACAATAATAATAACAATCATAATTATAATAAACGTGCAGTAAATAATCCTCCAGCAAAAGATCCTGATGTTTGGGATCCTCCATCAAAAAAGACTGATAAACCAAAACAATCTTAGAAAGATGCAAAAAATAACAATATATTTAAACCTTAAGCATAGGGAAAAGGTAATTAAAAAAGGGAATATGATAAACCATGGAAAAATAATGCAGTAGGAGAAAAGAAACCTGTAGAAGGTTAAAGGAAGACATTTCATGATCATGTATATCCAGATGGTAGAGGTCCAGATAGTGATTTAATTTAAATGATAGAAAAAGAGGTTTTAGATTTAACACCAAATGTTTCATTTGAATAGATAGCAGAATTAGAATTAGCTAAGGATACTCTATAAGAAGCTGTATTACTTCCTATATTTATGCCTTAAATATTTACAGGAATAAGAAGACCATGTAAAGGAGTATTATTATTTGGTCCTCCAGGAACAGGAAAAACAATGCTTGCTAAAGCTGTAGCAACAACAGGCAAAACAACATTTTTTAATGTTTCTGCATGTACTTTAGCAAGTAAATGGAAAGGAGAATCTGAAAAATTAGTTAGATTATTATTTGAGATGGCTAAATTTTATGCACCTAGTACAATATTCTTTGATGAAATTGATGCTTTAGGTTCTAAAAGAGGGGATAGTGATGGTGATTCTGCTAGAAAGTATATAATATAAAGTTATAAAATATAGAGTTAAAACTTAATTGTTAATTGAAATGGATGGAGTATCAGGTGCTAGTACAGGAGAAGAAAGAAAAACTGTAATGTGTTTAGCAGCTACTAATCGTCCATGGGATTTAGATGAAGCACTTATAAGAAGACTTGAAAGAAGAATATGTAAAATTATTATTATTATATAGATATTCCATTACCTAGTGTAACAGGTAGAAAAACTTTATTCGATATTAATTTAAACTCTCTCAAATTATCTCCAAATATTAATTGGGATTAATTAGTTAAAAAATGTGATGGATATTCAGGAGCAGATATTGCTAATGTATGTAGAGAAGCATCAATGTTACCAATGAGAAGAAAATTAAAAGAAGAAGGAGGATTCTAAAAATTATAATAAAAATACGAAGACATCTCAAGTACTATAATTATTTTAATTATTTAGATGTTGTAGATGTTCCTTTAGAATAAAAAGATTTTGATGAAGCATTAAAGATAGTTAATAAATCTGTTTCAACAGAATACCTAAAGGAATATGAAAATTGGATGAAAGACTTTGGTGCAGGTTGATATTGAAAATTCATCCTTTATAACAAATATTATTTCTTTTTTTTAATATATTCTTTTGTTTCAATTTATGTTCTTTATAATATAAAAAAGGTTCTGAATGTCAATACAGCTTTTTGAATTTAGATTATTTTATATTTAATAATTCTTAGAATCTTCAATATCAATCATTTTATAATTTAATTAAAATATAAATACAATTTTAAAAAATGAAAGTATTTAAGTAACTACTCATTTTGGTATTTATTCTGAAAATAAATCTTACAATAATAGTAATGGATCTTAATAATTAGTGAATGAACTCACTTTTAATAACTAAGAATTCAATTCTCTTACATCAGTCACTACTCTGAATTTTATTAAATAATTTTGAAGATAGAGTAATTCCTAAAAGATCAACTACAAAATTACCTAATCTTACTTATTATCATAAAAAGCAATTATAGGAACTCCATTATCAATTTATTATCCAAATGAATAACTTGCATTATCAATTAATAAAATATTTGACATTTTTCGATTTCCAAGAACTCTTGAAAATAGTATTGATTATTTTACCTTAAATCTTTAACATATGCTCCTTCATCTGTTTGTATACAATGTTCTCTAAATAATCTATGACTGATCCATTATTTCTTTGGATCTAAATAATCTAATACAATGTTTGCATAACAAGAATGAGATGCTGTAAAAACTATAATTTCAAAATGTCGAGACAAAGTTTAAAGTATTTATTAAGCAAAAGGTCTAATATTAATAGAAGCTTATATAGTCTCTCCAGTTGGAAATGTAATTGGTAAAATTATATCACCAGGGACAGAAACACTCTCATTACAATGAATCAAAGTTTCATCCAAATCAAACACTAATGTTTTTAAATTGTTTATTTAAGGTAAATTAACAACTTTCTCTTCCTAGAATTCAAATTATAAATTCCTAGCATATTCTAAACCCTTTTAATTGTAAAAAATCTATTACTTATATTGTTTAAATTATATGATCTCTAATTACTTCATCTATTTTATTTGGTTGTTATATTAACATGCTTCTGGCTACACTAGAAATGTAATATAGAAACTATGATAGAAAATATGAATACATTATCACTTTTAGAAGGTTTTTAAGATGAATAAGATTTCTCATTAATAATTGATTTAGTCACTTAATTATATGATTTATTAATCCCTAATGATTAATGCCTATTTAAAGATGATTATTATAGAATAGGCTTTTTAATTTACTTTACTTATGTGACAAATTAATCTAAATTTATACTAGGCTAATCTTATTCTTTAATCACTTAACTATGTTTTAATGCTTTATTAATTTATAAATTTAAAGATGTTGAACATTTTGTTAATTCTTTAAGAGCTATATTTCCTTTTGGTTCAATATTTTCTTGATCTTTTTTTTAAAAAAATTTAGCTGCTAATCCAATTGGCTTTTGTTTTGATCTTTCAGATTATTTTTACAATTAAGAATTGCTAATGTCTATATTTGATTTAATTAAATTGATTTTATTTTCTAAGAATAGTAATTTATCATGTAATTTCTAATATTCTTATTAATCAATTTATTTGTTTGGCAATAATTAATCAGATGGGCATTTAATTAGATGAGTATCTGGTAATTATTTTTATGAATAATATCTAGATTAAGGAGTAGCTAATTAAGGTGAAATATATGTTGAATTTTTCAATTCTTTAAAAGAAGATCTGCATGGTTATTTTTAATTCGAAAAAGCTCCCTTATCTATAGATGCTGAAGCTGGTCTTGGAACTATCTAAATAGATGGCTATCTAGGTTATGAAGAATTAGGACGTATCTCAGCCTTTTATAATACTTAAGTAGATTGATATTATGGGTAAGCTTATATGGGTTTTCGTTTTTGTAATTAAATGCAGGAATTTTCTTTATCTGATGTTTATTTGAAGGATTATCTAAAAGAATCTTAAATCACTGGTCGTTGAATATATTATGGAACTCGTTGCATTCAATTTAAATTTTGTTAAATTAAAAAAAAGTCTGTTTAATTAAATATATACTCATACTCTTCCTAATTTTTTTACGGCCAATAAATTAACATACATCTAATGAATCTTTTCTCTATATTAATAATTATGATATTGATAATAAGACAATCCAAACATCAAACCTAAAATTCCACTTGTAAACATTTCACCATAAAGTTTTTTATGTAATGGTCTCGAATTGACAAAATAAAGCATAGAAATTGCAGAAATACCAAAACCAATCAAAGCACCAATAGTAGTTTATTCTTAAAGCACTTTATCTGCTTAATTAAAGTCATATTATTCATCTGCAGTCATCAGAATAAAATTATTTTTAAGGAATTACTATATTATAAGATTTAATTATTACATATTTTTTACTAGGTATAGCTTAACTAGATACTAGACGAGTTCGTTAGGTTCGACCTGAAAATTTTACAAGCATGTCTAAATATTGTTTTTATTCTTCTGAAAAGAATTCATATGGCAATTCTGGAGTTTTCATTAATAAAAATAATTCAAATCAAAAATTCAATTTTTTAGGTGATACTTTTTAAATCGATTTCAAATGTTCACCTAATTTTGGAGTTGATATTTTAAGAGAATTTATAAAAATCTTAGTCTCAGTTTTATTTATAAGAATAGACTTTTCTTAAATTTTGTATTCAGATTTTATCTCTTTCACAATTTTTAAACAATCATTTTACTAGATATAATAAATGAAATACATTCTTGAATGTATCAAAAAAGATTTCTTTATTTTTTTATATATCCATAATTGATAACTTATAAGCATTCATTCCTATAGGCTTCAATATCTACGTAACATAATAATTATGCAAACTTGATTTTGGCATTTATTTTAATGGAACATCAGTTGTATCAGTTGATTTTATTAATTTATAATTATCTACCAATGAATTAACATCTTCTATCTATACACTCGCTGATAACATTTTAAAAGCTTCCTACTTTAACTTCTTATACATCATTTTATTGTAACTATAATCATATGGTTTTTCTACACTCTTACTCTTATTTTCTGTTACTTCAATTGGCCTATCCAAAGATTTTCTCAGAAGATTTTCATATATAGCATTTTTCTACTTTATTCTTGTAGATTGATCTTGATATCTTACAACTTCTTATTCTGATAAATATATAATTGATTCAATAACAGTTAATAAAATATCTTAGGAGGCTGGGTAAATATTTATTTATTCTAAAACAAATGATTTGGCTTACAGTATTCTCACCATTGTAAATTAAGATGTTTTGGCAAGATATTAAGAGTTGAATAATTACAAATGAATAAATTTTAAATCTTGAGCATCAAATAACGCTTGATAAGCTAAGAGAAGACGTCGATTTTCAAGGTTTTCGAGTTATTCCATAAAAAAACTAAGTGTGATATTCAAAACAAGCTTTTCTATTTCTTTCCAATTTTTAATTATCATTTTTTAATGTATTATTTTTAATTTATTATTTTTTGCAAAATATTATATTATTAAATTTTACAGAATACAATCATAGTAGAAATTAAATTATGTGAAGTGTATATTATACATAACTTCAAAAGGAAGTTTTACTTAAATTAATTATTTTTAAAATCGATAATTTTCTATTCAACATAAAATAATGTACAAATCATTTTTTTTTACTTAAAAATTTTGCTGTGACAAAAATAAGTGGATTCAAAATAACTGATAAAATAAACCATTTTTTATAGCTATCAAAAGTGATTGTTTATTCTTTTTATAGATTCCCTTATTTTAATTAATCCTTTTCTTCTTCTAATTATTGAATTTTGTTTTCATATGTTTTAATTAAATTCTCAGTTTCACTTTATACTTGCTCATTTAAAAGTTTATATTCTTTTTCTTATTCTTGTATGTGAAGATCACGATCAATTAATTTTTGTTTTAATTTATTATATTCATCTTTTGCTTTCTAATACTTCTTATCTAATTCATTAAGTTTAGTATTTTATTATTTTTTTTCTTATATAGAATCATTAATATAGATATTTAAGGAATCAACTTCTGATTTTAAAGTAGTAATTAATGTATTTTTTTCTTCTAATTCTAATTTTAATTGATTTATGAGATGGTCTTTTTTCTAAACATTTTGGCATTCTTTTGACCACAGTATTTCTAATTATTCATATTTTAATGTCAATTGATTCAATTAATCTGAGATATCTTGCATAATTATATAAAATATGTTTAATAATAATAATATTCAAGATTTCATTTTATCCATCATTTCTATGAATTCATTATAATCAATTTCCCCATCTCCATCTTTATCTGCATCTTTTATCAATGCTTTTAATGCATTATCATCAAAACCAGGATTATTATCTAAATGAATAAATTGATTATATTATTACTTCCTAACACTTATTTTAATTCATCTCTAGATATTTTACCACTCCCATCTAAATCAAACATTTTAAAAGCTTAAAATAATTTTTCTTATTTCATATAAACACTTTTTTCAATAGTAGCAGCTAAGAACTCTAGAAAATTAAAATATACTAATAAACCTGTATAATTAACTGCACCAGATCCATCAGTATCTATACTTTTAATAACTCCCATAATTTCATTTTATGATTCCTTTTTTAAACCTGTTAATCCATGAGTCAATTCCTCCATAGTCAAAACACCATCTCCATTTTTGTCTAATTATTTAAATAGCTTTCCCAATTCTGAAATTTCTTATTCTGATAATTATGATGCTATATAAGTTAATGTAACCTAATATAATTCTATATATATATATAACTTTTTTTAATTTATTAAAATTAGTAAAGTTTTTTAATGATTAGTAATTAACACTTAAAAATGAACCAGCAGGATGTTATTATTTCATCCAAGGATGTATCAGTACATCATGTGATTTAATACGTTTCTCAGGCTTACAAATCATCTTAGAAATCAAATCTTTACAACTTTCTGATACCTTTTTGAATTCAGGTACTATATATTATCATTTGTTTTAATACTATTGAATGTGAACATTCCTTTTTTAACAGCATCCAAAATTTCAGGATCTGTATTACCATAAAATGGCGGTACTCCTGAAATCAAAATATATAAAATGACTCCAGCAGACCAAATATCACATGATTCATCATATTTTCCATCTAATATTTCTGGAGAGATATAATATGGAGTTCCTGCCCTGGTAGTCATACTTACTTTTCCTTAATTTAACTTTTCAACATGATTATCATGAAATATAACAGATAATCCAAAATCTATAACTTTAAGAGGTGAATCATCTGCTTTAGTAAGCATTAAAAAGTTTTCTGGTTTCAAATCTCTATGACATATTCCATTTTAATGACAATAATTAACTGCTTGCATTATTTATAAAAATATTGTTTTTGCTTCGTTTTCTGAAAAATGACCTTTATCAATAATTCTGTCAAAAAGTTCTCCTCCTTCACAAATTCTATTACAATATAAATCACACATACTCCATGACTAAATAAACATTTCTGACATCTTCGAAAGTTTCAAATAATTTTATAATGTTAGGATGATCCTATGAATAATTATTCAACATACCAAATTACGCATAATTTCTATTTCTCTTCTAAAACGTTCTGGATTTCTAACCTTGTTCTTAGGAATAATCTTAATTGCTCTTTATTATTTTGATCCTTTTAGTTTGGCCTTAACTACCTGACCATAAGTCCCTTAACCAAGTAACTATTTAATATATAAATATAATTACTTTTTTATGATCAAACTCATAGGCATCCTCAATTTTACTCGATTATGATTTAATAAACCACTGCTTTTTAATAACAATGTTATTGTCCATATATTTTAATTAATTTTATCAAAACATCAACGTAATAAAAACCTGATCAGAAGATTTATTAAATTGAATTGGTATTCCAAATTTTTAATTGATACAACCAAGTATTATCTTTGATTAAATTTTTAATCATATAAGGGTCAAAATATTTTACTAATAATATATATATCAAATTAAATATATTAATTATGATGAGTAATAAAAATATTCCTTTACCATAATTGAAGATATTACATAATAATTATAATTATAAAATTTAAATATCTATATTATACAATTATAATAATTTTATTTTAGAATTTCTATAGATATTTTTGGTTGGTGTGAAGAAAGATGAAAAAATAGAAAAGTAAAAATAGGATTTTAATCAATAGAATTATAGAAAATAAGAGTAGTACTTACAAAAATTAATTATAAATGGTCAAAATAAAGACAAATAATTTTTTCAACTTAAATCCAAAATTGTTTGCTATCTATTAATATAATTTAGAGAACACTATTTAAACTTTTATCTATAAATAATTGTAACATAATCTATCTTAACAAATTATAAAAACTGATCTTTTATTATTAATAAATATTCCAGAATGAACATTATTCATAAGTTTAGATATCACTTGATTTTCAATTTATAATTTCCATTCTTTACTTACATATGTGAGATTAGTTATGATAAGATAGATTTTGTCGAGATTTTTTCGAATCGAATTTCAACATTTCTACAGAATATCATGCTCTCTCCTTCACTTTGACTTATATCAACAATAATATTCCTGAGATATAAATTAGATGTGAAATTTAATAAGCAAGAAAAGATGATTCTTCCCAAAAGGAGCATTATGTTGTGAGATATGAAATATTTTAATTTATTTATTATTTGTTCATATAAATAGATTTATTAAACAGTAGTTCTATGGTGAATGCTTTTTAATTTGTTTGTGAAGTTTTATATAATAATGTAATAAAAAATAATATATAATTTTTGAAATGAATAAAAGCAGTCTGAATTCATCAAAAATAAAGTAACTTTCATCAGGTGCTCCAATTGAGGTTGTTCCAAATGAGATCATATTTAAGGACATATAAATCAATTAGACATATGAAATAACAGTATTTGTTAGAAACTTGACTCAGACAGCTCGTAGGATAAGAGTATTTCAACCTCATTCAAATTTTCGGTGTGATTATGAAATGCAAGGGTAATTAAAGTGTTATTAAATATAAGGGCAATAGCAGCAGGATTATCAATGAAATTAATAGTGACATTTGAGACAGCAAATTTGGAGAGTTATTCAGATAGTTTAAAGATTGTAACTGATGGTTAGTATAGTGTCGATATTCCATTACATGCATTTCCAGCATAAGCAGCGTAAAGAATTAAATTAATTAAGTATAATCTATGAGCCTTTTATAAATTTGGGATTTGTTCGAATGGGTAAAGAAAAGATGGATTATATTCATTTTAAGAATGAAGGTAAAGCACCTGGAAAGGTTGAATTAAAATTAGAGAAAATACCTGATTTTCGTATTGACCCTAATTCATTTGCATTAGCACCAGGTTAAGAATTCTCTGTATCTGTTTTTTATAAGCCAAAGGATGCTGGAATATTTAGGGGTATTGTAGAAGTCATTGCAGATGGTTAATAAAGTGGATTAAGTCTTAAAAATCCTATTGATATTAATGCTACTTCAATAGAATTTACTAGATTCTTAATTGATTAGAGTGGAACTTAAAATAATCATTTTGATTTTGGTACAATCTATTATGGATAATAAAAATAAATTGAAGTTTATTTAGTGAATAATACACCAAAATAATAGAAGTTTAAGGTTTAATTAAAAAAAGGTTTGCATGAAAGAGAAGAAACACTTAAATTATAGACTCCTGCAGAATTAGGTTTAGAATAAACTGAAAGAATTATGGAATGTTGGCCTGAAGAAGGAACTATTGAATCTTATTCATAAACAGCGATTATTTTTAAATGTAAACCTAAAGTAAGTGAAGAATTATAAATACGTACAAAATAATATGCTATGAATTAAGATAAAAGAATGGATGCAGATTAATTTTAATATTCTGCAATCTTTGATTTTTATGATGATGAACCATTAATGAATCATTTATCTGTTAATTGTGTTTGTCCTTAAATTAAATTCCCACCCATTTAAACATTATAATTTGGATAATGTGGTGCAAATTTATAAAAAGATTTGATATTTGAAATATAGAATCTCTCTTAAGAATTACCAATATTAATATCTTTTCCAAATATTCCATATTTTTCTGTTACTCCACCTATTAAAACATTAGGTTAATCTGAAAAGATTAATTTTTAAATAAGTTTCAAACCTAAACATATTGGTTAATTTGCTAGTACATTAAATGCAGAATTATTAGGTGGAATATTTAAAATACCTATAAGACTAACAGGTTTTTGTTAATAAATATTACCAAAACCTTAATTTAGAAGAGGTCCAGAATGTTAACCTTAAGATTTTGAAATTACAAAAGATAGATCAATTTCTGGAATTGTTAAAACTTAAACAGATAAAGTTAAAACATTCGATTTATCACGTTCTGTTGTATCTGTTGCTTAATAAAGCTTAGATAAAATTGATGATTTAAAATTAACTAATAAAGAAATATATAATGAATATTTAAAAGGTCATAGAGCATAAAGAATTAAAAAAGATAAAGAAAAGATGATTAAATTAAAATTCACTCAAATGACAGAAAAATTAAATTAAATTAAAAATGAATCATTACTTCTATAAAAAAAGAAATAATAAACAACTGAAGAAGAGAAACCAGAACCTCCAATTGATTATGAATTTGTTGTTGGAATGCATGAAGATGGTTATGAATAAGATTTAAATCTACCTGATGCAAATGAATCATTATTTGTTACTAAACCAATTTATCATTATGAACCAATTACTAGAGTTAAAGAAGGAAATCTTATTAAACCATTTGATCCAGATCCTAAAACTGTTCCTAAGAAGAAATTTCCTAATGAACCTAAAACTCATAGTGAAATCAGAGATACCTCATGTGAATTAACACCAGAATAATTACTTAAAATAAGTGCTGGACCTGTTAAAATTGATTTTGGAAATATCTTTATTAAATCTTTAGCAACTAAATTTTTCTATGTTAGAAATGAATTAAGAAATTCTATTGCTGTTCGATTACATACCGATAGAGAAGATTTTGCATAATCATACTTGAAACCATAGATTATTCCAAGTGGTTAAACAGCAGGATTTGATGTATGTGTGAAATCTAGGTAATTAGGATAATTGAAATCGCATCTTAAATATATCATAAATGAAAAACATATTTTTGAAATTTAAATATCTGCTACAATTGAAAA